GCATCACATGCTTTCTCAGATTGTTTACTTGCACTCATTTAGTCTCTCTCAGTCTAAGCTCTCACCCGCCTCCTCCCTGCCTCTAGCCCTCCCCTTCTCTCACCCGCCTTCCACTTCTTTCCTGGTCAGTGTGATCGTTTGTTGGCGATAAGATCCAAGGCTGAGACACAGCAACAGTGTGCCAAAGCAAGGTGAAGAGGGGTTGCTCTTTTTTGTCTATCTTGTTTTTCTGAAGGTCCACTCTCAGGACAACTGTGAGTACCTGAAGGCTTCAGAACGTCTGGGGTCAAAGAGGACTGGCTATTTGGGTCAGACAGGGGCGGGGTGGGGGGGTAATTTAGACCCTTGACTTGGGTCAGGAGCGGCCATGCAGAATTAAGTGAACTCTAACACAGATTTTGCAGACAGACTTCTAGAATACAAAAATGTTTCGAAATGCACGAAAGGAATGAGCATTGGTAACATACCAACTCAGGCTGTTGTGGAAGGGAAAGTGAAAGGGATTGTGTTAATGGCATGTGGTACTGTATTAGGATACAAATAATTGTAATCTCTCTCAATGCCTTTTGAGATGATGCATTAGGGTATTGGCCATATAAGACTCCACAAGTTAAATTTGCAAACATCTCCGCCATAAAAGACAGACGCAACTCCATATTTGGACAACAATTCACACTGTACTCCTTGATAATATGTATGCACAAAGTTTCTTTGTGCATACATATTATCAAGGAGTACAGATCCAAGGCTGAACAGATCCAAGAAACTAGTTTCTTTGTGCATACATATTATCAAGGAGTACAGATCCAAGGCTGAACAGATCCAAGAAACTAGTTTCTTTGTGCATACATATTATCAAGGAGTACAGATCCAAGGCTGAACAGATCCAAGAAACTAGTTTCTTTGTGCATACATATTATCAAGGAGTACAGATCCAAGGCTGAACAGATCCAAGAAACTAGTTTCTTTGTGCATTTTTTAGAGTACAACACTCAAAATGTATGTCAAACTCTTTTACATAAATGTCTCATAAAGTGGTTAATGTAATGGATGTGTCTGTTTGACAGTCCGCCGAACTGTGTTTGGAGGTCATTAAGGACGTGGCGACATGGTTGCTGATGTTGACCAACTGCCAGTTTCCACCATTTTTCTTGGCTTCAGTGTGTGTGTGTGTGTGTGTGAAAGAGAGAGAGAGAGAGAGAGAGAGAGAGAGAGAGAGAGAGAGAGAGAGAGAGAGAAAAAACTTGCTTGAAAAACTTCGCTTGAAAAACAAGAAACAAATGGCAATATTAATGTTTGTCCCTCTTGAGACGCCGTAGCAACAACATAGCCAGTATACACTTCCTCAAAATAGTCCGAATTAATCTAAATCTGTAATTCATTTTGACGTTTTTTTGCCTAGGAGGTCTTAGTTACCCATTTTTACATCTAACTTATTGTTTGGTGCAGTATTTCTCAAGTGAAAAAATGTGCATGAAAACTAGTCATCTTGTTGAATGACAAGAAACACTTAATTGAAGAATCCCGTCCATAGTTCCCACTCCTAATAGGAGTAGTACTATTGACCAATCACCGACGAAGGGGCGTAGACTTCGGCTACCCGAACTTCGACTTGCTTCAAGAAAAAATGTTGTGTGCGCGAACAGCTGAAAAAAAGTAACTGTTTCGACTGGGAAGCCTGCAGGCTTGTAACTGCGTGTACATGTCGCACGTTGCTAGTCAAATGCCAAACTCTTCATTGAGACAATGCTGAAACATCAATCCATGGGCGAGTTAGAGCCACATTTTCATTTGTGTCGAAATCAAAATGAAAGAAAAGCTATCTTGCAAATTCAGCAGGCTATGGTGTGAAATAGGCTTTTAGAAGTGCAGTCTTTATTTTATTACTTATCATTAATGCCTTCTTTGTGCATTGGTGTGCTTATTAATGCACAATAACCTTTTTTTCCCACTCCTATGATAAAATAATTGTATTACAAAAGTTTTACTGTGCATGAAATTTCAAATGCATTCTGTCATTACTAAATGTGCAATGTGATAGGTATATATAAAAGAAATACGAACAAAGAACAGATTAATCAAATATTGAATCAGTCATCTTCCTCAAATGAATGGGATGATGATGCAATCTTTGCGAGAGGGAGGGAATAGGATTTCATTGGTCCTCAACTTGCGGCTCAGGTACTTCATTCAGGATAAATTGAGTTAGCCTGCCCTGGAGCAGATTAGTTCTGAAGGCTTCGTTTCCATAGAAATGTACCTGGCTAAAAGGTGAGCCACTTTCGGGGTGTCGGTTATCCCGAGTTGAACTCAGAGTTGACCAAAGTTATCTCGGTAACTCCTCAAACCTGTTTCGTAGTATACCCCTCTGATCTAGTTTACTCTAAGCCTGGGAATGGGGTCTAAAGAGTCATTAACAGTAAAAGATAACTAGGTGTCCAGACAAAGCCTGGATTTGAAGTTCATCCAAGGCACATTACGGCACCATAACAAGACTTTTAAACCTACCTACCATAAATAACATATTGGTGCCAAGCAACTTCATGGTCACTCTCAAAGAGTCCATTATCAAATCAAGGGTAATGAGGCTTCGAAATATTCATACAGCCCACTAGACAATAAAACACTATTCTTTTAGTGATTTCAAATTAAATAAGTTCATTAAATCTATTTTAAAGGCAATGAGCCAATTCTGTTTGTCAAATATTCCATATTTGGTGCATGTAACTTCTGTAATTTGTTTACATTAAGTTTAGATGTGGCTAGCCCATAGCCACGGGAAGTAGGCTGCAGCACCGCCTGATAAATCAGGAGTTGAGTTCCGAGGGAGACAGTGGGGCGAGGGTGAGTGGCGTCAAGTGCAAGCAGGGTGAGCAGTATTCCAGTAGCTCTGGAGGGGAATTGTGTGAGAGTGATGATGAATTGTGTGGGGAGGAAGGTGTGGAGAAGGCTTCTGAGTCTCGCAATGGTGGTCATGAAGCAGATGATTCTAGTCCAGTAGGAGTGACATTTTTGGAGAAAGTGGATCGCTGCCTTCTGGCTGATCCATATGTGGTGTCAAATTGGGTGGAGAAGAGGTTGGGGACTGTTTCTGCCGTCCAGAGTGAGCAGGTGCTCCGCATCACGCGACTAGGGACAATAACTGTGAATTGCTTTGCTCTCCGGAGCAGGGCACCGTTGAAAGGAGTGATAACAGGCGTGGCATTAAGTGTTGAGGAGGAAGAACTGAAATGGAAGATTCCCGGTGTCTGTGACTGCTATTTGGTGCGACACAGACCTGGTGGAGAGCGTGGTGAAACAGAGAAGACACCGTCTGTCCTGCTGAGTTTTGATCCTGCTGAGTCTTTACCTGACAAATTCAAGCTAATGTATGTGTCAGTTATCCCATGAGAGCTTTTGTCCTGAACCCATTATGGTGTTTTAGGTGCTGAGCTTATGGTCACGTTGCAGCAGTTTGTAGGAGGGAGATTCCTAGACGTGAGAAGTGTGCAGGAGGGTATGAGACAAAGGAATGTGTAGTATAGGTGGAAAAATGTATGTGTGTTAACTGTAGGGGTACTGATGGTGCTGGAGATCAGAAGTGTCCTGTGAGAGAAAGGCAAGTTGAGGTTGCCAGGATCAGAGTAGTACAGAAGGTGTCGTATGTTGAGGCAGTGAAGAGAGTAGTAGAGGAAGATGGGTCCAAGGCGAGGAATCCTGAGAGGATCCCTGTGAGTAAGCCAAGGCCAATATAGAGTGATAGGAATAACGTGTTTCAGTAAGGTTGGCTTCTTAGCGTTCATAGCCTTGGTTATCAACTGTACCGCAGAAATGGAACGTAAATCACAGAAAGTAGATATTGTGGTGGCAGTTGCAGAGAAGTACTTGGGTGTACGAGATTTTATTGCAGAAGAGTTACAAGGTGTGTTGAACGATAGTGTCCCATCCTCCCAGGCTGTTGGATCAGATAGGGCTAAGTAGTGGAATAGTGGTGAGGTTTTAATAGGTGTAGGGTTAGTTGGTAGGGCAATTTTTCTTCCCTTTTCCTCGTCCTTTTCCCTTCCCTTTTTGTGTCACAGTGTTATTTTTTCAATTGTTTGCCACCCCTACAGTAGGTGGCGGCATGCACCTCTAACTCTTGTTTGCAGACACCGTAATACCATAGAAGAAGAAAGGCGAGCTTGTGCTTTTGGCTGTAATGTCCAGTAGCCTAGTTACTTTGCCTATGGATTTGAAATCAAATTGTATTTGTCACATGCGCCGAATACAACAGGTGTGAAATGCTTACTTACAAGCCCTTAACCAAAAATGCAGTTTTAAGAAAAATAAAGAGCTAAGAAAATATTTACGAAATAAAATAAAACTATAAAAAAAGAAACTATAAAATAACAATAACAAGGCTATATACCTGGGGTACCGGTACCGAGTCAATGTGCGGGGGTACAGGTTAGTCAAAGTAATTGAGGTAATATGTACATGTAGGTAGGGGTAAAGTGACTATACATAGATAATAAACAGCAAGTAGCAGCAGCGTAACAAAAGGGGGGGTCAATGCAAATAGTCCGGGTAGCCATTTGATTAACTGTTCAGCAGTCTTATGACTTGGGGGTAGGAGCTGTTAAGGAGCCTTTTGGATCTAGACACTGCGCTCCGGTACCGCTTGCCGTGCGGTAGCAGAGAGAAAAGTCTATGACTATGGTGGCTGGAGTCTTTGACAACGCCTGTATAGAGGTCCTGTATGGCGGGAAGCTTGGCCCCAGTGATGTACTGGGCCATACGCACTACCCTCTGTAGGTCCTTGCGGTCGGATGCCGAGCAATTGCCATATCAGGCAGTGATGCAACCAGTCAGGATGCTCTCAATGGTGCAGCTGTATAACTTTTTGAGGATCTGAGGACCCATTCCAAATCATGCTCTGCTTTTGCAAATAGCCTTTGAAGTCCCTATTTCATCTGAAACCTTTTTTTCACAGCATTGTGCAGAGGGGGAGTTTCTGGTTATTGTTCAAATATCTAGTCACCATGGAAGAGGGAGTCTCCAGACGGACTGGTCAGTTAAGAGACATATTTTGACGGGGGAATAAATCTTGTTCTATCTCTGTTCCTCACCTGTCTTTCAGATGCTTCACCTGACAACAGGACGCGTGGCGTGCTTGCTTTCGAAGCGAGCGGTGGTGGCACTGACGAACAGTGGCGCGAGGATGTCAAGCCATGGCCACCACGGTACTATTCTTTCATGTTCATTGCACTGCATGCATAATTGTCTGTAGGAAAAAAAAAAAGTTTATTTTCAATTCAACTGTATCAAAAAAGTATTACAATACACGTACGCCTAGTTTGTTGTGTAGGCCTACTTGTATTCAAGCAAGGTGAATTTGAAATGATATCGCCTGCTGCGGAGCAGGGTGAAATTTTTTACATTTACATTTTCGTCATTTAGCAGACGCTCTTATCCAGAGCGACTTACAGGAGCAATTAGGGTTAAGTGCCTTGCTCAAGGGCACATCGACAGATTTTTCACCTAGTTGGCTCGGGGATTAGTACCAGCGACCTTTCGGTTACTGGCACAACACTCTTAACCACTAAGCTACCTGCCGAAATCAGCAAGCTTACTGCATTTAAACATTTTGCCATTGTGCAGACTGAAAAATGTGCTGTTTTATAATGCTATTCTACACATTTTATCATGAGGCTAAGAGAAAATGTTACCAGTTTAAAGCACATTTCCTGCAATTCTACACTTTTTATCATGGGGCAGAGATTTTTTTTGCTGTTTAATAGCTCAGCTCATGCTTTTGTTCACATTTTGTCATAGAATTTTGCACCTTCAAAAGCACATTTCCTGCAATTCTACTCATTTTGCTACCATATGCTATCTGGGGGCCCTGGTGCATGTGCCCTGTGTCGCATAGGAGTGACACAATCTGACGTAAGACAATGCTCTGAGGTCTATAAACCTCTAAACCCCACCTTACCACCTCTCCCTTTACCTCAACCTCCCCCTCACATATCTCATCTCCTATCTCTCCTGTACTGTAGAGGTGTCCGACTCAGTGGACATGTCACAGCCAATGTACTGGGATCGTCTGGACACCCCTCTGCCAGACAGACCATGGAAGGATGTCCTCGACTCTACGGATAAGAGCCTGAAACAGAAGGAGAAGGGTCCCTGGACTGCACTGTCCAAGGAGGAGAAAATTGCCTGTAAGCCCCTCCCCCTCGCATTCCTTCTCATGTCACAGCCTTCAATCCTGCTATTCTTAAAATGTCTCCCTCTTTATCCCAGTGTACAGGCTGAAGTTCAACCACACCTATCCTGAGATGAAGAGGCCCTCCCATGAGTGGAAGACTGTCATCGGTGGGATGTTCATCTTCTTTGGCATCACTGGTCTGGTGGTCTTTTGGCAGGGCCACTATGGTAAGACTTCTCATGGTTGATTGCTAAAATTGATAGACTTCCTCAAGCCAGTATGACACATGGATGGGCGATTGTTCCATCCTCAAACTTGCTGTTCCTTTTTTATCCTTTGTGTGTCCCACAGTGTACCCACCCCAACCTCATACCTTTGGTGAGGAGTGGCAGGCTAAGCAGATCCAGAGGATGCTGGATATGCGGGTCAACCCAATTGAGGGCTTCTCTGCCCAGTGGGACTACAAGAACAAACAATGGAAGTAAAGGAAGGGAATAGACCACTGCTGGAAGGAGGAACGGTTCGACTTGACACCTTGAGCCTCTGTTCAGCCAACAGCCTCCCCTCCCACCATAGCGGCAATCCATCTGAATCCATTCTTACTGTTGAAGTAATAAATGACTAAAAACTGTTTGTTTCCTTCTCTCTGAGAAAATAAGAGTAATATTATGGGCTGCTTGTCCTCAACCTAATTTCTGCTTTAGTGTTCCTGTGGTAGTGTGTCTGGTTTGGCCCCAAGTGAGTATTGTGAGATGTACCATTGCCTTGGTGGTCCTGACACATTCAACACTAACTAAAAACACAGTAGCCTATATTTGTTTTATCCTCTTGCTGTGAAACTCTTGAAAGCATATTTTTTAAGGGAATTTCTACTCTAAAATGGTCCACCGTATTGCATGTATAAAAACTGTATTACTCCATGACAACAAAATAAAATCATAATCCTTGTACCTTTTTGTGTTTTCCTTCCATAAATTCTGTCCTAACATTGCAAAGAATATGACCATTTTCAGTAGAAAACTATTAAATAGTCTAGGTGTGAAGATGGATGGCAAACAAGTTAAAGATCATGTATGGCCTGAGACTCTGAGCATCATTACTACAGGTAAGGGACACCATTAAATTAACTTACAGAATAATATTCATTTGGATGTTCTCTCCTTTAGGATCAAGTCATTAATATTTTAGAGTTTTCCTCAATGGATGTCTTCTTGCCTTTCCCCTTATCCCTCCCAAACCACCAAAATAAAATGTCAGTGTTCCAAATTGGTCTTTATTCAGTTGCACGTAAATCTAAGACATTACATTGGAATAGTAAGACATAGAAACAGACCATTCAACGTGGCGTTTCTAGTTGTTTCTCTATAAAAAAACGCAAAACAAAACACAATGAATTACAAATGCACAATGCAAAGATGAAATTTAAGACCATTTGAATGGACACAATATGCTTTACACCAAATATCATAAATAACATTTTAAAGTCATCAGAAAAGTATCTTAAATGTTACTAAGCTATGATACTATTCTAATTATTATTTAACCGGCTTTAACACAGTTGCAGCCGACAGTATTTTTCAGTTACAACACGTTTCTGGCGTCCTTCTTCGGTTACACACAGGTGCTCCGAGCGCGCTAGCTCTCGAAAACCCGGTTAGCTTCCCCCACGGCTGGGCGTGTGAACTACAATTCCGACGCTGTGTTAGAAACGTCAAAAATCATCGCTTGCAAAACAGTTTTTGAAACATATGGCCCTTATCTTTCATATCAGCGAGAAAGAATCTTTCAAATAAAAAATTACACTTATCGTAACGTTAGCAGATTTGCAGTGATCCATACACTATTTGTGCCTCCAGTTGACCAACTGCGCTTCCTCCCCAGTTACGTTTACACACAGGTGTTCAGGGCACGCTAGATAGCTCCGTAAACAAGCGCTGTAACATGGAGATATGGCCGTAAGGAAACACTAACCCTTTCTTCTTCGATGAGGTTTAACGGCGGTTGGCATCCAATACATGTTGCATTACCGCCACCCACTAGACTGGAGTATAACGTCTTCTTCTTCTTCTTCTGTGGGTTTTATGGCGGACAACCCTTTTCACAGCTTGTGCATATGAAATGCTCTGTACAACCCTGACTTTGGACACGTCATTCTCTTTTACCCTTGTGGGGCATTCAGAAGACGTGGCTTCATGATTCCCACCGCAATTACAACATGTCACGTTTTCTTCACTTTTATAACACATAATATGATCTTTTCCACATCTTGTACATCTCGGCTTCTCCCTTCTGCAAACACTTTCTACATGACCAAAATGTTTACAATGTTCACACTGCATTGTTCTTGGGATAATTGCTCTAACTCTGTAGTTAATATATCCTAACCGCACTTCATTAGGGAAAGACTCCATTTCAAAAAACAAAAGAACAGAAACTCTTCACTTTTTCCCAATTCACCACTCGATTCATCCGACGTGCTTCAATCACTCCAGGAATATATTTCATCTCTTCCAAATCTACTTCCCACGAAACGTCAGATAACACCCTTAATGGGTGCCCTGTTCCGAAGCGACACACACAACACTTCAAACTTCTCAAATCGATTAACACACAACGCACGTTCCTTCTGATTCGCAGAATCACAAAATATCAAAACAAGGCCGCCTCTCGTGATCCTCACAAACTTCACTTTAACCAGAACTCTCTCCAGTTTGGATAACTCAGATGGTTTCTTCAAGATTGGTACTCTGCTCAGCTGCTCCTTATTAACAAACCGTACTCCTACTACGAAGGGTCATTCTCATCACTGTACCCTACTTTGCTCCGTTTTCCATTATTTTGAACAATACTCCAATTATCCTTGATTCTACCGCCATTGTATTCAGATTCCACTTCATCATCCGCTTCCGCCATCTTCCCTCTCGTCAGAAAAACTCGAAATCATCTACCCTTCCTCACAACAATCCCAAACGACCACAAAGCCTCTTGAGCTGCTGTTAGCTAATTTGACAAAGCTATCGCGCTAGGAACAAGCAAAACAACCTCTGATTCGTATGTCGTGACAAGACACGCCTCCAATGAGTCTGAGCGGAGTATAACTTCCTTATACTTTGCTTTAAAAATAATAATAATAAATACAATTTAAAAAAAGAAATAATACTACTAATACCCTACCATCTAACACTACACTCACAAAACATTAAAAAGTAATAATAATACATTCCATACTCCACTAGCCTGAAAGGATGGGCCACTTAACACACCCAGTAACTCTTCTGATGTCAAGTCTCGTACAGCCAAATACCTCTCTGCAGCTGCCATCACAACCTCTATTTTCTGCGACTTACGTTCCATCCCTGCAGTACAGTTGATAACCATCGTTATAAATGCCAAAAATTAAATCTTACTGAAACATATCACTTGTTGGTTTATCCTGCTGTACTGGTACAGATCTACTACTCACACCACTCCTCTCAGGATCCCTCCCCCTTGACCCATCTTCCTCTACTTTCTTCACTGCCTCAGCATATGACAACTTCTGCACTACTCTAACCCTGGAAACCTCAACCTTCCTCCCTCGCATGGGACATTTCTGATCCCCAGCCCCATAGGCACCCCTACAATTAACACATACCACTACTTTCCCCAATGCTACACATTCCTTTGTCTCATGCCCTTCTGCACACTTCTCACACCTAGGAACCTCCCTCCTACACACTGCTGCCACATGCCCATAAGCTTGACACCTGTAACAACATAATGTATTCGGCACAAAAGCTCGTACAGGATAACTTATCCTAACATCACTTTGTCGGGCAAAGACTCAACATCAAAACTCAAAAGAACAGACAATGACTCTGTTTCTCCACTCACGCCACCCTGTCTGCGTCGTACCAAACGACAAGCATCACAAACACCGGGAATCTTCCCCTTCAGTTGGTCAGCTTTCACATTTACTGCTATCCCAGTAATCACTACTTTCAATGGCGCGCTTTTCTTGAGAGCAAAAACAATTCACATCTCTTTCCCCCATTAGTTTAACACGGAGCGCCTGCTCCCTCTAACCAGCAGAAACACAAACAATTATCACAAGACCACTTCTGGTTACCCTCACCGATTCCACAGCACCCAACTCTGTTTTCACCCACCCTGAAACCACAAATGGATCAGCCAAAAGGCAAGGGTCCACTTTTTCCAAAAACGTCACTCCTACTTTTACAGACTCATCTTTATCCTGACCCTCGGTGCAAGCCTCGGGCTCCGAGAACTTCACCACACCTACCACCTCTGATACTTCGCCCTCATTCACTTCCATTTCTCCTCCTGTCTTCAACTCACTCTGCTTACACTTTCTACAATTTTTCTTTAACAAACCATCTCCCTTTTTTCTGCCATTTTTAACCGACTCAAGCTCACCCTCTTCCTCCCTCTCTCTCTTAGACCTCCTCTGCCTCTCTTTTTCCCTCCATTCCTCCTCCGTATTCCAAGTATAACTCTCATTATGATAATACTGCACTTCTCCTGACATACATCTTGTTCTTGCCTTGTCAAGGGACACCATTTAATCGGCTGTCACAATCTCCGTACAAATCAGCACAAACCCCTCGGGATCAACCCTTTAATGGTGTGTAGTAATTTAACCTTTTGTTATTTCTCTCTGATTTGTAAGTTCCGCATCCACTATTGGAAGGAGGGAAACCCAAAACGGAAAAGGTAAATAAACAAAATACAAAAATAAAATAACAAATGAAAATCAGATGTTGCCACCACAACATCTATTTTCTGGGATTTACGTTGCTATGAACACTAATAAACCAACCTTACTGAAGCATATATCACTCGTTGGCCTATCCCTCTGTGCTGGCACAGATCTACTACTCACAGGATCCTTTGACCAATCCTCCTCTACTTTCTTCACTGCCTCAGCATAAAACACCTTCTGCACTACTCGGACTCTAGACACCTCAACCTGCCTCTCTCACACCTGACACTTCCGATCCCCATCAACATGGGCAGCCCTACAGTTGACACACACAACTTTATCCACCGAAACTACACAATCCTGTGTCCCATGCCCTCTTGCACACTTCCCACATCTTGGAATCTCCCTCCTACAAACTGCTGCGATGTGACCATAAACGTTGCACCTGAAACAGTGCAGTGGATTCGCCACAAAAGCTCTAACAGGATAACTGATATGTCCTAACATGACTTTGTCGGGTAAAGACTCAGACTCAAAACTCAAAAGGACTGACAGTGACTCCTATGTTTCACCACGCTCACCACCTGGTCTGCGTCGCACCAAACGACGGGCATCACAAACACCAGGAATCTTCAACTGCTCCACCTCCACACTTAACTCTACCCCAGAAATCACTCCTTTCAATGGTGCCCTGTTCCTAAGAGCCAAGTTGCGTGACACGGAACGCCCGCTCCCTCTGGTCAGAAGAAACACAAACAAATATCACAAGTCCATTACAGGTTACCTTCACTGATTCAACTGCACCCAACTCCTTTCCCACCAAGCTGTGCGAGCTGTCCATCCCAGGACTCATGTTTGCCCAGTGTGAGAGGCCTGACAAGGAGGAGGCCATAGCTGGATTTGTCTCCCGCTTCAATCTTGGGGTTGACTGAAGCCAAGTGGGTGACTGAAGCCTGCCTGATTGAAACAGGGTACATGGGTCCCCCTCGTCTCCCACTCCCCTCCCCATCAATCTCTGTAGTTGGTTGCATTTCCTAAAGCCTAAGTAATTCACTTTTACGTGATATGATATCACAGTTTGTTACTTTGTGTTTTTTTTCTTTTTAAGCATTCGGATGGGAGATGAGTGTTACAAATTGTCCGACTCAATGGGTCCTGCACACTGTAGGGTGGCCGGGTGCCTATATTAGGCTTATGGCTCTAATATTCTTTTTTGGGGCCAAATAATGTCTCACCATTATTTCTCACCTTTATTTCTCATGAGTGTTCATTTTGATCAATATTTTGGCTGTGCTGGCCTATTGTAAATGATCAAATAAATGTCTGATCAATTTATACAATTCTGAACATATTGTAATTTATAATGCTAATGCAGAGGCACCAATAAATTGTCCAGTACAGTTATTGTATGCTGTTTTCATATACATTCCCTTATGTCTAAGCTTCTAAGGTGACTCAGGCTTGACTATTCTTGTGAAAAATGTATCAGTGAACTGTATTCTGTAATTAATTACAAAACAATAAAAACCAACATTCTTTCCTATTGTAAGAGGCAACTTGGTCGTCATTTTTTTTGTTTCACAGAAATAACAAAACATGCCGAAAAGCTGCTTTGTTTAACAGTACATGTAGCCAGGTCAGAAATGTCTACCTATGGTTCGCAATGCTCCCATTAAGAAAATAGAGCCTGCGAGAAGAGCCCTGTGCCTTCAGGCAAATGGATGTGGGAGAGTGTGAAATGTGCGGACGCGGTGTCCAAGTAGGCTACACGTAGCTGTGTGTGTGGAAAACATTTAATCACAGGTAAGACATTTAACTTGTTTAGTACAGTCTATTTGTAAATCCCCTCACTACTTGTAGCTGTATAGTCCGTTTGTTGTTGTTGTTGGTCTTGGCTAGCTTAATGTTTTGGTCGGTAGCTAGCTAGTACTCACTCACTCAAGTGGTTGCTAGCATCGTCATGAAAAGGGGCATGAGGGAAGCCCTACAATATTACGTTTTTCTAAGTAGTGAGAACACTAGGAAGTAGACAATGTTGAAAAGTAATCTTTAGACATGTTGTACTTTTCTTAAATTGAGTTTTGTAATTGACTAAAATCAGACAACAAGAAAATTGCATTTGAAAAGGGTCAAGTTTTTGCTGTGAGCCAATGGGGTAACCTAGGTAACCACAGGTTGTTTTCCCCACAGGTGGACAGGGTCGCACATTCTATCTAATACTGACTGGGTCTATACTATTTAGGCTCGGAATTACGTGGCCCATTGTTTACCTGGTCATCAATGACATGCGGCCCATTGTTTACCTTGTTACCTGGCAACGACCACAAGGGTGTTTCAAACAGATGTCAGTCAAGGCGAGCTCATGAATATAAACTCCCCGCCCACTCAGCAAGTTCTTTCAGGCTTCCTGATAGTTAGATGGCAGAAAAGGTACAATTTCTTCAATTCTGAGCATTTTAATAGTGTAAAAATACACTGCTCAAAAAAATTAAGGGAACACTTAAACAACACAATGTAACTCCAAGTCAATCACACTTCTGTGAAATCAAACTGTCCACTTAGGAAGCAACACTGATTGACAATACATTTCACATGCTGTTGTGCAAATGGAATTGACAACAGGTGGAAATTATAGGCAATTAGCAAGACACCCCCAATAAAGGACTGGTTTTGCAGGTGGTGACCACAGACCACTTCTCAGTTCCTATGCTTCTTGGCTGATGTTTTGGTCACTTTTGAATGCTGGCGGTGCTTTCACTCTAGTGGTAGCATGAGACGGAGTCTACAACCCACACAAGTGGCTCAGGTAGTGCAGCTCATCCAGGATGGCACATCAATGCGAGCTGTGGCAAGAAGGTTTGCTGTGTCTGTCAGCGTAGTGTCCAGAGCATGGAGGCGCTACCAGGAGACAGGCCAGTACATCAGGAGACGTGGAGGAGGCCGTAGGAGGGCAACAACCCAGCAGCAGGACTGCTACCTCCGCCTTTGTGCAAGGAGGAGCAGGAGGAGCACTGCCAGAGCCCTGCAAAATGACCTCCAGCAGGCCACAAATGTGCATGTGTCTGCTCAAACGGTCAGAAACAGACTCCATGAGAGTGGTATGAGGGCCCGACGTCCACAGGTGGGGGTTGTGCTTACAGCCCAACACCGTGCAGGACGTTTGGCATTTGCCAGAGAACACCAAGATTGGCAAATTCGCCACTGGCGCCCTGTGCTCTTCACAGATGAAAGCAGGTGCACACTGAGCACGTGACAGAGTCTGGAGACGCCGTGGAGAACGTTCTGCTGCCTGCAACATCCTCCAGCATGACCGGTTTGGCGGTGGGTCAGTCATGGTGTGGGGTGGCATTTCTTTGGGGGGCCGCACAGCCCTCCATGTGCTCGCCAGAGGTAGCCTGACTGCCATTAGGTACCGAGATGAGATCCTCAAACCCCTTGTGAGACCATATGCTGGTGCAGTTGGCCCTGGGTTCCTCCTAATACAAGACAATGCTAGACCTCATGTGGCTGGAGTGTGTCAGCAGTTCCTGCAAGAGGAAGGCATTGATGCTATGGACCGCCCGTTCCCCAGACCTGAATCCAATTGAGCACATCTGGGACATCATGTCTCGCTCCATCCACCAACGCCACGTTGCACCACAGACTGTCCAGGAGTTGGCGGATGCTTTAGTCCAGGTCTGGGAGGAGATCCCTCAGGAGACCATCCGCCACCTCATCAGGAGCATGCCCAGGCATGGAAGGGAGGTCATACAGGCACGTGGAGGCCACACACACTACTGAGCCTCATTTTGACTTGTTTTAAGGACATTACATCAAAGTTGGATCAGCCTGTAGTGTGGTTTTCCACTTTCATTTTGAGGGTGACTCCAAATCCAGACCTCCATGGGTTGATACATTTGATTTCCATTGATAATTTTTTTGTGATTTTGTTGTCAGCACATTCAACTATGTAAAGAAAAAAGTATTTAATAAGATTATTTCATTCATTCAGATCTAGGATGTATTATTTTAGTGTTCCCTTTATTTTTTTGAGCAGTGTATTATGGGTGATGTTTTGGTCATGCAAAGGCTATTTTTACTTGGGAAATAGGATGACTGTGTGGGACCTTTAATCCACTCATATCAGTAAAACAAAATACAAAACAAAAACAAAAAACCCTCAGTCCTTCGAAATACACTCAGAGCACTACTCAGATGTGACATGAGAGGATGGAACTGCTGCTCCAGTCAGTAAGGCATGCAGCCATGCATCCTTCATTCCCAAGAAGCGTTCAGCTGCTGATACGATGATATCGATCTTTCTTGAGTTCTTATCCACTCCTGCAGTGCAGTTTATCAACATAGCAATAAATGCCAAACTATCTACTTTCTTCATGATAAGGGTATCTGGATCCTGCACCTTGCAAATGGCACCCACAGCACTGGACTGTGGTGTCTCCAGGACAACCAAACCACTAGAACCTTCTTTAATTTTCTAGCTGCCTCTTCATAGGAGACATGCTGAACATCTCTTATCCTAGCCATCTCTGCCTCCTTCACCCTTACAGGACATTCAGGGAACTCATGTGCATGCTTCCCACCACAATTGCAATATTCAACGTCATCATCTTCTGCAGCAAAATAATCACTCAAGTCATACTCTCTGCAAACACTTGACACAATGTCATGCCCAAACACTTTGCATTTGGAACACTGCAGTAACCTGGGGACAAATGCCTTCACAGGGTAACTCACATATCCCATCTTGATATGTGTAGGGAGCGACTCCTCATCAAAAAACAGTAACACAGACGTACTCTTTATCTTCTTTCCATTGAACATACGTGTCAATCGTCAAGTCCCAACTACTTCAGAATTGTTAATCTTGATCTTCTCAGCCCCAACCCACAAAGACTCCAGAAATAGCACCATTGATTGGCTCCGAAAATAGAAAGCATTCACCTCTTTCTCCTTGATTCTGTGGGGCGCAATACACGCTCCTTTTGTTCTACCGACACAAAACATCAATAAAATTCCACTCCTGGTCCCCCTCACAGAATCCACAGAACCCATCAGTTTCTTCACCATCTTGGCAACATCAAAGCGGATCTCCCAGGTACATCTTCTTATCCTCAAACTGCACTCCTACAAAAACTGTGAAGTAGTTGCGCCATGAGCAGTAGGCTAACTAGACAGCGTTTTAACTGTGATTTTAGCTCTCTTTATCCATGCTTAGGCGACTATAGTCCATCCAGTATTCTCATCACCCTCATTGTCATCTTTGCTAGCGCCATCAGATTCAAACTCAGTATCGGCTTCCGCCATTCTCTCTCACACTGACAGATCGCAACATCTATGGTTGGTGCAGCTCCCCTCAGCTACGGATGTGGAATGGCTCCAATGCCATTGGAGTCATGAGAAGGGCTAGCCTTGCACAGGTGAGAGTGATTGGTCAATCAGTGCATAGCCTATAAACAGGTGTCAGAAGAAATTCTTAATCACTATTTGAAGGTGAGCTTGTGCTTTTGGGCTGTAACTTCAGTAGCCAGTTACTTAGCCTATGGATTTGACTTGAGCTGCGATTGCAAATTAGTCTTTGAAGTCCCTAAAGAAGCTAGGCCATTTAATCTCAACCTTTGTTTTTACTGCATTGCGAAGAGGGGGAATTTCCGGGTTATTGTTAAAATACCATGTCACTTTTCCATGAAAGAGGGAGACTCTGGATGTACTGATCAGTTATGTGGAGATGTATTTTTTTGGGGGATAAATCTTGTTCTGTCTCTTCCTCACCTGTCATTCAGATGCTTCACCTGACAATAGGACGCGTGGGGTGCTTTCTTTCCAGGCGAGCGGTGGTGGCACTGACAAACAGTGGTGTGAGGATGTCAAGCCATGGCCACCAAGGTATTCATTGATGTTGAACTGCATGCATAATTGTCTGTTGCAAAAATTGTTTATTTTCAGTTCAAATATGTATTAAAAAAAAGTATCACAATACACAGCCTAGTTCAGGTCTCTCCAACCCTGTTCCTGGAGAGCTACCCTTGTGTAGGTTTTCGCTCCAACCCCAGTTGTAACTAACTAGATTCAGCTTATCAACCTGCTAATTATTAGAATCAGTTGTGCTAGATTAGGGTTGGAGTGTACCTACAGGACAGTAGCGCTCCAAGAACATGGTTGGAGAGCCCTGGTGTTGTGTGGAGAGCCCTGGTGTTGTGTAGAGACACCTTTAGTCATGCTAGGTACATTTGAAATAGCATGACCTGCTGTGCCATTGCACTTATCAGCAGATTGTGGTGCATTTCAAGTAGTGAATGGAGCTACAAGCACAAATACCTGAGGCCTTTACCGCAAACTCCCCTGCACATACTTTCTATCATCAACGATGTGTCCTGTCTCCTGTATTGTAGAGGTGTCCGACAAAGTGGACATGTCCCAGCCAATGTACTCGGATCGTCTGGACACCCCTCTGCCAGACAGACCATGGAAGGATGTCCTCGACTCTACGGATAAGAGCCTGAAACAAAAGGAGAAGGGTCCCTGGACTGCACTGTCCAAGGAGGAGAAAATTGCCTGTAAGCCCCTCCCCCTCTCATTCCTTCTCATGTCACAGCCTTCAATCCTGCTATTCTTAAAATGTCTCCCTCTCTATCCCAGTGTACAGGCTGAAGTTCAACCACACCTATCCTGAGATGAAGAGGCCCTCCCATGAGTGGAAGACTGTCATCGGTGGGATGTTCATCTTCTTTGGCATCACTGGTCTGGTGGTCTTTTGGCAGGGCCACTATGGTAAGACTTAATAATCAATTAATTAAAGGGTATTTTAACATTAGGAGCATGCTCTCCACAGTTGCACGACAGATGCCTCATTCCTTCAACCTTATGCTGTGTCTAAACTATTTTGATGAAACTGCATTTCTCATGGTTGATTGCTAAACCTCCTCAAGTAATTATCACATGGATGGGCGACTGTTCCGTCCTCAAACTTGCTGTTCCTTTTTTATCCTTTGTGTGTCCCACAGTGTACCCACCCCAACCTCCTACCTTTGGTGAGGAGTGGCAGGCTAAGCAGATCCAGAGGATGCTGGATATGCGGGTCAACCCAATTGAGGGCTTCTCTGCCCAGTGGGACTACAAGAACAAACAATGGAAGTAAAGGAAGGGAATAGACCACTGCTGGAAGGAGGAACGGTTCGACTTGACACCTTGAGCCTCTGTTCAGCCAACAGCCTCCCCTCCCACCATAGCGGCAATCCATCTGAATCCATTCTTACTGTTGAAGTAATAAAAGACTAAAAACTGTTTGTTTCCTTCTCTCTGAGAAAATAAGAGTGTAATATTATTGGCTGCTTGTCCTCAACCTAATTTCTTCTTTAGTGTTCCTGTGGTAGTGTCTGGTTTGGCCCTGAGAGTATTGAGATGTACCATTGCCTTCGTGGTCCTGACACACTCAACGTTAACAAACACAGGCTACATTTGTTTTATCCCCTTGCTGTGAAATGTAAGCAAAAAAAAATGTGCATGGACATTTCTATTCTAAAATGGTCAACTGTATCAAGAGTATTACTCCACGACGAAGTATACACATCAATCCTTGTACCTTTTGTTCCCCTTCCCTAAAATCAGTTGTAACATTGCAAAGAATATTAGTGTCCTGTAGAAAATGCTTAAATTAGTCTAGGGTTGAAGATGGATGGAAAACAAGTTGAAGATCATTACTACAGGAAAGGAGGTAAGGGACACCATTGAGCCCATTACATTAACTATTCCTTAGGATGTTCTCTCCTTTAATATTTGATTTTCATCAATGGATGTCTTCTGGCCTTTCTTTACCAAAATAAAAATTCAGTGTTCTCTCAATGTTCCACATGGGTCTTTATTCATTTCATGTAATCTAAGATATTACATTGGAATTATATGACAAAGACCATTCAACATGGTGTTTACTCCTTTATGCCATAGGTGTCACTCATTCCACAGAGGGCCAAGTGTCTGTGGGTTTTCGCCACTCCCTTGTCCTTAATTGATTAATTAAGGTCACTAGTAAGGAACTCTCCACACCTGGTTGTCTTGGGCTTAATTGAAAGGGAAAAACCTGCAGATACTTGGCCCTCCATGGAATGAGTTTGACACCCCTGATTTAAGCTATCAATGGGGAAATAACTATTTTAGCAGTTAAACACAATGAATTACAAAGGCTATGTTTAAACAGGCAGCCCAATTCAGATATTTATTTCGCTAATTGGTCTTTTGAACAATCAGATCTGGTCAAAGACCAATTAGTGGAATACAGATCAGAATTAGGCTGCCTGTGTAAAAGCAGCCAAATACACAAATGCAAAGATGGAATTTCAGGCCATTTGAAGGGACACTATATGCTTTACACCAAATATCTTAAATAACATTTCAAAGTCTTAAATATGTTACTAAGCTATGATACTATTCTAATCATTGTTTTAAATAACTAGTATACATAGTGTGGTGTCAATGCGGTTTAGATTCCTTCTTGTGCTTCCTGCAAACATTTGCCATACAGAATCCATTCCACACGCATGCACACAATCTCACATAGGTGGAGGGAACTTCTTTACGTAACAAAGGTCACATTGCAGAAAAGCCTGCAAGCAGCTTTTTGTGGAGCACACACTAGAAAAATATATACTGTATTGGAATGTATCATCAAATCAGATCCGTGATGAAATGGTGGTGTTCATGATCAGTTGGTGAATATTTATCTAAAGTAGCATTTATTCATAGGTAAAGTGAAAACCTTGACCCCAGAGAAACCAATATGTGTTCTTAAGAGATCAGACTGAAAATAATCAGGTAGAGAAGAGCATCAAGACCCTAAGCAGGGTGATGGTATACCTGAACACATGCTCCACATTAGCGGACTCATCTAAATACCCTGGAGGGCCCTGTACTGTATGTTAGAGGCTTTGTCTCTGATATCATGGAGGTTATTGGTCAGATAAATGAATCCTGATGAAACAAAAGTTATTCATCACCAATAGAGAAATCTACTTTTAAATCTGTTGTGTCACCAATATTTTGCAGGAAATGCATAGAAAACATGGGCTGAATAAAAAAACTAACATCAGGGCTTTGACATAACATAAAGCATATAAAAAAGGTTATGCCTCCAGTCCAAACATAGCTCAGCTACACTGTTCAAATAAAATGTGGAAAGAACACAGCAAGTGAAAGAGAGAGCATCAATCCAGCTTTGAAATGCAGGACAGCTGAAAACAGGAGCCTCTGGCTGATGTAAGTCTGGCCTGTGTTTACAACTGTACCTGCCACACAAGAGGACCCCCTACGTCCCTAGGGCGCCGTTCCCTGAAGCAGAGATAGGTCAGAATGTGAGTAGAGGAGTTGCACCCATCTCGCCTCTTTCCTCCCATCCACTCACCTGTCAGCTCAGGAGCGTGACACTATAAATTGCCAGACGACAAACACCCTCCTGACTGACGCAGTGTTTAAATTAAAGATGTTTGGAAACTAAGGAATGGTTCTCCTCAGTCTGTCGACTAGGTTTGACAGGAGATGTGCTCTGAACAGCAGGTGGGCCTGTGTTGAGTGACGCACGCCCTCAGCTGCCGTGACAGGGAGAACAGAAATTAAATGTGCCACATTTTGTGGAAACGAAGGCACAGAGACAGAGGTGGCAGGTTGAATGGGTCCCGCCCTGAAGCTTGCCTGCCAACAGTTTCATGTCTCAAGAGCTATATGCACATCAGAAGTCTCACTTATCTGTTAACCCACTAAATAAGGTTTCTGCTTCATTCATCTTCTATCTTATTAGCGAAACAAATTACCATTAGGCTGTGTTACAAGTTGTAAATACTGAACAATCTTTCTCTCCATGATAAAAAAAACTGAGCCTTTGTACCAACAGTTGCTAGAATAAATACTCTTCATCACTGGCTCTTGGTTTGTTGTGCACCTTCTGTTTTCTGTCTAGCCAGGCCAGGGCTGTGTGTGTGTGTCAGGTATGTGTTTACCACCATCAGGACAGGAAATTATCACGTGGGTTTTAATTGAAAAAAAAAAAACCAAAAAAACCAAAAAGACAAATATGAACACACACACGGAAAATTGTATCACCTCACTCATTTCAGGCCAATGCGCCTGACGTGGTGCGCTAGCGTCAAGATTGAAAACTGTCTCAATCACTCGTTTCACTTAACCACTCGCATACAAATATATATATTTAGAATTAACAATATATTGAGCTACTGAGTGTGATATTGGCTGTCTTTTGCTGGCTAGGTTGTTTGGAGCGCACTGTATCTACAAAGCAGCCATGTCAAAACTGCACTGAGGTGTACAGATGTTGATTTTCAGTGCCCTTTTTCCCTCCTTTCACAGGGGGACAGGTGGCAAGTTTGTCCTTCTGTCTGCCCATATGGCGACCATCATACCGGTGGGGGTTAGAGACCAACAACAAGACAAACCTCTGAGAGAAGGATTTACTAGCCCCATCAGCACAGACTACTTGAAAATGGCCTATAGATGGAGCACATCATGCAAAATGAAAGTAAATTTGTAAAAACAAATTAATACAGCAATTGGAGAAGAGACAGGCAAGAGTAAACCAAGGAAACTGAGGAACATTTGGTCCAAGACAGTTATACCCTCCTCCATTTTCTTGTGTTTTAGGGTGTTGCAGGGAGGTGTTAGATGAGGGTAACATTATATTGACCATCACTCTTTAATCTCAACAGTTTGTCAGAGTCCTCAGTGCATCGTGGGATGTAAGGTTCAACCGTAAACATGTCCTTTCTTGGCAAATAAAGGAGAAATATGAAAGCAAAAAAACGTCCTTCATTTTTTTTCACTACAAGATGCCGTCTGTGGTTGTCGTTCTCACAGGCGTTTCTGAGCGATGAGTGACCCTACGACGACTCCTGTGACCAGCGTCATCCCCGCCAGCAGCCACTTCTTAAAGCTCTCCTGAGACTTCCTGCTCTCGGCTGCAGCGTCCTTCCCAAAGATCTCTGCAAACCGGTCCTGGAGACAGGAGAGAGGGAGTTAGTGCTTAAGAGTTTTAGATTTAGTTCCCCATTAGCCAATGGCGACAGCTAGTCTTCCTGGGGTCCAATGCATAAGTAAAAATACATTAGACCAAAATACTTTACAATTTATACATTTAAAAACATTAACAGACATTATAGACTTACATACAGTACATTAGTATATATACACCTTAACTAGGTTAACTTGGTCAGATAGGGGAGAGGCGTTGTGCTGTTTTATTTGTTTTGCTGTTTGCTTGAGTAATTTGAGATGGGAGTTCCATGTGATCATGGCTCTATATAATACTGTGCGTTGCCTTGAATTCGTTCTGGATTTGGGGACTGTGAAGAGTCCCCTGGTGGCATGTCTGGTGGTGTAAGTACACTATATATACACAAAAATATGTGGACACCCCTTCAAATTAGTGGATTCGGCTATTTCACCCACACCCTTTGCTGACAGGTGTATAAAATCGAGCTTACAGCCAAGCAATCTCCATAGACAAACATTGGCAGTAGAATGGCCTGACAGAAGAGCTCAGTGACTTTCAATGTGGCACTGTCATAGGATGCCACCTTTGCAACAATTCAGTTAGTCAAATTTCTGCCCTGCTAGAGCTGCCCCGGTCAACTCGAAGTGCTGTTATTGTGGCTAGGAGCAACAACAGCTTAGCCGCGAAGTGGTAGGCCACACAAGCTCACAGAACACAACCGCTGAGTGCTGAAAAATCCTCAGTTAAAAACACTCACTACCGAGTTCCAAACTGGCTCTGGATGCAACGTCAGCACAAGAACTGTTCGTCGGGAGCTTCATGAAATGGGTGTCCATGGCCAAGCAGACTCACACAAGCCTAAGATCAACATGCGCAATGCCAAGTGTCGGCTGGAGTGGTGTAAAGCTCGCCGCCATTGGACTCTGGAGCAGTGGAAACGCGTTCTCTGGCGTGATGACTCACGCTTCACCATCTGGCAGTCCAACTGACTAATCTGGGTTTGGTGGATGCCAGGAGAACGCTACCTTCCCGAATGCATAGTGCCAACTATAAAGCTTGGTGGAGGAGGAATAATGGTCTGGGGCCATTTTTCATGGTTCGGGCTAGGCCCCTTAGTTCCAGTGAAGGGAAATCTTAGCATACAATGACATTCTAGACGATTCTGTGCTTCCAACTTTGTGGCAACAGTTTGGGGAAGACCGTTTCCTGTTTCAGCATGACAATGCCCCCATGCACAATGAATTTGCATTGCTGACTGCGACCCAGGCCTAATCACCCAACATCAGTGCCCGACCTCACTAATGCTCGTGGCTGAATGGAAGCAAGTCCCCGCAGCAATGTTCCAACATCTAGTGGAAAGCCTTCCCAGAAGAGGCTGTTATAGCAGCAAAGGGGGGACCAACTCCATATTAATGCCCATGATTTTGGAATGAGATGTTCGATGAGCAGGTGTCCACATACCTTTGGTCATGTAGTGTATGTCTGGCAGAGCTTTATGTAAGTTGATTATACAGACAATTTAGAATTTTCAACACAATCCTTCTCACAAAAACAAGAACTGATGCAATCACTCTCTTCTCTACTTTGAGCCAATATAAACTGACATGCATTTTGTTGACGTTAGCCCTCTGTGTACATTGAATGGCAAGACGTGCTGCTCTGTTCTGGGCCAGCTGCAGCTTTTCTAGGTCCTTCTTTGCAGCACTTGACCATGTCACCGGGCAATAGTCAAGATTAGATAAAACTAGAGCCTGCAGGACTTGTTTGGTCAACTGTGGTGTTAGAAATGCTGAGCATCTCTTTATCACAGACAGACCTATCCCCATCTTTACAACAATCAATATGCCTTGGCCATGATCATTTTTTACAGTCTAAGGTGACACCAAGAAGTTTAGTCTCCTCAACTTGCTCAACAGCCACATCATTCATTACCAGATTCAGCTGAGGTCTAGAACTTAAGGAATGATTTGTACCAAATACAATGCTTTTACATTTTAGATATGTTCAGGACTAGTTTATTACTAGCCACCCATTCCAAAACTGACTAACTCTGTTTAGGGTTGCAGTGATTTCACTAGCTGTGGTTGCTGACGTGTATAACGTTGCATCATCAGCATACATAGACACACAGGCTTTGTTTAATGCTAGTAAAAATAGAACAGTAAAAGGGCCAAGACAGCTGCCTTGCGGAATACCACACTTTACATGTTCTACATTAGAGAAGCTTCCATTAAAGAAAACCCTCTGTTCTATTGGATAGATAGCGCTCAACCCATGATATGGCAGATGATGTAAAGCCATAACCCATACGTTTTTCCAATAATAGATTATGTTCAACAAAATGAAAGGCTGCGCTGAAGTGTAACAATACAGCTCCCACAATCTTTGTATTATCAACAAAAACATTTTAAAATCCTTTTCTGGATATAGCCACTATATTATCGTCACTTCATCCAATGGGTGTGGATACAGCATTAGAACAAAGTTCTGCAGCATTAGTAAAAATGTGATCAATACACATAGATTATATAGTTCCTGTAGTCTTTGTAAACACCCTGGTAGGTTGATTAATAACCTGAACCAGGTTACAGGCACTGGTTACAGTGAGAAGCTTCCTTTTGAGCGGACAGCTTGATGAAAACCAGTCTATATTCAGGTCAACCAGAAAATAGACCTCTGTTAACATTATATACACCATCAAGCATTGCACACATATTATCCAGATATTGACTGTTAGCATTTGGTGGCCTATAGCAGCACCCCAAAATAAGAGGTTTTATATGAGGAAGGTGAACTTTCAACCGCAACACTTCAACAGCATTAGACATGAGATCCTCTCTAAGCTCAACAGAATTAGGTGAAATTACATCCTATACCTTTATTATATAATGCACTCATTTTAAATCAGAGCCAAATCAGACTAGAAAGTAATCAGAAGTAGTTGGCAACACTTTTAATGGATAGGGTGTCTGTTGAGACACAACCACACACACAATCAACCCCCACAAGTGTCCCTACACCTCCAAGATACAATAGTAAGGTACTAGCAAGAAGCAATGGGCTTATGAGGGGAGGGAAAAAGGTGTTGTTTGGACATTTTCATCAATCATCACTTCGATACGACAGACAAAAATATAAATGTCACCAGCACGTCCACCATCACAAAACGTCTCTATGCCGTTATTTTGAACTGCAGTAACCCCAAGTGAATAACTTTAATTGTTGACAATTTCCCCACCGTCGTGTCATCCTTAGCCCACCCCTTCCAGTAATTCATTCGAGAACAACCCAGAACATTGACATAACATTCTGCAATTCTGGCTACAGCCACAAGAGGGAACAAGCTCACATTGGATGATTCATCTGCTTGTGTCTGGTGCTGATGTTATGGCTGGGGGGGGGGGGTTTAGTGCAGTGAATTGTGGACTGACGTGGCAGTAAAATATTTATCTGAAACAATCTTATACCAAAACGGATAACTATAAACCAAATAGTTGACATAACTGTTTGTGTAGCCTTCATAACGTAACATTCATATGGTGACTCAGACTGCAGGAATTCAAATAAGGTAGAGAATCATTCGAGACATTCCAAACATGCTGCTTTGATTAAAGATGTGCGTGTGCCTCCGACACCCCTCGCTTCCTTCCGCTCTAACAGGGTGATACATCGTCACTCCTTCTCTTTCCTGCTGACTTCAACAATACAGAACAAAACTTAACAATGGAATCTGGGAAGAGGGAAGCACAGAAACAGCACGAAAGCGCCAAGACGGCTCTGTTTGTGTGTATACGTGTGTGTGGTGGCAGGTAGCCTAGCGGTTAAGATCGTTGGGCCAGTAGGCGAAAGGTTGCTGGTTTGAATCCTCGAGACAACTAGGTGAAAAATCTGTCGATGTGCCCTTGAGCAAGGCACTTAATCATAATTGCTCCTGTAAGTCGCTCTGGATAAGAGCGTCTGCTAAATGACTAAAATGTATATTGAATGCATGCATATGTGTGCGTCTGGTAAAGGGCTTCTGAGGAATCGAGAGATTGATTTCGTAGGAGAGGCCGTTTCTGAGAAAAAGAGTGGGTCGGTGACATGGCGGGGGCAGATAACAGAGAGACTGAGAATAATTTTTATCAGGGCCAGGGAGTTAACGAAACGCTAAAGATGACCACAGTCCTGAGGACCTCAGCTAGCACTGCCAGACAGACAATACTGCTGGCCTACAGATACAAACACACTCCCATGAATACTGTAAATTACACCCAAAGTGTTCACATTCATCACTGCACACTTGACTCATTGATTCCGGTGGAAACACCTGTCAAAAAAAAAAACAACCAGGGGCAAACCAAGCTACTGTAGGTGTGTCTCGTGTGTCTGTGTGCGAGTAGATTCTAAAGGAATTTCAACTAGCACAGGAGCCAGCAGCACTTCACAAGAGGTGAAGCCATGGAGATCGGTCCCTGTGAGAACTGCTTGAAGAGGTATGGGAGGAATCTTGTGGGTGTAAAGAATAAAGATCGCAGTTTGTGAATACGTTAAGGCATGTTCGAGTACAGAGACAATTAGTGACAGGTGGAATGGAACGTCATTTTTTACATGAAATATACTAGATTTCACTTCACTTTCCCTCTCCCGAATAGGCTACCTGTCACTTTCTCCCAATTTTTCTACCATACCATCTAGGTCCATGTTCATATGTATCTTTATTGTTTGTCTTGCACAATGGAGCAATAGTACCCAGATCTCTAAGCTCCACACTGCTTCCTGTGATCCATCATCATGGCAGCAACATACTCAACCCTGTAGTCATCAGTGCTTATTGTGCTCTGGAGCTCTGAAGTGCAATGTACGTGCCCAGGCATGCCTATAAAATGTACACACGCAAGCACATTGGCACACACACACACACACACACACACACACCTGATTGAATCCACATAGGCCTACTGTATAACCACACCTTCCTAGTGAACTGGGGTTTGAAAAGGCCTACATGTTAAATTACAGGCAGTAAATCACACTGACATATTGTAATGTTTCTGTGTATGGGTCTCTGTGTCTATCTGTTTGACTGGTTCGGTCTCAGTCACTCCTGCGAGGTAGCTAAGCCTAAACTTGCTCGCTCTCTCTCTCTATTCCACCTGTTCCCCAGAGATGTTAGATGCTAAGCTGCACCTGTTCCCCAGAGATGCTACGTGCTAAGCAGCAGCCGTTCTAAGGTGTTTTCCAACCTCTGGTTTTTTCTGTGTTTTTCAATCGTTAGCTGAAGAGAGAAAAAGGCGGAAGAGGGAAAGAGTGAGAGAGGTTTGTGGGACAGAGGAAAAACAAGATTTAATTTGAAGGTTGCCATGGTTACCAGAGCGCAGCTGATCGGTGTGTTTGGGTCTGATAGATTGCCCAAGACTAGATCCCTGAGAGGATAGAACATTAAGGCAATCAACAACACCGGCCTCTGAGTCAGTTTGTAATCGGTTACTTCACTGTTGCACCACCATCATGACCTGCAACCATGTCTCCATGGGTCCACTAGATTAGTCAGAATACTTATAGAAAAAATAAAATTATGAAATTGGTTACTTTACAGACTGGAAGCAATAGTCTAAACTTCAAAACCGAAGTGTTTCTCTCCATAATGTAGAGTCCTTAATTCCCCAGAGAGAGGTGGAATTGGCCAGCAGCAGCTGATCTGGGCAGGTCTATTTCAGTAGAAGCTTCAGTCTGGCAAGCAAAAGGGAAAATGGCAGCAAAACATGGTTGCTAAAGAATTAAAACAATGCTAAAAGGGGAGCGTTCCATTCAAATTCAGAAAGTAATCCAGAATGTTCAACTACTTCTGTGAACTCCAGAATTCTGGCATGGCCCTGGGCACCGAGAGGCCTCTGAATAGAAAAACTAACAAAGAAAGCCAGATTCAGCTTTAAACCAGCCCAATGAAAGACAATGGAGGGTTGCAAAACCTCTTGGTCACACTGGCCGGATGTCCTATCAAATGCTGCATTCTTCAGTGATTGGGCTGGAGATCTGGATTGAATCCAGTACTTGAGTAATGAGTAAATCACCTCATAAGAAGGACATGGTCTTGGACATGTTTTGAATTTCCTCTGACCTTTGCTGAGTCATAACGAACTAAGTCCCTCTGTGACCCAGTTGTGTGACCGTAGACGGGGTGCTGGTTACAGTCAAGAGCTGAGGCGGGATTTTAGAACAGTCTAACATGAAAGAGGATGACAGTGTAAAGGCCAAGCTGTCACTAGACCGACTATAGTCTAGTCCTAAGCAACTCTTCCTGCTCATTGTAACACACAGGACGTGTTGTGCTTCTGGGGCAAAAGTGAAATTCCACATCACGTCAGTGTGGTTTGTTTGTTGAGTAACTGTTGCGTTTCATGACATTTTGGAGGGACCTCAAAAGGAAGGCTAGTCATCTTGCCGCTGGCCAAAATGGTGAACTGAATCTGCTCATACTGACCACAGTTTGACCCTTTTATCTGCTGTCATGTGATGCTACAGTAAAGCATACAGGGCCAAACTAGACTAGAGGTACTGCGCCCACCCTCAGAAAACAACTCACCATGCCTGTCGGCAGATCATCATAATTAGCTATGAGAACTGGCAGACAGTCATCCTCCAGAGAGTGTGAGAGTCGGGCTTTGTGCCAAACCATGGAGCACAGGGGTACTGCAGTGTGGGGGAGGGGAGGGGTTAATAAACCAGGCAAGTCCCCGGGGCTAGGTTCTGTTCTGCCTTTAACTTTGCCTGCTCAAGGAGAACACTATCTAGCTATAAAGACTGGTGACTGATTAAACACGAGTCCACACTTAGCAACACTGCTATTTATGCCCCTTTAATACAACACCAACGCAAGGGTGAAGTTAGAGACGCCTACATTAGCTAGGATGTGGTCTGGTAAGGAGGTAAATAGGGATCAAGGAACTTGAACCCAGATGAGGTCCTATGGTGACATCTCAGCTGGCTGTTAGTTACTGTAGGTTCTACACATGAAGGAGCTGGCATTGAGGGTCTGACCCCTTTCTCTTCCTCTAATGGGGTTGTGTGTCTGTGTCCCTGCTGATCCATCCGGAGGTGAATCCATGAATTAAAGAGGAGATTAATGAGTCAGGACATTCAGGCTCAGACACCAATCTGTTCCCCTTCTCACTGGGGCTCACCAGCAGCGCAGCCCCCATTCTGTCACCACTGCACTCCGCACAGTCTAGGAAAAAAGGGACCACAGCCGCAACACACAGAGAAACGTGTGTGTGCGCGCATGTGTTGCTCTTGAGTTCTCCTTTATGTCACCAGCAGCACCACATCAACTTTAACCCTCAAAACACTCACCCCCACTAACACCCCTTACAAAGTGGCAAAGACCTCCCATCTGTCTGAAAGAGAGCGAGAAAAGAAGAGAAAATGATAGTGTATGCCAGAGGAAGAAATTAATGAGATAGTGAGGGGTGCAATAAGGGAAGGAGCGGAATAATTTAATAAAACATTCTACAATATGGCTTTGTTATTACATTGCCAACCAGTTGAATAACAATGATCATGATGATGATGGTGGTGATAAGTCAGCTTTATCATCATCATTACAGTGCCATCAGATTCTGTAATATTTGCTGGGCACCATTATCACCATCTGTCAGTTTCATACATCACAGCTACCACACTAATCCCATAATCTGATATCAGTTATGAGGAGAGAGCGAGCGAGAGAAGAAAATGCTAAAGAGAGAGGGGTTAGATGTAGCCTATACAGTCGAATAAAGCAGCAAATAAGAAAAACCAACTGCAAATAAGAGAAACAGCCAGAGAAACAGAGGGAGATATTCAGAGGGACGGAGACATTCAGAGGGACGGAGAGGGAGGTATTCAAAGGGACGGAGAGGGAGGTATTCAGAGGGACGGAGAGGGAGGTATTCAGAGGGACGGAGAGGGAGGTATTCAGAGGGACGGAGAGGGAGAAAATGAGGGAAAGAGAGTGAGTGAGGGAGGGGGGAAAGAATTGCTCATGACCTGATTTTCCACACTAAGCCTGTTCAGAACTGGAGCAGAGAGAGCAGCAGCAGCCAAGCAGGCACAATGTTTCCACTAAGAGTGCACCAAAAAACTGACTGCTGCTGCTCTAGTTCTCTACCAACTAACACAGCAGACATTCATGGTGTCACGGAGTCATTCTGGTCCCATCTAAGGTAGCTAACTGCTCAAACAGTCCTGGTTGTATGTCTCCAGGGCCCAGCAGTAGCTACAGTAATGCATCTGCTGCCTGTAGCCCTATTAGCGAGACGGTTGTACAGTAGGTTACATGATGCCCCAGACTCTGCCTGCCTGCCTTCTGCAGAAGACCTAGTCTCCACCCCCCTGCTGCACACAGACTGAGCCAGATCAGCACAGCTGGGTGTCTGGAGCTCTGTGCAGAATCAGATGCATGCTGCCATATTTAGAGCACAGTGACGGCTCATTGCTCAGGGTGGTGATACTCAGTTGAATGGCGAGCTGTGTTGAAGTACACCAAGTCAGCCAGTAGTGCTGCAGGTCAGTCTTCCACGTCGCTGGCTGATGCGCTGATAGAGGCTATACAGTGCCTCCAGAAAGTATTTATACCCCTTGACTTATTCAACATTTTGTTGTGGTACAGCCTGAATTGAAATTTGATTTCTCACCCATCTACAATACCCCATAATGACAAAAGTGAAAACATGTTTTTAGAAATTTTGGCAAATGTATTGAAAATGAAATACAGAAATTGAATTTACATAAGTATTCACACCGCAAGTCAATACTTTGTAGGAGCACCTTCGGCAGCGATTACAGCTGTGAGTCTTTCTGGGTAAGTCTAAGAGCTTTCCACACCTGGATTGTGCAACATTTGCTCATTATTCTTTTCAAAATTCTTCAAGCTCTTTCAAATTAGTTGTTGATCATTACTACACAACCATTTTCAGGTCTTGCCATAGATTTTCAAGAAGATTTAAGTCAAAACTGTAACTCAGCTACTCAGAAACATTCACAGTCTTCTTGGTAAGCAACCCCAGTGTAGATTTGGCCTTGTGTTTTAGGTTATTGTCCTGCTGACAAGTGAATTAATCTCCCAGTGTCTGTTGGAAAGCAGACTGAACCAGGTTTTCTTCTAGGATTTTGCCTGTGCTTAGCTCTATTCAGTTTCTTTTTTTATCTTGAAAAACTCTCCAGACCTTAACGATTACAAACAAGCATACCCATAACATGATACAGCCACCACTATGCACCCGTGCGTCAATCTAAGTAACATAATTGTATGTTTTTTTGCATGGGCTGCATCTCAACCCACCGCATCCGCCGATGTCGGCCTGCCGCATCTGGAAGGTGGCCGAGCAACAGCGGTGTTCGTCAGACCATGAGACATCCTGCCGCATCTGGAAGGTGGCCGAGCTACAGCGGTGTTCGTCAGACCATGAGACATCCTGCCGCATCTGGAAGGTGGCCGAGCTACAGCGGTGTTCGTCAGACCATGAGACATCCTGACCCATCTGGAAGGTGGCCGAGCTACAGCGGTGGTCGTCATACCCTGGAGACATCCTGCCGCATCTTGGAAGTGGCCGGAGCAACAGCGGTGTTCGTCAGACCATGAGAAAATCCGCGCCGGCCCATCTTGGAATGGTGGCCGAGCTACAGACGGTGTTCGTCAGACCATGAGGGACATCCCCTGCCAGCATCTGGAAGGTGGCCGAGCTACAGCGGTGTTCGTCAGACCATGAGACATCCTCCGCATCTGGAAGGTGGCCGAGCAACAGCGGTGTTCGTCCGACCATGAGACATCCTGCCGCATCTGGAAGGTGGCCGAGCAACAGCGGTGTTCGTCAGACCATGAGACATCCTGCCGCATCTGGAAGGTGGCCGAGCTACAGCGGTGTTCGTCAGACCATGAGACATCCTGCCGCATCTGGAAGTGGCCGAGCTACAGCGGTTGTTCGTCAGACCATGAGACATCCTGCCGCATCTGGAAGGTGGCCGAGCTACCAGCGGTGTTCGTCAGACCATGAGACATCCTGCCGCATCTGGAAGGTGGCCGAGCTACAGCGGTGTTCGTCAGACCATGAGACATCCTGCCGCATCTGGAAGGTGGCCGAGCAACAGCGGTGTTCGTCAGACCATGAGACATCCTGCCGCATCTGGAAGGTGGGCCGGAGCTACCAGCGGTTGTTCGTCAGACCATGAGACATCCTGCCGCATCTGGAAGGTGGCCGAGCTACCAGCGGTGTTCGTCAGACCATGAGACATCCTGCCGCATCTGGAAGGTGGCCGAGCTACAGCGGTGTTCGTCAGACCATGAGACATCACTGCCGCATCTGGAAGGTGGCCGAGCTACAGCGGTGTTCGTCAGACCATGAGACATCCTGCCGCATTGGAAGGTGGCCGAGCTACAGCGGTTGTTCGTCAGACCATGAGACATCCTGCCGCATCTGGAAGGTGGCCGAGCTACAGCGGTGTTCGTCAGACCATGAGACATCCTGCCGCATCTGGAAGGTGGCCGAGCTACAGCGGTGTTCGTCAGACCATGAGACATCCTGCCGCATCTGGAAGGTGGCCGAGCTACAGCGGTGTTCGTCAGACCATGAGACATCCTGCCGCATCTGGAAGGTGGCCGAGCTACAGCGGTGTTCGTCAGACCATGAGACATCCTGCCGCATCTGGAAGGTGGCCGAGCTCCAGCGGTGTTCGTCAGACCATGAGACATCCTGCCGCATCTGGAAGGTGGCCGAGCTACAGCGGTGTTCGTCAGACCATGAGACATCCTGGAAATCGGTAGTGTCCGAACGGTTGGGTCTATAAACTAATATGACCACTATGGAAAGATGCTCACGAACATAATTGTGTTTTCCGTTTGGTCTACGACCCCAAAAAGTGTCACAGGTCTCATCTGAAGTCGGTACCGCCGATGTGCCAACTTGTCTGTAGCGTCCGAACCGTTTGGGCTACAAACTAATGGAAAGGGGAGATTCTCGCGAACATGATGGTGTTCTCCCCCACAATTGTCACTCGTCTGAAGGCAACCCGGTACCGGTTTTAAAAAATGAATGGAAGTATGGAGGTAGTTGTGCCAACAAAAAGAAGGGGTTAAATGTGTCAAAAAAACTAAAATATTTTCTGAGCTTTCTTATATATTCTAGATAAAGGACAGACACTTCAAAACCTTATTCATTATGATTTATTTAAATATTAATTAAAAAAAAAAACATAATTCCACTTTGACATTATGGGCTATTGTGTGTAGGCCAGTGACAAAAACAACCTCAATTTAATCCGTTTTAAATTCAGGCTGTAACAACAAAATGTGGAAAAAGTCAAGGGGTGTGAATACTTTCTGAAGGCACTGTAAAATCGAGGGGAATTGTCGCTAAATGGAAAGCCCCATTGGGCAAGACCACATTACGCACAGACACAAACAAACATATACACACAGACGGAGACAGACACACACACCAGAGATCCACTGTTGTTAACACACCCATCTATCCCTAGACACTGACTAGTGTCTTGTCCCCTGGCTACATCCTGCAATCTCATCCAGTCAGTAGCGTACAGGTGATGTTGGCTGGATCCCCATCCAACCCTGGAGAAGCGGAGCAGCCCAACCTTCCTTGAAGGTGAGTTGAGTTGAGCGGAGCCCCCCCCCCCCACGCCGCTCCCCCTACAACCCTGGCGCAATGGATTGGCCCAGTCTCTCCTTTCCCCTCAGAATCAAACCTACTGCCTCAGACTGATGGTTATGTGACAAGGCTGAGGGAGACGGAATCACACCATCTGTTTACTGCCATTGTCACTCAGTCACTGACACACCATCAACCACACACACTCACCATCAACACAAACAATACAGGGATGCAAGACTGAACAAATTAATAAGGAAACAATTTATAGCAAAAGATAGCCTACATAAAACACACAGGCTTGGGAAGAAAAGTGTGTGTGTGTGTGTACACACATAATGGGGGTTGTTGTTTTTGAGCACTCAATACTGGTTACCATTGAACAAATGCAAACAAGGTTGTGAGTATTCTGTGCATTGTGGAGGTTAGAGAAACAGACGGACAACGTCTGACCCACGTTAAGATCATCTACCCTCTATTGATGAGAATGACTCTCTGTCACTATGAGTTTACATAGCAGCACTATCTTTAGAGACAGCTGGGTAACAGCAGATAGCAAACCACATTACTGTGTGTGTGTGGGGGGGGTACGTGTGTGTGTGTGTGTGTGTGGGGGGTACGTATGTGTGTGTGTGTGTGTGTGTGGGGGGGGGGGGGGGTACGTGTGTGTGTGTGTGTGTGTGTGTGTGTGTGTGTGTGTGTGTACAGCCAGAGGTCCTTTGTTTAAGGTGGTCAGGTGAATGATCTATGTGGTGCTATTCCATCTCACAATGCAAAGTACTGCACAAAAAGTACTGCTAACACGTTCACTCAAATCAGATTTTTTTTTTTACTAAATATGAAATGTACACTCAAAAACAATGGTGACCAGGTTATCTAGACATTCAGGAAGAAGGGGATCGAGGGAGGGGGCTATCTGAGGCTTCATCTATCAGGGGAGAGGTGGGGGAGGATACAATCAGCCGTGATTGGTGATCAAGTCAAACGGATCGAAAGAAATTAGGAGAAATTGATGGATGGTTGGATTGGTAAACAAACGGAAGAACACATGACGGTGAGCGGGGACATATCACGGTGACGCTGGCGTGTTGTTGCCTGTCTGGTCTGAAACATCTGCTAGTGCGTGGTGTGGTGGTTGGGGGAGGGAGGATGAGAGAGAAGGAGGGAGGGTTGATCGGTCCCAGGGGTACAATCTCCTTGTCCTTTCCTTCAGGGCAGTCAGAGACTATGGCAAGGAAAAGGCGTGTCGTCTGTATCTGCGTATCCTATGTGCATGGTAATGAGTGTGTGTGTATTATTTATAATGCCACTGGAGCAAATATGTGCTGCCTATAAAATGCCCACAGAAGGACAATGGTAAGAGCTCAGGTGTTCCAGACAACAGAGTATAGGATATGAATACAGTCTGATGTAAGAGTAAAATGTAGCTTGTATGATGTCATGTGTTAGGTAGGGGCTATGGTTGAGGTGTAGCACTCTCACAGGAGATTCATGAAGACCTCACAAGACAAAGGAGAAACGCAGGAAATAATGGAATAGTTTCTCTATTGGCGTCCTCCACCTCTTCCCAGTCCCAACTATCATTCTCAGAGCTGCTCTTCTCCCACTGACAGTCCAAATGAGTTATCCATTACTACATTATTAGCCTGTCAGAGCAAGGTCCGAGCAAGGCCCCCACAAACAATATATTTTTGTTGTTGTTGAATCTTTGGGGCAGAGTGAAAAATGTGCAGTTGTATAGATAATCTGGTGCTATTTTACACATTTTGCCATGAGTCAGAGAAAATGTTGCTGTTTTAGAGCTAATTTACTGCTATTCTACACATTGTCATAGTACATTTCATGTAATAAAAATTCATGGCTTATGATGTGCTGTATGGGGGGGGGTTGCAGTCAGAACAAAAGCATTTACCGAGCACAGCCAAATATTATTCACCCAGAATTGGTAATAACCCAAACCCCCCCTAATTTTTTCTCCCTACACCCCTCACCTTACTTTTAGATGGGGCAGGAGGGAGGGGGTAGTAGTCAGTCTGCTATTGGTTAAGAGGTCAGACATACCAAGAAAACTGATGGCCGATAGTTAGCACAGTAAGAGGCCGTTCCTTCTCTTGCTAGAACAAAAGATGCACCTGCTGAGTACCGCCGAGCCTGCCGTTTCTACTTGTAGAATCGCCCTGCTCGTCAGTGGACCACAACTTGACTTTGAGCTAATCAGAGCGCACGAACCGCCACGTGGGGGAGCGGACAGGAGTGACAAGATAAAGGAAGAAAGAGAGCACTTTAATCCACCCTCTTTTCATCAGAATTGTTCTAACTAAAACAAATAAAATCTGTATACCACCCAACCCTACTAGCTAACGTTAGCTAAACGGTTTGCGTAGCCATTGGCCAGTTAACACAACATCGCTAGCTACTCCACTGACTCACGGTAGCTAAACAGGCAGCTGCTTCATTAAAAAACAAATCCATCATGATTTAATTATAATGTTGCTAGCTACACTAGTTATCTGGCTAGTATAAATAAGGGCTTACTATAAATTCTAGCTAGCTAGCAACATTAGTGCAGCTTGCTAGTTAGCTAACTTTGGTTATCTACAGCAGGCACAAGCCAAACATAGCTTAAGAAAACCACTTTAACCTTGTGGTCTGGAGTATTTAAACGAGGTTGATTGGCATACGATCTGTGCTATGTGAACAAAAGAAAGTTGACCGCTGACACTCTGGGCAGAGGTGCTAAGTACCTCTCGGCAGTCAGTATCCTTGGTGTGTCTGAGGCTTAACACGTTTCACTTTCCAACCTCCAACACCAGTGCTGTCAGACAGAGAACTGTTCAATCAATGAGGATTCCACTTCTCACTCCCTGTCCTTATTTCTCAATCTGCTGACTCCCTGCATTCACTTTTAAACCCTCTTTCTTTCCTCTTAGTTCACCTCTTACACAAATCATTGCCACATTTCAAAGCTGGGAGTCAGCAGGGACCTTTGCCACCTAGAAAATCTGTGTGACCGGACCTTCTCAAATAGTATTGGAGCACCCCTGGACTAGCGTTTCTCTCTTTCTTACGACACAATCAGGTAATAGGACGCACCTGCTCTATACATCCTACAGCTGCCAACAGTTGTGTTGTGTCTCTTTGTTCCTGAGGACAGGAACAAAGAAAGAGTGTGTAGGTTGGTTCAACAAGAGAAAACCACATATAAGAGAGTTAGCTAGAAATGAGTGGGCATTTCTTATCGGGAAATATAGGGTAATTTTTGTTTGTTTTCCCTGTGGTGTGGGGATGTCCCAGGTGCGGGTGATTGTTTTTGTCATGACACATAGAAACCACAACAGACAAATTCAAATCTCTCTGAGCTACTTTAGAATTGTGTGCATAGTATGGAATGATGAATTGTGACTGTCCCTGCATAAGCGAGATACATTAACATACTGTTTATCTTCATGTTATGTGTGTATGTGCATAGGAGTATGGGTCTGAGGAAGGCACGTCGTAAACCATTAGTATGGTATGGCTTGAACCCAAACTACTTGACTGAATACACCATTCCTTTCAATATTCTGGCCATTCATGTCTTTAGCTCAGAGCAACATTCAACACCTGATGACATCAACAACAATGTTCAGATTCATTAAGGTGCTTGGGGGAAAGAGCTCAAGTGTAGGAAGGGACATGCGCTTGAGCATGTGTTTTAGCAGCATTAATTGTACAAACATTAACACAGCCTAGACTTTGTTTAAATAGAGACCTTGTAAGTGATGAGTTACTATTCATGTTTAAAGCTTCCAGTGGTTCAAGGCATTAACTGGTGCTTCTGGGTGTGGTGGTGGCATATGACAGACGCAGAGCTGTATGAGCTGTGCCCAAGTCATCTGCATGTCTTAACACTATTTAAAATTAATTTCAGCTATGCAAGCAACAGAAGAAAGACCATCCAATCTGATGGCCCCTACCCACACAATGTACCCAATCAAATGCCCGTTTTCATAAGACCCATCGTTTGAGACTGTTTCAACATCCCCTTCCCATTCCACACTCTATCATGTCAGCCCACACAAAGGGAAAGAGCTGACCTTTAACAGTGTCCTCCTTCCATCCCATAACACACCCACCCACCAGGAACAGGACAACCCCTCTCTCAGCTGACCCCAGAGAAAACGCTGCTTTCATCTGGCTCAGAACAGAGAGGAGAAAGTGAAAAACAGCCAGGCTAAAACAAAGGGCGATCTGTAAAGCCTAAGTCTATACTTCAACCCCATGAAGAATTCGATCTCAGCCAGCAGAGCTCACTTCGATTCAGCTGAAAACTCAATGAAGCTGATCAATGCCCAGCTGACCAGAGGCAAACATCTCTCTCTCCATCTTCTCTCTGGTTCTTTCTCCTTGGGTTCTCCTTGGCTGACAAATCTGCCTCTCAGATCAGAGGTCAGGCGTCAGATACACACAGCTCACACAAACTGACATGACGCAACACACACAAAGAGACAATGGGTGCTAATGTGCACAATCAATACCTGTTAAAATATTTCAAACTATCCGATCCTGTTATCAACGACCTCTGGAACTGATGCTTCAAAAAACCCACAGAGCTAAAATGAACCCCTGCCCTTTCCCCAAAACACATCTTTCAGTCATGACTCACCCATCCTCCTTGGCTCTGGATCCAAGGCTGGATGTGGTTGTCCAGGTAGACGGTCATCCATTCTGCAATCCGTCCCACTAGTGGGCTCATCTCCTTCTCCACGCACTCTACACAGAGGGCCCCTCCGAAGGCAAACAGGCCCACCACCCGTCCCCAGTTCACACCGTCCCGGAAAACCTCGTCCATCACGTTCTCGAAGCTCTGGTAGGCTGTGGCCGGCGTGATGTGCAGCTGGGAGGACAGGTCACTGAACGCTCTGGCATAACGCAGCTCAAACTCATTGGCAGAGTCCCGCAGTGCCTCTTTCACTGCATCCAGGCCCATTGTCCGCTGAGGGGTAGAGGGGGGAGACTGTCGCGGTGGAGTCCCAGGACTCGTCCCGTTTACTGTGCCGTTGGGGTGTGTCGTGACTGCCGCCCCCCCTTCCACCTGTCCACCCTCACCCCCCTCAGTCTGACTGGGAGCTTCTGTGAGCCCAGTGTGGTTGAAGGGGTAGTCTCTCTGTGATAGTTTATAGGTAATATAGTAAACCACCAGTTCTCTGTTGTTGTAAGTCATCATTCGTTTCCTTGTGTTTCTTCTTTGCCCCAGGTCTTGGTTTTACCTGCTAATGACACGCCCCTTCGGATCAGGCCTCTGTATGTATTTCAATCGGTGTCATTCTTTGTATTCAGAAAATGTATGTCTTTTGAAGACAAAAAAACAAGGCTGGTGCAATGGCTCAGGCCCTGTGGTAAGAGAACAATGGAGATCCTAATTAACATAATTCATCACAATAAACATAGGTGGGTTGGGGGAGTAGGGGAGCTGTAGTGGGCAAATTTAGATCTCGACAGGTGGGGTCAAAGTGCATCGCTTTAATTTGGGATGAAACAGATGGCAATGTTTGTCATTACCTGCCTGCCCCCACAGACAACCTCCCTTTGCCCCGTGGCTTTGGAACAGTCGTGACAGGGCTTGGTGCTCTGACTTCCAACAGACTTTAATTTTAAACAGCCGGTTCTTTGTGACAGAGAGGTTAAATATATGATCATTTATTTACCTTTATTTTACCAGGTAGGTTGATTCAGTACACATTCTTATTTGCAAGAATAGCCAGTATGTATAGTATATGTAAACACATATTGTATGAACACATGATAACAGTTAACCTAATGTTACTTAGTAACCTGTAATCAGATAAGTATTAACAGTGTACTCAATTTGTTATTTTCACACGTAAACCCCAAACTAAGAACAAAAACAATTACAAACACATTTTTGTAGACATGATTGAGGAGTAACCGATTACATGTAATCAGTTCCATATAATCTGATTACAAACAAACAAACTAAACAGTTACATTACCTGCTAAACTACTGTATTCAGATTAAAGATACTTCAGCAAAACTAGATTATTTTTGGATTACTTTTAAATTTAGAAAGGACTTGTGCGAGAAGAAAACCCTGACACCTTTCTGTTCTCAATTACATTAAATTCAGTATTGAAAAAAGGTGCAACTTGAAGTTTGTTCCACCTGAGCAAGTCTGACCACAAGTCAGAGACCACTATGATGACACACCAAATGCGTTCAATGGATCCTTTTTGTTTTCTTCTAACGCCTCAAGGGGAAAGCAGGGATTTTTCTGCCAATTAAATCATTGGGTGGGCCGCCTAAGTGTTTCTTCGGAACACCTAAGTCTAAAGTGCAATTTTCGAGATGGAAAGACGCTTTCAGTGTAAACTTCAATGACTAAAACCAGATATAAAGTATGTAGAAAAGATAAATGGACCTATATATATTTTTTATAATATAATCTTTGAGAACTAACAATCACCAAAATAAAAAGCTGGACAGTCAGGGAGAATTGGAAATTCCCAAAACAATGAATTTAGAATGATTGATTTTGTTATTATTTTATAGCAACAAAAAAAACAGCAAAATGAATAGAATTGCAGGAAATTAGTTTTAAAACTTCAATTTTCTCTCAGCTCCATGGCGAAATGTGCAGAATTGCAGGAAATGATCTTTAAAACTGAAACAATTTTTCTTAGTTTCATGGAGAAATTTGTAGAATTGCAGGAAATGGTCTTAAATACTAAACATTTTTTATCTACACCGCCAAGATGGGGGCATCTAAAATCCAGTCCTGATTGGCTGACCATGCCCATTGCCACACTCACCAACTAAACCCCTTTTTGATCCAGAAGAATCCCTGGAAAGTAATGCAAAAGTAACTGAAAGTAATCCGATTACGTTACCGAGTTTGGGTAATCCAAAAGTTACATTACTGATCATTTTGGGAAAGGTAACTAGTGACTAACGGATTACATTTAGAAAGTCACCTACCCAACCCTGTTTGTAGATACCCTATTTCTTCATAAAATATTAGTGATTTCTTCAATACTTTGCGCATTCGTGTCAGTAAGAGGAAGGGACAGGAGGAAGGGACCCCTGTTGGTCCCGAACCCTAACCCCTACCCTTTAAACCTAACCATTTTAAAATGTAACGTTCAATGGGGTAGGGACATCGCAAGGATCCCGGATAGCAAGGACCCCTGTTGTTATAACTCTTCAAAACAGCACGTGGGAGAAACGAGGCGCATCTATCTTCCTCGTATAGTCCCACCCACCTTACCTTTTCTAATTGTAATAATAGTGACATTTAGGACTATCTACTAAGGCTGGAGAGTTAATAGTGACTATTTTACAAGTGGGAACGCCAAGTAAAGAATACTAAATCGAAAATGAGAGCACTAGAAAGTACTAGTAGGTTACTTTGTTGCCTTGGCTGTACTATTGAGCACAATAACTGTTTACAGAAGCCACAGCTAACCAGCACGTGTCGCTAACTTCTCAGAATTCCATGGAGCGTTTTAATGTATCACATAAAATGACAGCCCGCCCATATCATTTTGAGGGCAAATAATACTGAAAGATTAGTGACTGAAGAAGAAAGTAATCTTCCAACTTTATCAAAGCATAACTACAGTCATTCGTTTTTATTGATGTTTCAAAGTGGCCATTTATTTTCGTCTTACTTAACAAAGTGTTGATAAAAAAGCCAGCTAACTACATAACAGAACGAGCAAATTTTATTATCACGTAGCTAGTTTTAAACATGGTAATCAAGACAGTCTACAAATGACATTATGTTCTCTTACCTACCTACACCAAAAGTGGAATATCTTCAACGGCAACACTTCAGTGAGCTGCTTAGAAAATCTTATTGTATCAGTCTTGCTGTCAAAATCCGAGGAGAGAATTGAAACGTACTATTGCTATGTAGTATGAGTGTCTATCTGTCGTGAATCTCCCTGCTCTCGTGTGTGCCCAGCCTTCTCAATCCATTACGTAACTAAGGCTGCGTTTACACAGGCATCCCAATTCTGATCTTTTTTTCACTAATTGGTCTTTTGAACAATCCGATCTGTGAAAAATATATTTTGTGAAAATATCTGATGTGATTGGTCAAACGACCAATTAGTGCTTTAAATAACATAATTGTGTAAACGCAGGCGATCCCCATTCTTTTTCACCAATCAACACCCATGTCGGAGACCTTTAATCACTGCACCCACCCACAGGAATATGGCTTGTTGGGTGACATCGGCTGTCTTTTACTATTTTAACATAAGGTAGTGAGTTACATAGCTACATTTGCAATATGCCGAGGCCGATTTAACAAAATAATTTTAAATGTCCCAGCTATAATTCATCGGCAGTCGGCGCTAGTAATCTTGTATGATTATCCCGGGCTTGTGACTTGCACCTGAAATGTTTATTTTGGCTACTGAAACCGGTCTACATTTCTTTGCATAAGACCAAAGGGAATGTAGCTAGCTAGTTTAGCTTACTTGGCTAAGTTTGTTGAACACAAATGTCATATTTCCTCTGACTAGCTAGCTAACAGCTTTCACATTTCATTTGATAAGAATGACTAGCTAGCGGTTCTTTCGCTGACGTAAACATTTTCTCATACAACTAGGTAGCTACTAAAAGCCGCAAATTCAACCTGATTAGCTAACCAATATGAAACACTTACTGTAACAACTTGAATTGTTGGCACAAAGTCCAAAACGAAATCCAAACATCAGCAAATAGGATCATATCAGACATTTCTGCTGGAGCAAAAGGAGGAGCACTCGCAGACTGGCTAACTAGCCAGCAGATCCGACCCGCTTGCTTACAGCTGCACTAGGGTCTGACAGGCTTCCTATGTAGATGAAGAGCCAATTTATGCTTGATCTGAAAATGTGATTGAGGTGCTGTATGGATGGTGCAGAGCCTCCTGAAGCATGCAGAGGCCAAATTGAGCACCATACTGCATCACCCAAATTTCGTAACAATGTGGAGGGTTCCAGTATAGCTCTGCAATGCCATAATTGATTCATGGTAGGTGGGGTGCGGGAGGGTCTGTTTAAACAAGCTCACTTCCTTGAAATCGTCCTTCACAACAGCTCTGCTCCGTGAAGCACAAGAAGTATGAATGCCCTGACTTCTGCAGAGGCCCTATCGGTCACCTTAAATGTTGCATGGCCAAGGCAGACATCGGAATGACCATGCAGCGCCTTTAACTGTCGAACGACTGCTAAAAAAAACTCTAAATCTAATACAGAGGAAGACTGTCTGACCCTAGTGCCGCTGTCAGCAAGCGGGTCGGATTTGCTGTGCTGGCTAGCTAGCTAGCTATTTTTTTGTTAACTAACATTACTGTAAAAAGGATTGGCTAGGTTAGCTGTCTAAAGCTGACATTACGAGAAAGCTGTTCCGCCCACAGACATTTAATGACGCCTACTTCATCTAACTCCACGAAAAGCTGCCTGTGTGGAATAAACTAGCCAGATTGCTAGCTATAGAGATGTAGGGAGTTTAAGAAGTTAACGTTAGCTAGGTAATGTTAACAGTTAGCTAGCACCCTACGTTAGCTAGCACCCTACCGAAAGAGGGTCAATACTCTTCGACCTAACATATTCATAATCAAGAGATCTCACCGGTTCCAAACATACTGGGGGTTTACATGATGAAAATGAATGCACATCTTTCTTCATAAACGTTTTCGTTTGAGTCTTTCCAGAAGTAAATTAAACACACAGATTTAGCTGTACCAGAAAATTGACTGTAGCTACACCAAAGATTTTGTTCATTGTTCTGAGGCTACACCCCAAACAAAGGATGTTACACATCTCCATGGTAACCTTTGTTACCCCCAAATGCATTTGATACATTGACTTTTGGAGGGTTTACAGCGCCACACTCGTCATCTTTAGAAACGCATTGGCAACGGGACAGAAAAGTAGCTACACTACCTACAACAGTTGAGATTATTTTACATCCAATGAAACAACCAGCCCAAGTCAGAAGCAGTGCTGCTATAGATCTGAATTCAAGGTTTATTGATTACGTCACCAAATGCTTGGAAGATTACATCACAATATGTATATTTATTTTACAGTTTGTATTTCTCCCATATACTGTATATTTATGTATAGATCCCCTTCCTTTAGGGAAAAGTAGAATTCCATAGCTGGAAGAGGGAGGAATGCTTCTCAAAAATATTTAAATGCACTTCAAATAATTACATACATCCTTGTTTTTAAAAAATGCAGACAGGATTAAACTACAAATGGTAAAGTCGGTAGCTATACGCCAACATGTTTAGGATTAACGTTTGGTTTTGCTTCATTCTTTCTCCTGTCTGGTGTATTTTCACTGAAAGGCTGAGAAAGTACTGGAAAGTTAATACATGAGAGGGCTCTGTTTCACACATACTCCATAGGTGTAAAACAGAACAGGGAAAATAGAAAAATAGAACCGTTTGATGGGATAATTAAACGTCATCCTTGCTATATACCATGATCTTTGCCTTGTAGACCTTTAAAGGACAATAGATTCATTCTAGAAAAAAGCAATTAATTCAATTTTGCACTCAGAATATTAGAACCCTCCAAGGCTCAGTTTGGGGAGGAAACATAGGAAATGTGAAACAGAACATGCAGTAGCCTTTCAACAAGCCCCTCAAGTAAACTGGCATGTAATATCGCTATAAAATAAGTATTAAAAAAATAACATAAATTATGAGTAAAATAGGGAATGTTATAACAGGCCATAGTGATTCACATGATAGAATGAATGGGGAATGGTGGCAGGTGAACAACCCGACAAGTGCAGCCATAGGGCTTATCTATTAGGGCTCTCTGGAACCTATGGAGCCCCTAGCACAGCAAGCCATTCCTGTCAATGGTCATCCTAGAGTGGGATGCTGAATACAGGTTGTACTACAATACAAATAACACAGGAGGCCAAAAACCAACATCAAATTAAGGGGACATTTGACATAATGAAAAGGTAATAGGGATGAGCCTTGGCATCAGGCCTATCAGTTGTTACAATATTTTTGGATCAGATCAACAAGCGCATCACAATAAGAGAGACACTGAGGATACTTTAGTGTCTTATAATTTGCTTATAGACACAGGTTTCCAATGAGCTTGTCTGCCAGTGGTACTTTTCAGCATATTCAGTAATTATTCTTCATTTGCTTTAGCATTTGGATATGCATGTTTGTTCATTCTTAAAAACAGAAAGTAATCAAATCAACAAATGGGACAAACAAACAAAATCAGGTACAGGATATATATAACAGCATCAATAAATTATTGTAGTTCATTTTCCATTACATTTGACATTTAATGTCAGAGTGTTGAGAAACCGTCAGTAGAGAGCTCTGTCCCGTCACAGTGCTTTTCTCCCAGCAGGGGTTCTAGAACTTCTAGGGGGAGTCAGTCTTAAGGGGTCATGGGGCACCAGACCTTATCACCAACACTCCAAGCCTTTCCTTTGCAGAAGATAAACAGGAACTGATGACTTTCAAAGCAAGGGTAACAATCTTTGCTTCAATCTCCTGCATCACTACACACTCCCCTACTCCTGATAGGGGAGCTCCCAGACTCTACATACACCTCAGTGTCCCACCAGCCACCAGTCTTCCCCATTCCATCTCCAGACCCTCCTAGGGCGCTGGGGGCCTTGCCTGGCCCATCTCAGGACCAGCGATGTGGAAGACGGAGCCGATGCGGAGGAAGAAACGGCGCAGGATGGCGCGGAGCTCTGGGATCAGGTCAAACTGCATCATCTCACATAGGTGCGGGTAGTAACAGGAGGCATGAGGCTTGAACTGAAGAGGGGGGGAAAAGAGCAGGCTATTTAGCATCAAACCGACATATGCACATTAAGCTTAGGGTGAGTGGAGTGTGATGTCAATGAGTGAATTGTTTGAAATATGGCCAAAGTTGAACGTCAACATTGTTTGTTTAGATACGACCAGGTAATACACCTGTAGGTGGGATTTGCGAAGGGGAAACCTTTGTTAATCAAAGTTAGAATAACCCCTAAAGATGCGATTGATATGTGCACAGGAACTTGTTGGTACCTAAGCTAGTGTCCTTCCTTTTGTTACTCAAATTTACATTTTAGTAATTTAGTAGTCGCTCTTATCCAGAGCGACTTAGAGGAGCAATTAGGGTTAAGTGCCTTGCTCAAGGGCACAGACAGATCTTTCACCTAGTCGTCTCAGGGATTCGAACCAGCGACCCTTTGGTTACTGGTCCAACACTCTTAACTGATAGGCTACCTGCTGCCCCAAATCAACTTTAATATAATTCAAGAAGTAAGAACAATGCTAAAGTTAACTGACTGGATGCCCTATATGGGAATCTGCACTGAACCGAGAGTCTAATTCAGAGATCCTTGATGTAGCAGAGGCATCCCAAGGCCCCGGGGGCAGTCCCTGGTCTGCCTGCACACATCTGATGTCCTCTTTTACATACCCAGGTCATTACACAGACAAACTGTCAAATAATCCATCTCCTTCCTCTACGGAAGTCAAATTCATTGCCTAAGGGGAAAGGAGGCCAAATGTCCTACGGCTTGTTAATCAAACCATTTTCACTATTAGTTACTCCAATTGGACATCAGGGGAAATGGACAGTTCTTTTCATCCCTCTTACTGACTTGGGATAGATAGTTGAAATGGTGCTGGCAGACAGTACCTCACATAAACAGTCTTCATGTGTTAATAATACAATTTTAAAAAACTGATCAATCTTGTGGAGCATTGTCACTGCAAGCAAACCGCAGTTCGTTGTGAGTGTGTGCAAATATTTCAGTTCATGTGTATGTAGGTGTGTGTAACTTGTGAATAAATGAGTGTGTGCCTTGTCGTCGGTCAGTCGAAGAGTCCTGGTGAGCAGCAGGAGGAGCAGGCTTGTCCAGGCCTCTCTGTGGCTCTCAGAGGTCAGGCTGATAAAGTAGGCCAAGGCCTCACTGCACACACTGAGGAGGAGAGGACAGGACACACAGGACCAACATTACCACATATCTCACTACCAGAGGGGGAACACCCCCACAAACCAATGATGAAGAACCTATTACAGCTGGGCCAATCAGGGAGACTAAGGATGACATGATGTAATCAAATTTACATTCAAGCTAGTCTTGTTGTTCAAGTAATTATTTATTTTTATTTAACTAGGCAAGTCAGTTAAGAACAAATTCTTATTTACAATGACGGCCTACCCCGGCCAAAACCGGACGACGCTAGACCAATTGTGCGCCGCTCCCTATGGGACTCCCAATCACCGGATGTGATACAGCCTGGAATCGAACCAGGGTCTGTAGTGACGCCTCTAGCACTGAGATGCAGTGCCTTACATTTACATTTTAGTCATTTAGCAGACACTCTTATCCAGAGCGACTTACAGTTAGTGAGTGCATACATTATTTTTATTTTTCATACTGGCCCCCCGTGGGATACGAACCCACAACCCTGGCGTTGCAAACGCCATGCTCTACCAACTGAGCTACATCCCTGCCGGCCATTCCCTCCCCTACCCTGGATGACGCTTAGCCAATTGTGCGCCGCCCCATGGGTCTCCCGGTCGCGGCCGGCTACGACAGAGCCTGGATTCGAACCAGGATCTCTAGTGGCATAGCTAGCACTGCAATGCAGTGCCTTAGACCACTGCGCCACTCGGGAGCATAATGGTCTTTATATAGAGCTTGTCAAGGACCCAAAGTCGCTTTACAATTGTAAAGAGCTTTCACACCATGATCCCTCTCCTCCCCGTCTTTCCCTCCCCTGGACACTCACAGTAGCAGCCGTGTCTGGATATCAGGCCAGGAGTCCTGGAGCTGCCGGTCAGAGTACATGCGGAACAGAATACGCAGGCTACAGGCCAGGCTACTCGTCTCCTGCTTTAGCAGATTGGGCTTCGACTTCCCCTTAAATCCTGAGACACAGAGAGAGGCAGACAGCCAGACATATATATGAAATTAGATGGACAGTCAGACATACCACAGAGATGACAAGAGCATCCTGTATCAAAAAAAACATTTATATGACTGACTGGCAGTCAGTCATGGTTTGTGCTGTGGTGGAGACCTCTGTGGGCTATACTCGGCCTTGTCTCAGGATTGTAAGTTGGTGGTTGGGGATATCCCTCTAGTGGTGCGGGGGCTGTGCTTTGGCGGAGTGGGTGGGGTTATATCCTTCCTGTTTGGCCCTGTCCGGGGGTTTCTTCGGATGGGGCCACAGTGTCTCCGGACCGCTCCTGTCTCAGCCTCCAGTATTTATGCTGCAGTAGTTTATGTGTCGGGGGGCTGGGGTTAGTTGGTTATACCTGGAGTACTTCTCCTGTCTTATCCGGTGTCCTGTGTGAATTTAAGTATGCTCTCTCTAATTCTCTCGTTCTCTCTTTCTCTCTGAGAACCTGAGCCCGAGGACCATACGTCAGGACTACCGGGCATGATGACACCTTGCTGTCCCCAGTCCGCCTGGCCTTGCTGCTATTCCAGTTTCAACTGTTCTGCCTGCGGCTACGAAACCCCTACCTGTCCCAGACCTGCTGTTTTCAACTCTTAATGATCGGCTATGAAAAGCCAACTGAGAGACCTGAGCCCTAGGACCATACGTCGGGACTACCGGCCGTGGTGACTCCTTGCTGTCCCCAGTCCGCCTGGCCTTGCTGCTATTCCAGTTTCAACTGTTCTGCCTGCGGTTATGGAACCCCTACCTGTCCCAGACCTGCTGTTTTCAACTCTTAATGATCGGCTATGAAAAGCCAACTGAGATTTATTCCTGATTATTATTTGACCATGCTTGTCACTTATGAACATTTTTGAACATCTTGGCATGGTTCTGTTATAATCTCCACCCGGCACAGCCAGAAGAGGACTGGCCACCCCTCATAGCCTGGTTCCTCTCTAGGTTTCTTCCTAGGTTTTCGCCTTTCTAGGGAGTTTTTCCTAGCCACCGTGCTTCTACACCTGCATTACTAGCTGTTTGGGGTTTTAGGCTGGGTTTCTGTACAGCACTTCGAGATATTAGCTGATGTAAGAAGGGCTATATAAAATAAAATTGATTGATTGATTGATTAGCTCATATGATAGATCTAAACACACCAGAGAGAGACAGACAGTTGAACTTACCTGCTCTCCATAGTGCAGTCCTCTGCTCGTTGTTAGAGTTGAAATCTCTGGCGAAGGTGTGTGACTCCAGCAGGCAGTCCAGCAGCTTGAAGAGGTGCTGGGAGGTGAGGTGTCTGTACATGCCCTGCTCCCCCTGCCCAGGGTCCCCCACCTCTGCAGCCTCCTCCAGAGCGTCCCTCTGGGAGAGACACAGTACAGAGCCTAGGTCAATCCTCCAACAACGTACAGTACACCCAAAACACCCTACTAAGTTTATGCATAAAAGCCCTGATTACATGTGAATAAGCATCATGACTTTAGTTTAGATCCATTGTAGTTCAGCTCCATTGCGACAAAGTTTAGGTTGTGGCAAACCTGTGCAGCAGCCATATTTTCTGCATCTTCCTTCTTGCTGGTTGCCGGGTAGAAGACAATGTTGTCAATGGTCTGGATCAGCTCCAGCTGCACTACACACTTGATGAGCAGTCCAGCAAACAGCTTCTGGTCTGACACTCCTGCCACAGACACAGAGCACAGTGGCATCAGGAAGACAGATAGGAACCCATGAGAGACTGAGGTCAAATGTGGAAAAGTGGAACATGACATGAAGGATGATGGGGTACGAGAGAGAAATGTGAATTGAGGTGAGAGGGTCTCAAAGGTCTCTGTAATTCGTTGCATACTGGCATGGGGTTTACCCTTCCAGGTCTCATCGCTGGCTGTGGATATTTGGCTCTGACCTCCTCTCTCTGACAGGGCCCTGTCATAGCTGCTCTGGGACTGGGTGTCAAAATCCACATCCTGTAGACAGAGTCAGAGTCAATGAGATCCATGTCTAACCAAATACAGCTCTAATTTATCTGCATGTTTGTCAGAGAGAACAACTCATGACACGAACAAGGGGCTAGATATTTTCACTGCCCATATACTCATGCGTGTCTATAGTCAGGCTCAAAAGCTTTTATTTGACTGTCTGAAGCTTCATAAATGTTATTGTTTGCCCACCATGTGTTTCCCATCACCAGCCTCCTCTTCCTGACCAGCTGGTCGCCATGTCAACAGGCTGTTGAAAGGAGAAAATAGAATGTGCACATCGTCAGTCATGTGGTCTATTGAATGAAGTGTTTCCTGTGTCCATGAGTCACCATGGCCTGCTGAAAGCCCTGCTCATGACTACACAACATCTGACATCCGACTTGTTCTTGTAATACAACACCATAATGTCTTACTATAACAGTGTTTTCTGTTTATGTATTCAAATAAATATTTAAAACCACACTGAGAATTACTGTTGGATGCAACTTGTTCATGGTGATGGGTTGCAAAAGTGAAAACATCAGCGTGACAGACAGGCCGGCAGCAGAACTCACGCGTGTGGGCTGGTGGTCTGGAAGATGTCCAGCATACAGGAGCAGGTGACGTTCCACACCTCTGGGCTAAACTTCTCCCCATTCAGGATGACCAGGTTCTCTAGGCAGTTAGTCCCTGACCGGGCCAACTGCTCATTATCTGGGGTAGTAGAGAGAAGATAGTGGTGTCATTCACCATTACGTCACCTAACTTCAAATTCCTGGTAAATGTTACACATAGAATATTACAGTAAATACAGCTTGAATTTAATGAGTTAGGTGTGTGTGTGTATGAGTCAGCTGCTGTGTTTTCCCCCTCTCTCTGGTGTGTGTGTGTGTGTGTGTGTGTGTGTGTGTGTATATATATATATATATGAATGAGTCAGCTGCTCTCATTTTACCCTCTCTCTGTTGGGAGTAAGGGACCTACCTTGTCTGACACACCACTGCAGCTGAGTGAAGATGTCAGCCAACAGGACCTCACTGAGAGGCTCATAGAACTGGGTGAAAACGTCACAGATGGCGTACAGGGCGTGGTTACAGGTCGTGGTCATCCACTCATGCTTCTACAAGAAGTCACAGGACACAAAATACACCCAGACGAGCAACACAACAAGGTTGAGTGAGTGACTGGTGCAAAAGCCAGCATTCATTACAGAAATGCCTACTCAAAACAAACAGTCATACAGTGGAACCAATGACAATCCCTACAGCCTCTCACCTCCGTCTGCTGCTCAGGGAGCTTCATATTGTCGAAGATGCGGAAGACGATGCGGAAAAGGTCATGCCACCAGTGCTTTTCAAAGGTGTGTCCATAGCTCTTCATAATCTCAAACATCACAGTCAGACCCCTGTGACAGAAAGACACACACATCAAGCATACATGAATGCTTATTGGGCTCAAAGCACTAGATGTGTGGTGCCTCTACACATGTAGGGTGAGCTAAGGGTCAGATTCCTTACCTTGTCCTGATGTCCAGCTTGCAGCGGTTGATGATGCAGGACAGCTCAAAGAGGATGGGGAACCAGCCTCTCACCCACACCCGGTCCCCTGGGGCCACGTTCATGTCATCACTGGTGTACTCCCGCAGAGCCTGGGGACAGACAAGGAAGACCCATCAGAGGAACATCAGAGGAACATCATCATGATGGACAGGCACCATCATGTACTCCACCATGATGCAAAAAATAAACCACTATAAAATGCTCTTCAGTTGCAGGCTTGATTAGAAGGCACTTCAGTACTTTGTGATCTAGGTTTGGGATGTGCTTTGGAATTCTGTGGGATGCCTACCTGCGGCCGTTCAGCCACATATTTAGCACAGTGGCGTATGAGCCGGATGGCCTCCATACTGGTGTCAGGGAAGGCAGCATTGCACACAAACTCAGACAGACACTTCACTGCATCCTGGAAGGAGTCTATGGCTGCTGCAAAGTGCTGCTGAAACGTGTTCACTGGAGGAGAGAAAGGATCAGTATTATTCAGCAGTCCATTTCTCTACCGAGCTGGCTATGCCCTCGGAGCCAAAATGGTGGTTGAGCCCCAATCCTAATGTGTTGGTACTCACTGACTATGTGGCCAGTAGTCTGGAAGGCCAGCTCCACAATGTTCTCGTCGTGATCCGAGGCGGCCTGGTGGAACACAGAGAAGATATTCTTCCAGCCGGAGCGGATGTTGGCTGCCTGGGAGTTGACCATCTGGGCCACACAGCGGATCACCATGTCCCTGATAGTGGGAGATCTGTGGAGGAAAGAAAGAGAAGGAGAAAGAGTCAATCGTTTGTGGTGAGTGTGTGATTTGGTTCTGTGCTGGCAGGGTTTTTCCACCTCATCGTATCCCCTAGATTGTTCCAAATCACCTCTGCCTCTTTCCTTTTACTCCTCTCATATTTTCCTCTCTCCCTTCCCCCTCTTTCCCCTGATCCAGTCTCTACCTGTTCTTCTTCACAATGTGTTCAAATGGCCGGAGGAAGTCCTTCTGGAAGCGGAAGTTAGCCAGCTCTCCTTTCTCCAGGAACTTCATGGACAGCTGCCTCAGAGAGTCCACCGCAAAGATGGCCACGTCCTCGTTGGGGTTGCAGCCCACCTGGTGGAGGAGCAGACAAACAGGCATAGATAGCAGGGCATCAGACTGCGACCATTTAGTCGCATTCTGCAACCCTTTTGACTTGGCTGTGCAAGTAAAACATTTAAATTGGTCACATCAGTGCGAGCTGAACATTCATTGCATGGTCACCTCACTCAAAAGTTTCAAAACGTCCTATTTGTTTGGTGGCGAAAACCAGTAAAGCGCATTATCCTCATGATTCCTGTAATGAAAGTGTCTGCCCTGCCCCTGGGCCGGTTTCCCTGGGGCCTGCTGCTGTAATGAGCGAGCCACTCTCTCCCCCTCTCCCCCAATGTGGGCTCCAGGATAGAGAAAAAAGGCTTCTGAATGTATAACATTTCAAAATTCAACTGTGGGAAATACATAGCTTTGGAAGCAACTACTGTTGTTCTCAACTTTCTGTGGATATAATTTGTATTTGTCATTTCTTTCATGTTGAGCTCAATAGCAACTATTTTACAACCAAGATATTTGATATGGCTTTAAGATACAAAGTACGCATCAGCCATTGCGACTGCATAAGGTAGCAGGCTACAACTGTTTTTTTAGGATATTAAATTGACTGTTAGATTAACACTAATGTGTTTTCACTTCCTCATGTGGTGAATTAGGCCCAAAATAAATTAGCCTATGATATTAGTGCACATAAAGATGTAGGCAAATTCATCTCTATCGAACAACACAATTCTGAAAATTCTGGAGCCCTATTTTAACAGTAAAATATAACAACAATACCCTATTGTCAACTCACAATTCATGACAATCACTGGATTAAGTTGCACATCAAAATATATTGAATCATGCATTCCTGCTTGGACATGTTAGATGAAACAACGTATTTCTTGAATAGCCTACCATCTCAGTAGTCTATTACACAGTCTAAAGCACTTCTTTTTTAATGTCTATTGTGTAACGCCGCAGAAAAAGAAATGGTGACCAAATCATGGGCTGGTGCCACCAAATGAAAAGGTTAGTGGCACCATTACAGCCAGGGGAAAATGTTAGTCTGGAACCCTTGATAGGCTACGTCTCTGCATAATCAGGTAAGATGAATAGATTTAGACTACTGCTGGACTAACAATGCTCAATCTCTGTTTCTTAGTCCAGGAATATGCTTAATCTGGTTCCAGGACACCTTCCTTACTGAAGATAGGAGCTCACCTTGTTGAAGTGGTCTCCGATGACCTGCCAGATGCGTGACCACTGCAGACGGATGCGGTTCATGTTGTAGTAGGAGATCTCTACTATCTTCTGCAGACTGAACATCCTCGGCTGGTGAGTAGAGGCTAGTTCATCCATGGAGACCGCACACAACCACCGCACAAAGTCCACTAGGAAAAGGACACAGGACAATGTCAGTAAACACACACATTGCCAGTCAGATACATGTGGAGAAACAAATTGCCAGTCAGATAAATGTGGAGAAACAAATCTACTTACCAACTGCATTTCCATCTAGCCTTGTGGAACCAGTGAAGATCCTGCAAACAACAAATACAGGTAAGATTTGGAAGCCATGTACTTCCAAAAAGCACAATCCAGATAAAATCACATGGACATAAACGATAAAGAATAGATGTCTGCTGCCATGGATGTATGTTGAACATGTATCTCTCTCACCTGTCAACAGCCACCACCACGCTCTGAGAGCTGGTCTCTCCAACTGACTCCTGGATATGAGCCATCTGCCTCCTGTCTGGACCTCCCACCAGAGTCCCTGCAACAGGAAACCCATTTAAGACACACCATTTAACATAATATGCCATTTAGCCAACACTTTTATCCAAAGCGACTTACAGTCATGTGTGCATACATTTTACATACGGGTGGTCCCGGGAATTGAACCCACTATTCTGCCGTTGCAAGCTCCATGCTCTATCAACTAAGCTACAGTGGATAGGGTGTCCAATCAAAAACACATATTTGACCAATGGGTAAAATGATATGTTGTGTCGATAAGCCTCTAAGAAAACCAATGGTCCAAACCCCATGTCTCCATCACAATCCGTTCAAAAGTTAGTTTTTACCCTTGTAGGATGGCCAGAATTAGGGTGACTAAATCAATGGAGGCCAGAGACAAAAAGTGGTCAGAAATCAGTCAAATTGCATCGCGCCAGCTAGGCTGGATTCTGTGCAAGAATTAAGGCCACTGGCTGACAGGCTGGCTCACTTTCCCCGTTTGAACTCGTCATCTTTCTTCTCGAATCCGCAGGACATAAAACAATATAGAGGTAAGATGGATATCGATTTGAGACAATAAAGTATTTTCATATTTTAGTATATACGCTTTTTACATTAATTCGAAAATTCCAGTTCTTTTTAAAAGATTTATCACAAAAATAAGCGCATCTCTGTGAAATGTCAATGGCGCACTGAGCGTATATCAAGATTTATATTTTCAAAGCCTTTTACATTTAATTCAGCTCGTCATGCTAATTTTCCTTTTTGCCAACCACGGAATCCACTTTGAAGATGACGACCACAAAATGTAAAATCCTCAAAAGTTATGAGAAACCTGCACCGCTATGTCAACAGAGCTCGGTACTTATTATCGGATGTACAGTGGGGGAAAAAAAGTATTTAGTCAGCCACCAATTGTGCAAGTTCTCCCACTTAAAAAGATGAGGCCTGTAATTTTCATCATAGGTACACGTCAACTATGACAGACAAATTGAGCTTTTTTTTCCCTCCAGAAAATCACATTGTAGGATTTTTAATGAATTTATTTGCAAATTATGGTGGAAAATAAGTATTTGGTCACCTACAAACAAGCAAGATTCCTGGCTCTCACAGACCTGTAACTTCTTCTTTAAGAGGCCCCTCTGTCCTCCACTCGTTACCTGTATTAATGGCACCTGTTTGAACTTGTTATCAGTATAAAAGACACCTGTCCACAACCTCAAACAGTCACACTCCAAACTCCATTATGGCCAAGACCAAAGAGCTGTCAAAGGTAAGCAGCTTGGTTTGAAGAAATCAACTGTGGGAGCAATTATTAGGAAATGGAAGACATACAAGACCACTGATAATCTCCCTCGATCTGGGGCTCCACGCAAAATGAGTAGGGTCAAAATGATCACAAGAACGATGAGCAAAAATCCCAGAACTACACGGGGGGACCTAGTGAATGACCTGCAGAGAGCTGGGACCAAAGTAACAAAGCCTACCATCAGTAACACACTACGCCACCAGGGACTCAAATCCTGCAGTGCCAGACGTGTCCCCCTGCTTAAGCCAGTACATGTCCAGGCCCGTCTGAAGTTTGCTAGAGTGCATTTGGATGATCCAGAAGAGGATTGGGAGAATGTCATATGGTCAGATGAAACCAAAATATAACTTTTTGGTAAAAACTCAACTCGTCGTGTTTGGAGGACAAAGAATGCTGAGTTGCATCCAAAGAACACCATACCTACTGTGAAGCATGGGGGTGGAAACATCATGCTTTGGGGCTGTTTTTCTGCAAAGGGACCAGGACGACTGATCCGTGTAAAGGAAAGAATGAATGGGGCCATGTATCGTGAGATTTTGAGTGAAAACCTCCTTCCATCAGCAAGGGCATTGAAGATGAAACGTGGCTGGGTCTTTCAGCATGACAATGATCACAAACACACCGCCCGGGCAACGAAGGAGTGGCTTCGTAAGAAGCATTTCAAGGTCCTGGAGTGGCCTAGCCAGTCTCCAGATCTCAACCCCATAGAAAATCTTTGGATGGAGTTGAAAGTCCGTGTTGCCCAGCGAAAGCCCCAAAACATCACTGCTCTAGAGGAGATCTGCATGGAGGAATGGGCCAAAATACCAGCAACAGTGTGTGAAAACCTTGTGAAGACTTACAGAAAACGTTTGACCTGTGTCATTGCCAACAAAGGGTATATAACAAAGTATTGAGAAACTTTTGTTATTGACCAAATACATATTTTCCACCAAAATTTGCAAATAAATTCATTAAAAATCCTACAATGTGATTTTCTGGATTTATTTTTCTCATTTTGTCTGTCATAGTTGACGTGTACCTATGATGAAAATTACAGGCCTCTCATCTTTTTAAGTGGGAGAACTTGCACAATTGGTGGCTGACTAAATACTTTTTTCCCCCCAACTGTATTAGGATATGAAATCCGATGCTAAATGCATCATACAGGGATGATTTCTGTATTTTGAAAGTTACGTATATTGAAAACTTGCTTGCTGACAAGCAAAACATTGTGACTATGTCAACAATGGACTAATGAAACAGATAGTTTTTGGGTGGAGTTTTCCTTTAATGATATGTTAGAGAAAGACCCCACTGAATGATTCAGAACATTAATAATCATACTTGTCTTGGTAAAATGTATTTTATAACATAAGGAAGTGAAATGTATTCAACAAAGTGCGTTTTCACCCACTCTGGGCAGAGTGGGTGGATACCCTTCAGAGGACCACATCTTCACACACACCATTTACACACTAACTGTCCCTGATTTTCAAAGCCCTGTGTGACCTACCCAGTCCCAGGGGCATGAACTCCTCTCCCCCGATGGGGAAACCCTTGATGCCAGCCTGACTATCCCGGACCACTCCAGAGATGTAGCGTGTCTTCACCCCCGTGCCAATCAGCTGGGCCAACTCCAGCTGGCTAATACACCGCAGGATCTGCACAGAGAAACACAGGGCAAGGGTTAGAGGTGAACCTCCATGTTCTGTTCATGATGTCTCTACCAAGTCAAGTGCTATGCTCTCTTTCCACATAGAGACACACAGATATAATATGGGTTGGATTTCTGACAAGCAGAAGAGGAGATGAGAGGCAGGGTTGGGAAAGCCAGGTTGGCTATATGGGAGAAGGCCTGACCTACCTCATGCCAAGAGTTGCCCAGGTAGTTTCCATCTGTGTGGGCCACAGTGATGAGGGTCTTGATGGTGTCGATGTTCTTCTGCTTCATCTCAGTGATGCTGGAGCTGGCTGTAAGCAGGGTGAACCGAGCCAAGGCTTGGACATACGCATCCCTCTCCAACTGCACAGTGCCGCGGAGACGCATAGAGAGACAGACGAGTCATTCAAAGATAAAACACAGACAAAACTGGCTTTTCTAGGAGTTTCAAGTTCATGTTAAGCATAACTATGTTTGATGGAGGGGGGGGTTTAACAAAATAAATCATATTCCACAGATAGTAAAGGGTGTTAGGATGATACATTCTATTATTTTGCTGTGGCCTCTGACCTGCATACTGAAGATACAGGTGATCCTGATGGCACAGCGGATCCCCTCCAGACACAGAGAGGCCACCTCCTGGTCATCACAGTCCTGCAGCCCCACGCTGAACGCTGCCAGGAGAGGGGTCCAAGCCAGCTGCAGCACACACGCAGAGCACACACTTCAATCCTTTCCCTCCGTAAAGAGCATCGGTCATACAGCCCTCTTCTGGCACACATTCACAAGCATTATCCATCAGCCACTGCAGATGGTGGTACAGTAGTTCTAATGAAGTGATAATATAATAGTATATGCCATTTAGTAGATGCTTTCATCCAAAGAAACGTACAGTCATGCATGCATACATTTTACGTATGGGTGGTCCCGGGAATCAAACCCACTATCCTGGTGTTGCAAGCGCCATGCTCTACCAACTGAGCTACAAAGGACAGTCATTGCGAGGGGTGGCTCTGCTCTGCAGTACCTTAAACATGGGCCTGACATGTTCCAGGTGGGTGGCGCTGAAGAAGGGAGCCTGGGCGTGGCTCACAGCCTCCATCAGGGCCTTGGCTGTCTTGGCCATCTGTTCCATCTCCACGTTATACAGCAGACGACGCTGCTTCTCAGTGGCTACACCTGAAAAGAAAGAGAGCGCATAGATTATCACATGACCAACACCTACTTTTTCATGGTAACCTGTAGGCTTACAATTCCCACTAAGCAGGGTGGTGTAGGGGTTCAGCTGATGCATAATATATACAGTATTAGATAACTTGTCACAGAGCCATATATTTAGAGAGTTAGGACATTGAGGTTTCTGCATTATGATGCATTTACATGAAACTACAACTTTCTATGGCAGCCATGTTTGCTCACCATTAACATTAATAATAATATTTAACTAGTAAAGGACATTTCCCACGCTCAATGCTAATAACATTGGGGAATATTTAAACAATGCTATGTAAGTGAATGTCTAGAATTAGAACAATATTCAAAATTCTAAAAGTTGGCCCAACTCTAAATATATGGCTCTGGTTTGTCATATCCCTGTTATCTATACTTACTGTGCTTGCTAGTCTTGGGTGTGATAGTGTGCTCCTTGCTGTCCTTCATGGCGATTTTCTTGCCAGCGATCTCATCGTATATGGAGGACAGGTACTCCTCAGGCAGGTCCTTACTGTCATTGATACCACGGTTCATTTTGATGTACTGCTCCTTTGTCATTTTGTTCTTCACCTGTACAGGTAAAATAACAGTGGGGAACAATAGTGAATACAAATAACTGGAACTGGGTGTATGGACAGATGAACAGGCTAAATAGACTGATTGGATGGTGTTCTGACCTGTGGACTGTGCAGGTCGGTGGTGAGCATGATGATGGAGTAGGCCAAGACGTAGGCCGTGTCAGCACTGGCAAACTCCGTCTGTCTGCAGGGGCAAGAGGTTAGGGGCAGTTGAGGTAACAAGGTGGTGCATCAGTAAACCACTGGACATTGCCTAATGAATATTCAATGAGGCTACATCCACACAGTCTCTATAATTGAGGATGTTTTCTATGACATGTTTCCAGAGCGTGTATGCAAACTCAACACCTCCCCCTGCAGGTAGCAAACAGCCACTGACATATCTCACTTACCCCTGGTTACACTCCAGATATCGGGCAGCAAACTTCTCCATGAGCCTGTCAATTTTCTGGGCCTCTCCGGGGAGCCGGAAGCCCTCCAGGAAAGCTCTCAGAGCAGAGACAAAGTCCCGGCCACAGAAGTCCAGCTGGTCCACATAGCTGTACATCACCTCCTTGTTGAAACGCACGTTCTCCCCCAGGTACTCCCCCACTTGGGTCTAGAGAGAGCAAAAATGAGCAAATGATGAAGAGCTGTGTCAGAGACAGGAAACTCTTTCAAACCTTTTTATTTATTTTATATAAATATAACCACGTAGGTACAACAAATTCTGATTTACAATGACAACCTGGTATTTACGATGACGATCTGGCATCTACAATGACAACCTATTCTCGTACAACCTCGAGTCCGAACACATCACAATAACTTCCTGTTGTTGCATACTCTAGAGAGAGGCAACCAAATCAAAGTCCTTCATGTTTGTACAGTGACACAAGGTTGTGATGATGTGCTCACCGTGTCCAGGCGCTCCTCTTGGTGCAGAAACTGGGCGATGTCCTCTGCTGTGTTTCCCAGCATGCCTTGGTCTTGTAAGAACTGGACACCTCGCTTGGGCTTTTTGTTGAAACTTGAGAGATGGAGACAAATAATCTATGGCTACTACAGATATACGGTATCACAAGATGCAGTGTTAATTTTGGCAGCCATTTTAGATTTAGTTTGAGTCTTGACTAAAATACCTTTTAGTCTTAGTCACATCATCCTTCTCAGTTTTAGTTATTATCAGTCAACTAAAACTCTGGACAATTTTAGTCTTGTTTTAGTCAGTCATTTTAGTCACATTAGTCAGTGTATTTTTTCCCATGAAATAATTAATATTTAACTTGCATCATGTGCACATTAAGATAGCCTGGTCCAACTAGGCCTACTATCCCGTCATATAGCTGGCACATTGCTATTGTGGCAGATTGTAACCAATTCCAGCCATGATTTACCATATAGGCTACAAAGCCTTTGCTAAAGATTAAACAATTTAGGCATACAGCGCTTTTTCCCCCAATCCTAACCCTGCGATGAGGGTAAATAACAGTGATTCTTTTAAAAAGAGGAGAATATAAGCTTTCCAACAATGCCAGAATTATTCATGTTCATTATTCATTATCAACTTCTAAAGAGAGCGAGTGACTGAAGTGATCTCCTGGGAGCTGTGTGGGAGAGCCAGGCAGATCAGCTCAATAAGACTGAGCAACTTAAAGACGTTCATTCTGCCAATAAGAGGATTGCATTAAATATTCTGCAAAGGAATGCCTGCTTTTAATTGGACAAAACAGATGGAAAAGTAGCTTCATGTCAAATTGAATGTCCATTAGTCTCACATGGAATTCTCATCTCGTCACATTTTTGTCAACAAAACTGAAAACTCCTTTGGTGAAAGTTATCGTTGTTTTCATGGCATCTCGTCTCGTTATCGTCATTAGCTTTCATCAGGAAAAACAATAGGTAGTTGACGAATATTTTCGTCAGTTTTTGACGAAATGAACACTGCGAGAGACACAATCTCCCAGACTGACATATAGACAGAGTAAAATAAAGACAGTTAGAGGGAAGGACAAAGAGAGTGAGACTCACAGCTCAATGCCGTGCTCAATGACATCCTTCTGCTGTTTGATGACCTCATACTGTTCTGGGTGGTCAGGCTGGGAGGACTGGACACTAGATGACATGGTGGAGTCCAGAGAACTGACGCTGTCTCTACGAGACGCCAGGTGGTCAGGAAGCTTCAGCTCCGGACCCTCACCCTCTGACGGACGCTCCTGGCCTGGGTCACACACAGACACACAGCAGGGTCAAGATACACACAAGCCTTCTGTTTAGGCTGAGAGGTGCAGCTAGACACCTGGGTTTCCGTTAATTGCCGGATTTTGACCGGTAAAATAAAATCCAATAAGTACAATTGTAGCCAGCCAAATTGTCCAGGGATGCATATAATACATTCCGATTTCGCACTTCAGCACCATTGTCTCACTCTTTGCGCAATGCCTTACGTGTATACTCCTGCTGTGTGTGTGTGTGTGTGTGTGAGTGAGTGAGTGAGTGAGTGAGTGAGTGAGTGAGTGAGTGAGTGAGAGAGAGGAGCCTTGGGTACTGTTGATTTTGAAGATGGAGGCCTTTTTCATTGAAGTAAAATGAAAGTTAGAGAGTATGCCTATAGTGAAAAGCCTACAAGGGGAATGTCCTCCGTACGGACAACTTTTAATATTGTAGTGGACAAATATGAGAAGAACATTGGTGCGGCCAAATGCAGGCTACTGTGCAAGTCGCAATTCAGGTAGGATGCATTTTTGTTCCATATTAATTTTTTATCATTATTGTATATCATTGTTATTATTGTAGGCCCATTTATTAATCTAAACCAGTTCTTTAAATATGCAAAACGTGTTTTTTTTTTTCATTCTGTTGATATATTTTCGTTGGCTAAATTATGTTTGAACTGTCTAATTGTGTGCTCTGTACTTAGGTTATATGTAGGCCTGTGTTAAAATAAATTTCATTAGCCTATTGCAGTAATTTGTTGGGTACGGTAGGCACTAGCCTTTCTTGGTAATTTCTGCAATATAGCCTGTTTGAAAGTTTGAAAGTGTTTTGTTTCATTCTGTTGAGCCATTTTCTTTGGCCAAATTAAGTTCCTACTGTAATGTTGCGTTTGCCGCAATATAATATCCTGCTTGCATTTTCCCTATAAACAATGGCTTGACTTACATCTGATATTACCCTAATAAAGTTTAGAAACATTTGTGAAGGTTTGGTGTGGTGTGGCTATTAGCCTATTATACTGCAGGCCTATGATATGAAGGCAGTGCGCACGGGCACTCCAACTGACTCCGACAGTTGAACTTGAGGTGAGGTTGAATGTTTTAGGCCTACCAGAGTTACTCCTATAATCTAACAATATAATGCTTATCTTTATAGCCTACACATGCAATTCCCTGATGCATTCAGTGCTCAAATCTCTGACAGCTGAACCGTGAGGTGGACAATTGTTTTAGTAAAGTAAAAACCAATAAAACGATAGGCTATAAAGTTTAGCATATGCTACACATCGAAACACAAGGAAGTGTTTTTGTAATTTGTAAAAGGCTGTTTAAGGACACAAAGGCTGTTGAGGACATGTAAATGTGGCTCATTTGGTCAATATCCCTCATTTATTGATGGCCCGAATGGGTTACACACCCAATACACATTTCCCAAATGTCAGATAAATGTACATCTTCTCAGTCAAATTTCTAACGGAAACCCTGCCACACAGACACAGCTTCCTAGCACACAGAGACACACACCCGCTAGACACCTAGACACACAGCTACCCACACAGACACAGCTAGACACACAGCTAGACACACAGCTACCCACACAGACACAGCTAGACACACAGCTAGACACACAGCTACCACACAACACATGACACCCTCATTCCACTCACCGAGGTTGGCCTGCAGGTTGGGGTTGACATACATGTCTCTGCTCCACTCCACCATGCATTTCAGAATGGACACCAGACACTCAGACCCTTCTTACGCAGACTCAGCTCCTGCAATTTGTCTCATGTTAACCAGTCTGTCACATACTTCACAGAGCTCAAAAATATTTTCTACCCTAGAGAAACAGCTAAACGACAGACAAAATCCAAGCATGATGTCAACATATTTGGTAGAACTACTGAGAGGTCAGTGTGAGGTCACCTGTAGAGGGGTCATCCCCAGCTCCTGGCCACTCCTCCCCATGGCAATCTTAGATAGATCGTTAACCAGCCGCTCAAAGATGTTGGCAGCGTTCAGGTCACAGTCGTAGTTTACATAGATATCCACCACACACTGAGCATCTGGGGGTGAAGGGTTTGAAGATAAAAATGAGACAGGTCTCGGGGTTTAGTGGTATATGTACATAAACAGCAATGCGCACTAAATGTGTCCATCAGGCTTGTGTGTTTTTACCTGCACATATACGTGTGAGGGTCTGAATGACCATCCACTTGTGTTCAAAGGAGCTAGATGATGTTTCCAGGATGGTCAGGAAAATCTCCCTGAAAAACACCTGAGAGAGGTAGAGAGAGGGTGGGAGTGAGGGAATGAAAAGTGGTAAGTAGTTGCATCATTTATTTATATTTTCCATTCCATGTTGCCTATTATGAATTGAGTAAAAGGACTCAAAATCACAGATGAAATCGACGAATCCTGTATCCCGTACCTCGATCTGCATCTTGAGGTGGACTTTAAAGTGGGAGAGCAGGGTGAGGAAGATGGCGAGGGAGAGCTCGAACACCTCGGGCACAGAGGACACCCCGTTCTTGGAGAGGGCCACACACAGGTACTGCTTGATGGCGTTGACAAACATCTCGTGGGTGCGGAAGACGGGCCCTGCCCCCTGCAGCACAGACAGCAGTAGCTGCAGGGACACCACTTTGGAGCGCAACTCATGAGACCTGAGGAGAGGGGGAGAGAGAAAAGGGGAGAGAGGAGTAAGACGGGGAGAGGAGAGAGACAGGAAAAGGCAATGAAGAGGGGAAAGAAGGAGAGTTGGAGAAAGGAGAGACGACAAGGACATGGGAAAGAGCCAAAGAAAGGGAGATGTTGAATAAATATTCAACAGTTTAGTATATGAATGTCTTGTACAGCACGTCACTGTCTAATACGTTTGGATGCAGTGATCAGGCTCAGCTTTCATTTGCTTATTCAGACTCCCAGCTTTAGGGTTTTAGATTACAGCAACTGAAGAAGCCCAGTCCAGAATGTAAAACCTCCAGCAAACCTCAGTATACTGATCTTCAAAACGCTCTATATATCAAGCAGCAGCTATTTACAGTGCCTTCAGAAAGTATTCACACCCCTTGACTTTTTCCACATTTTGTTGTTACAGCCTGAATATAACATTTATTAAATTGAGATTGTGTCACTGGCCTACACACAATACCCCATAATGTCAAAGTGAAATTATGTTTTTGGAAATGTTTACAAATTAATAAAAAATGAAAAGCTGAAATGTCTTGAGTCAATAAGTATTTAACCCCTTTGTTATGTCAAGGCTAAATAAGTTCAGGAGTAAAATTTGCTTAACAAGTCACATAATAAGTTGCATGGACTCACCGTGTGCAATAATAGTGTTTTAAATGTTTTTTTTTATGACTACCTCATCTCTATACCCCACACATACAATGATCTGTAAGGTCCCTCAGTCGAGCAGTACATTTCAAACACAGATTCAACCACAAAGGACATTATTGGTAGATGGGTAAAAATAACAAAAGCAGACATTGAATATCTCTTTGTGCATGGTGAAGTTATTAATTACACTTTGGATGGTGTATCAATACACCCAGTCACTACAAAGACACAGGCATCCTTCCTAACTCAGTTGCCGGAGAGGAAGGAAACCGCTCAGGGATTTAACCATGAGGCCAATAGTGACTTCAAAACAGTTACAGAGCTTAATGGCTGTGATAGGAGAAAACAGAGGATGGATCAACAACATTGTAGTTACTCCACAATACTAACCTAAATGACAGAGTGAAAAGAAGGAAGCCTGTACAGAATACAAATATTTCAAAACATGCATCATGTTTGCAACAAGGCACTAAATTAAAACTGCAAAAAAATTTGGGTATGGAGGTTTTTGGGGGATAAAAATAAACATAATAGAGCTAAGCACAGGCAACATCCTAGAGGAAAACCTGGTTCAGTCTGCTTTCCACCAGACACCGGGAGACAAATTCACCTTTCAGCAGGGTTGACATACTTATCTAATCAAGATATAACAAATGTTCTAATTTTTCTTCCACTTTGACATGAGTATTGTGTCGATCATTGACAAAAAATGACAATTAAATTCATTTGAATCCTACTTTATAACAAAATGTTGAAAAAGTAAAGGGGTGTGAATACTTTCTGAAGGCACTGTATATAGTATTGTGAAGAGAAAGCCAGGAGAAACTTGGACTTGGATTAGGTGATGAGACCAAGGGAGCAGTAGTGTGTGTGAACAGAGGAGAAACTAGGGCTGAAGGACTAGTGGATCATGTCTCACTTTGGGTCAGGGGGTCCGTCCGCCAGGGGCTTCATGGAGAGCTTGCAGAGGGAGCGGAAGACTAGGAAGGCATCTTTCTGCAGGATGTGGGAGAAACGAGCAGCGTTCTGGCCACCCTGCATAGACTCTGCATCCTAAAGACAGAGTAAATAACTTTAACAGAACAGCTTAAACTATACTACGCAATTGTCAATATGTAACTAAATGACCATAACTATGTATAATGCATAGGGGCAAAAATAATCAGGAATCACTGTTTTCTCCCATAGAACCTTTGATGTGACGCACCCTCATTCCACGGATAAGAGCTAACTCACCAGGATGTCTGTAGAGGACACTGAACCACGGTCATCCATAATGCCGTTCATCTGGTTCGTATCTGTCCTGGGTCTAGGGGGCGCCACCTCCGCCTGCTCAGGCTCAGGGGGATGATCCCCTTCTGTGTGGAGAGGTGGAACAGATCAGTCAGATACAGGTGTATAAATGATAGCCAAGACAAGCCCTGATTAACAAACTCTGTCCAATCACTCCACCTATGGTTCCAACCAATGACTAACCTGGTGCAGTCTGGGGCTGTGGCTCTGGTTCAGGTGCTGGAGCCACTTCCTCCACCACCTCACTCGTTGGTTGCTCTGTTTGCTTTGAATCGACTTCTGATTTCTCCTCCTCTCCTACTCCTGATCTCTCCCCCTGCCCTACTTCTGATATCTCTCCATGCCGCACCTCGGAACGTTCCCCCTGCCCCACTTCATCCCCTTCTTCTATTGGCTGTTTTACTGTTGGTGGTGTCTCTGGCACTGAATCTTCAAAAACTTTTGATAAGAAAAGAAGATGTGTCAAATGAATGAGGATGATGTAGGCTTCAGAAATGTCATGCAATAGAAGCATATGATCTACGCTAAGTATAAATATACTCAAAGCCAATACCTGGAGGTGGTGTCTCCTCCCTCTTCTCCTCTGTAGCAACCACATCCTCCTCAGTCTTGCACTCCTCTGGTTGGCCATTGATGGAGGGTGTGTCTGGGGCCAGGGGCGTGGTATTGAGGTCTGGGGTGCTGGCCGCAGGAGAGGGGGTCCCACTGAAGTCTAGGGTGTGGTCTGACCGGGGGGAACCGGACATCCGCCCAGGGGAAGTGGAAGGGTTCTGATGGGGCAAACACAGTCTATCCTTCTCCTGCTCGTGAGACACCAGAGCCTGTATAGATGCAGGGAGATGGACAGACCGGTCATGATCAATAAAACTTGTCAGACCACCAAACAGCATGTTAATAACAGCAAATGAACAAGTCAACCAGTCGGCTCATAAGACTAGGAGACAGACAGTTACACACTGACAAATACACTTATGGAGAAATGATTGAGACACAAAGAGGATATCCATTTCCAGTCTAGATTCAATCAAGATTATTTTCCATCTCCATTACACAATCAGCTTGCTTTAAGAGGATACAGACCAGGGTCTATGACGGAGCCGAGTGCTTTGTGTAGATTACTGTATATATGACCAAGTAAATATGAGACTGAACTGGGCTGGTCTGGACAGTATACTGACCGCCTGTGTCTCCATGCGGGTGAAGATGACATTGAGCATCTGTGTGAGCGTGGCCTTGGCGGTGGTCTGATTGATGAGGTTGCGGCTAGCCAGGTAGATGTTGTAACAGGTACGCACAGTCAGTAGTACAGTCCCCTCATGGATCTCAATGTGAGGGGAGGTCACTGCAGTCAGGAGAGCCTGGAGAACAGAGTCAGGACAGTCAGGGGAAATAGAAGAAAATCATGTCTTTCACTACCTTTGTGAATTATAGATGTTCAAATACGGTAGGAAGGCTGGTCAGTCCAATAAAACCTATTATCAACAGTGATAATACTGGTGGCTTGTATGAACAAGACAGACTTTGGACCCTCAAATTTGGAGTTGCACTATGTGAAACTTAAATGAGCTCTGGTTATGCATCACACCTGCTGTACAGCCATAAAAGACTGATTTGCCAGCGGATATACCTGTAGTATCACAGTGGGGAATGGGAGGTGGGAAATAATGGGCAGCAATTTGTCCTGAGAGGCAACTAGGCTAAATATAGTACATCGGTATAAATATGTAGCTATAAATAAAGGAGAGGTTTAAGATTAATGGAGTCCCTGACAGACTCACCTTAATGATTTGCAGCTGCACCCCCTCGTCTGTCTGTGGGCCCTGGAAGCAGTTACAGATGGTCTCCACCAGCCGGTCGATGAGTCCTCTTCCCTGGAGCACTACTGTCAGGGGCGTTCCCTGTGATGTGGCCATAGGCAATGAGCTTCTGCAATAGGGGAAAAGGAGAGACGAGAGATTGCGGAGAATGTATGCATCTGTGGCATTTAGGAGCACAACTCTGAGGAGTTGCACAACAGGTGTAACAACATTTTAACTCCACCTAGTGGCATTTACAAGTAGGGACTTACAATTACCTTCCACCCACAATTGAGTCCCGGCTCCCTCCCACAATTACAAATGTGTGTGGGTGTAATTTAATGTGTACAATTGCGTACCTGTAGGGCTGGGAATTGCCAAAGACCTCACGATACAATATTATCACGATACTTAGGCGCCGATACGATAGAGTGGGGAGAACAAGTATTTGATACAAAGCATGTAGAGGTCTGTAATTTTTATCATAGGTACACTTCAACTGTGAGAGACGGAATCGAAAACAAAAATCCAGAAAATCACATTGTATGATTTTTAAGTAATTAATTTGCATTTTATTGCATGACATAAGTATTTGATCACCTACCAACCAGTAAGAATTCCAGCTCACAGACCTGTTAGTTTTTCTTTAAGAAGCCCTCCTGTTCTCCACTCATTACCTGTATTAACTGCACCTGTTTGAACTCGTTACCTGTATAAAAGACACCTGTCCACACACTCAATCAAACAGACTCCAACCTCTCCACAATGGCCAAGACCAGAGAGCTGTGTAAGGACATCAGGGATAAAATTGTAGACCTGCACAAGGCTGGGATGGGCTACAGGACAATAGGCAAGCAGCTTGGTGAGAAGGCAACTACTGTTGGCGCAATTATTAGAAAATTGAAGAAGTTCAAGATGACGGTCAATCACTCTCGGTCTGGGGCTCCATGCAAGATCACACCTCGTGGGGCATCAATGATCATGAGGAAGGTGAGGGATCAGCCCAGAACTACATGGCAGGACCTGGTCAATGACCTGAAGAGAGCTGGGACCACAGTCTCAAAGAAAACCATTAGTAACACACTACGCCGTCATGGATAAAAATCCTGCAGCGCACGCAAGGTCCCCCTGCTCAAGCCAGCGCATGTCCAGGCCCGTCTGAAGTTTGCCAATGACCATCTGGATGATCCAGAGGAGGAATGGGAGAAGGTCATGTGGTCTGATGAGACAAAAATAGAGCTTTTTGGTCTAAACTCCACTCGCCGTGTTTGGAGGAAGAAGAAGGATGAGTACAACCCCAAGAACACCATCCCAACCGTGAAGCATGGAGGTGGAAACATCATTCTTTGGGGATGCTTTTCTGCAAAGGGGACAGGTCGACTGCACCGTATTGAGGGGAGGATGGATGGGGCCATGTATCGCGAGATCTTGGCCAACAACCTCCTTCCCTCAGTAAGAACATTGAAGATGGGTCGTGGCTGGGTCTTCCAGCATGACAACGAACCGAAACACACAGCCAGGGTAACTAAGGAGTGGCTCCGTAAGAAGCATCTCAAGGTCCTGGAGTGGCCTAGCCAGTCTCCAGACCTGAACCCAATTGAAAATCTTTGGAGGGAGCTGAAAGTCCTGTATTGCCCAGCGACAGCCCCGAAACCTAAAAGATCTGGAGAAGGTCTGTATGGAGGAGTGGGCCAAAATCCCTGCTGCAGTGTGTGCAAACCTGGTCAAGACCTACAGGAAACGTACAAACAAAGGTTTCTGTACCAAATAATAAGTTCTGCTTTTCTGATGTATCAAATACTTGTGTCATGCAATAAAATGCAAATGAATTACTTAAAAATCATACAATGTGATTTTCTGGATTTTTGTTTTAGATTCCGTCTCTCACAGTTGAAGTGTACCTATGATAAAAATTACAGACCTCTACATGCTTTGTAAGTAGGAAAACCTGCAAAATCGGCAGTGTATCAAATACTTGTTCTCCCCACTGTATGTATTGCGATTCGATACTGTAGTTTTATTGCGATTCCATGTTACAAACATATTGCTCACCATATGTCTGCTGCAGAGGGACAAGCGAGAGCCATGAGAAAACGAGTTTTGATCAGTCATTGAAATAAAAGTGCTGAAAACAAAATGGCTCCCGATTTAAAAAAGATGGAGAACAAACTATGAAGGAAAAATACTGGAGTTTTGGTGCAGGTAGAGCCAACTAGCGCAAAAATAACATTGCCTTCAGAAAGTATTCAGACCCCTTGAATTTTAACATTTTGTTACGTTACAGCCTTACTCTAAAATTGATTTTTTTTTTTTCCTCAGCAATTCTCACACAATACCTCATAATGACAAAGCGAGAAACAGGTTTTTTAGAAATGTTTGCAAATGCATTAAAAATAAAAAAACTGACATACCAAATATACCATATTTACATAAGTATTCCGACCCTTTACTATGAGACTAGAAATTGTGCTCAGGTGCATGCTGCTTCAATTGATCATCCCTGAGATATTTCTACAACTTGATTGGAGTCCACCTGTGGTAAATTAAATTGATTGGACATGATTTGGAAAGGCACACACCTGTCTATACAAGGTCCCACAGTTGACAGTGCATGTCAGAGCAAAAACCAAGCCATGAGGTCAAAGGAATTGTCCGTAGAGCTCAGAGACAGGATTATGTCGAGGTACAGATCTGGGGAAGGGTACCAAAACATTTCTGTAGCATTGAAGGTCTCCAAGAATACAGTGGCCTCCATCATTCTTAAATGGAAGAAGTTTGGAACCACCAAGACTCTTACTAGAGCTGGCCGCCCGGCCAAACTGAGCAATCGGGGGAGAAGGGCCTTGGTCAGGGAGGTGACCAAGAACCCGATGGTCACTCTGACAGAGCTCCAGAGTTCTTCTGTGGAGATGGGAGAACCTTCCAGAAGGACAACCATCTCTGCAGCACTCCACCAATCAGGCCTTTATGGTAGAGTGGCTAGACGGAAGCCACTCCTCAGTAAAAGGCACATGACAGCGCGCTTGGAGTTCGCCAAAAGGCACCTAAAGACTCTCAGACCATGAGAAACAAGATTATCTGGTCTGATGAAACCAAGATTGAACTCTTTGGCCTGAATGCCAAGCGTCACATCTGGAGGAAACCTGGCACCATCCCTACGGTGAAGCATGGTGGTGGCAGCATCATGCTGTGGGGATGTTTTTCAGCAGCAGGGACTGGGAGAAAAGTACAGAGAGATCCTTGATGAAAACCTGCTCCAGAGCGCTCAGGACCTCAGACTGGGGCGACAGTTCACCTTCCAACAGGACAACGACCCTAATCACACAGCCAAGACAATGCAGGAGTGTCTGAATGTCCTTGAGAGGCCCAGCCAGAGCCCGGACTTGAACCCGATCTAACATCTCTGGAGAGCCCTGAAAATAGATGTGAAGCGACGCTCCCCATCCAACCTGAGAGCTTGAGAGGATCTGCAGAGAAGAATGGGAGAAACTCCCCAAATACAGGTGTGCCAAGCTTGTAGCGTCATACCAAAGAAGACTTGAGGCTGTAATCAATGCAAAAGGTGCTTCAACAAAGTACTGAGTACCTAACCAAACATTTCTGAAAACCAGTTTTTGCTTTGTCATTATGGGGTATTGTGTGTACAGTCATGGTCAAAAGTTTTGAGAATGACACAAGTATTGGTCTTCAAAGTTTGCTGCTGCAGTGTTTTTAGATATTTTTGTCAGATGTTACTATGGTATACTGAAGTATAATTACAAGCATTCCATAAGTGTCAAAGGCTTTTATTGACAATTACATTAAGTTTATGCAAAGAGTCAATATTTGCAGTGTTGACCCTTCTTTTTCAAGACCTCTGCAATCCGCCCTGGCATACTGTCAATTAACTTCTGGGCCACATCTTTACTGATGGCAGCCCATTCTTGCATAATCAATGCTTGGAGTTTGTCAGAATTTGTGGGGTTTTGTTTGTCCACCCGCCTCTTGAGGATTGACCACAAGTTCTCAATGGGATTAAGGTCTGGGGAGTTTCCTGGCCATGGACCCAAAATTTCAATTTTTTGTTCCCCGAGCCACTTAGTTATCACTTTTGCCTTATGGCAAGGTGCTCCATCATGCTGGAAAAGGCATTGTTCGACACCAAACTGTTCTTGGATGGTTGGGAGAAGTTGCTCTCGGAGGATGTGTTGGTACCATTCTTTATTCATGGCTGTGTTCTTAGGCAAAATTGTGAGTGAGCCCACTCCCTTGGCTGAGAAGCAACCCCACACATGAATGGTCTCAGGATGCTTTACTGTTGGCATGACACAGGACTGATGGTAGCGCTCACCTTGTCTTCTCCGGACAAGCTTTTTTCCGGATGCCCCAAACAATTGGAAAGGGGATTCATCAGAGAAAATGACTTTACCCCAGTCCTCAGCAGTCCAATCCCTGTACCTTTTACAGAATATCAGTCTGTCCCTGATGTTTTTCCTGGAGAGAAGTGGCTTCCTCGCTGCCCTTCTTGACACCAGGCCATCCTCCAAAGGTCTTTGCCTCACTGTGCGTGCAGATGCACTCACACCTGCCTGCTGCCATTCCTGAGCAAGCTCTGCACTGGTGGTGCCCCGATCCCGCAGCTGAATCAACTTTAGGAGACGGTCCTGGCGCTTGCTGGACTTTCTTGGGCGCCCTGTAGCCTTCTTCACAACATTTGAACCTCTCTCCTTGAAGTTCTTGATGATCCGATAAATGGTTGATTTAGGTGCAATCTTACTAGCAGCAATATCCTTGCCTGTGAAGCCCTTTTTGTGCAAAGCAATGATGACGGCACGTGTTTCCTTGCAGGTAACCATGGTTAACAGAGGAAGAACAATGATTTCAAGCACCACCCTCCTTTTAAAAGCTTCCAGTCTTATTTTAACTCAATCAGCATGACAGAGTGATCTCCAGCCTTGTCCTTGTCAACACTCTCACCTGTGTTAACGAGAGAATCACTGACATGATGTCAGGTGGTCCTTTTGTGGCAGGGCTGAAATGCAGTAGAACTGTTTTTGGGGGATTAAGTTCATTTTCATGGCAAAGAGGGACTTTGCAATTAATTGCAATTCATCTGATCACCCTTCATAACATTCTGGAGTATATGCAAATTGCCATCATAAAAACTGAGGCAGCAGACTTTGTGAAAATTAATATTTGTGTCATTCTCAAAACTTTTGACCACAATGAGGGGAAAAACAATTTAATCAATTTTAGAATAAGGCTGTAACCTAACAAAATGTGGAAAAAGTCAAGGGACCTGAATACTTTACGAAGGCACTGTATCATCCCAAAATAATACCCTGATGTAGCGTTATCCATTTTTTCCCCCATCACTACATACCTGTAGGCAGTCCAATGAGGTGCTGACAATGCGTGGGGACTTAGATTGACAGGCAAGCTCAAAAGGTAGCACATATTTGTCAGCCTCAATGTAGTTTGCTCGGGGCGGAACCACTGTGCCATCTCTGTAGGCCAAAGGAAAAGGTAAATGACAACAGGAACTACAACCTTAAGATGAATGCACTGTAAGTTGCTCTGATTAAGAGTGTCTGCTAAATGACTAAACTGTTAATGTAATACAGGCCTCAGGACATTACAAGCTTAATAACCACTAATAACAGTGGTGACTGCTTAATAGGTGCATCAAACCAATCACCTGCCCATGTGATCCAAATACAAAGAGGGAAAGGAACTTACTTTTGCTTCTCAAGCTCGATTTTAATTTCATCTGTGAAGACAAAAGGAACAAGATCAGTGATGTCTGAACATCTACCTTAAAAGGGGCAATCCGCTGTTAAAAAATAAAAGGGGACACCCCGCTTCAGTTTTAGTAAAATGCTGAGGGATGGCCCTGGAGAAAAGTAACCGCTCAAATTCATAGACAGAGCTATGGGTGCAAGGACTGACCATCCAAGATACCAAAAGTATAGTTTAAGGCATGTTTTGAGGTTTTGGTTGTTTACATGTACAATATTTACAAACACTGGAGTAAACCAGGCTTATATTTTGGGTTCTGGTGGGGTACGACAGTTCATCTAAGCTCATGAGGCATTCATAATTAATATTCTTCAAGAATCAATGTGTATATATAGCATTAATTTAGGAGTCAAAAAATGGATGCAGAAATTGCAGATTGCCTCTTTAGACCAGAGGGGTATACTACAAAGCAGGATCAATGAGTTAGCCAGGGGCATTTTCATGTAAAAGGACCCATGAGCACCAACATGTGAAGTTTATAGGAGCATATAAAATTGTGTCAAATGAAAGCTAAGAAGCAATATTTTGGGGAAATTAAGGCATAGATAAATTTAACCATTTTCCATCCTAAAAATTTGGAATAAGAAAAGGCTTTGATTTCTGGTAAAAAAAAGATGGAAAAGGGGTCTTTAAAAACATCTACTAGAAAAAGTCCTAAAAAAAAGGTATTAGAAATGCATCAAAACAAAATTACGTTGAAGGCCCCTGCCAACTAATATCAACATTTATATTTACACTGAAAAAAATATAAAACGCAACATGTAAAGTGTTGGTCCTATGTTTCATGAGCTGAAATAAAAGATCACAGAAATGTTCAATTTGCACAAAAAGCTTATTTCTCTCAAATGTTGTGCTCAAATTTGTTTACATCCCTGTTAGTGAGCATTTCTCCTTTGCCAAGACAATCCATCCACCTAACAGGTGTTGCATATCAAGAAGGTGATTAAACAGCATGATCATTACACAAGTGCACCTTGTGCTGGGGATAATAAAAGGCCACTCTACAATGTGCAGTTGTCACACAACACAATGCCACATGTCTCAAGTTGAGGGAGCTTGCAATTGGCATGCTCACTGCAGAAATGTCCACCAGAGCCGTTGCCAGAGAATGTAATGTTCATTCCTCTACCATAAGCTGCATCCAACGTTGTTTTAGAGAATTTGGCAGTACATCCAACCGGCCTCACAACCGCAGACCATGTGTAACCACGCCAGCCCAGGACATCTGAGACCAGCCACCCGGACAGCTGATGAAACTGTGGGTTTGCACAACCAAAGAATTTCTGCACAAACTGTCAGAAACCTTGTCAGAGAATCTCATCTGCGTGCTCGCCGTCCTCACCAGGGTCTTGACCTGACTGCAGTTTGGCGTTGTAACCGATTTCATTAGGAAAATGCTCACCTTCGATGGCCATGGTATGGGCAGGCATAAGCTACGGACAACGAACACAATTCCATGGCCTGCATACATAGCAGACATGTCACCCATTGAGCATGTTTGGGATGCTCTGGATCAACGTGTACGACAGCATGTTCCAGTTCCCGCCAATATCCAGCAACTTTGACAGCCATTGAAGAGGAGTGGGACAACATTTCACACGTCACAATCAACAGCCTGATCAACTCTATGTGAATGAGATGTGTCGCGCTGCATGAGGCAAATGGTGGTCACACCAAGATACTGACTGGTTTTCTGATCCAAGCCCCTACCTTTTTTTTTTAAAGGTATCTGTTACCAACAGATGCATATCTGTATTCCCAGTCATGTGAAATCCATAGATTAGGGCCTAATGAATTGATTTCAATTGACTGATTTCCTTTTATGAACTGTAACTCACTCAAATCTTTGAAATTGTTGCATTTATATTTTTGTTCAGTGTAGTTTTGCTGAAATGTGCCTTCTATAAGTTTAGAAATATTGCCTAGTGCCTTGTTATTCCGTTACCAAAAACACACATCTTTAAGTTATTTTAAAATGTATCTCCCTTATGAAGAGGGAGGATTATGGAAGTTCACAGAAGTAACAAGGTAGACCTACTAATTAGTTAGTGTTTTTAGTGATAACAACTGTGTCTAAATTGTTAACAGAGTGACCTAGAAATCTGTAACAGAATGACAGAAATTGAATTGGCCACAAAAGGAAATTATAGTAGTCACAAACCACAGTTGCAGTAGTGCTCAGTATGGTAGAGCTGGGGTCCCAAAACTTTTTCCACCCGGGACCCCCTTCCAGCATTGGGGAGTATCCCGTGCGCCCCTCCCCGTCTAATTCTATGGGCAAAAGCACTGTTCATGACACAAACGGTTCACATCCCTCTTGTTGGTGGAGAGAATTTTGCAGGTTTAAAGCTTATTTCCTGCAATTCTACACATTTTGTCATGGGGTGCAAAGAACATCTTGCAGTTTTAAAGCTAATATTCTTGCTATTCTATACATTTTTCCATGTCTAACCTCCTGTCATCACTTCCTGTTGAATGCGGAACGAGGGAGAGCTCGGTTTGTTGTTTTGGAAAGTTTTGAAAGTCTATTGAAAAAGTTTCGTTACTAGCTAGCTACCTTTTGAGTTTGGATCCCGCAACGTGGTTGGCATCAGTTGCTGGGACCGCTACAATCTGTCCAGTGATCCTGCCGACCAAGGCCGGGTCTGAGGAGCTGCTTGGCGTAGCAGCTAGCCTAGATGCTAGCTAGCTGCCTATCAAGCTAGTGGGGTTGAGGGCTTGTATGCAGCCCGCGACGCGGTTAGCCATTGTGGCTGGGACCGGGCTTGTGTTGTTGTTGTTGTTTTCAATCTTCCATGCGACCATGCCCTGTCTGGAACTGCAATGAGTAACAGCATAACCTACATTGTTACCATGACAAAGACCAAAGCCGGTGGGGGTACCGTTGAGGACAGTGGTGTTTCTCTATCACAGGTGAAGGATATTTTAAATGAACAAAAATAGTTGTTACAACAACAAGAAAATAGCTTCAAGTGTTCAACTAATAAAGGAATGGACGACCTGACCAGAGAGGTCCAGGATCTGAAGAACAGGAAATAGTTCTCCGGGGGTCTGCTCGATGAGTTTAAACAGGAGAATGGCAAGATGACAGCAGTCATTGAGAGAGCACATCAGTTCTGTATGTGAATCCATGATAACAATGACGGAGAAATCAGATTATCTTGAGGGACAATAAAGGCGGAACATGGTTGTGGATGGAATTGCAGAATCTCCACGAGACCTGGATGGAGTCAAAGTGAGGACAAAGTGAGGTAAATTATCTCTGAGAAACTGAAAATGGACCACAGGAAGATTGAGGTGGAGTGCGCCCACAGGACTGGAAAACCCACCACCGGCCCAGGTGACACGCACAGGCCAATAGTGGTCAAGTTTGAGGTAGCTGTTATGGAAAGAGCCAAGAACTTGAGAGGAACGTATATCTTCCTCAACGAGGACTATCCTGAAGTTTTTTGGTTCAAACCGTCGTGTCTTTGTGAGACGCGGTGTGGGTGAATGGATGATCTCTGCATGTGCAGTTCCGACCATAAAGCATGGAGGAGTTGGTGTTATGGTGTGGGGGTGCTTTGCTGGTGACACTGTCTGTGATTTATTTAGAATTCAAGGAATTCAAACCAGCATGGCTACCACAGCATTCTGCAGCAAAACGCCATCCCATCTGGTTTGGGCTTAGTGGGACTATCTTTTGTTTTTCAACAGGACAATGACCCAACACACCTCCAGGCTATGTAAGGGCTATTTGAGGCTATTTGACCAAGAAGGAGAGTGATGGGGTGCTGCATCAGATGACCTGGCCTCCACAATCCCCCAACCTCAACCCAATTGAGATGGTTTGGGATGAGTCGGGTGGCAGAGTGAAGGAAAAGCAGCCAACAAGTGCTCAGCATATGTGGGAACTCCTTCAAGACTGTTGGAAAAGCATTCCAGGTGAAGCTGGTTGAGAGAATGCCAAGAGTGTGCAAAGCTGTCATCAAGGCAAAGGGTGGCTATTTGAAGAATCTCAAATATAAAATATATTTTGATTTGCTTAAAACTTTTGGTTACTACATGATTACATGTGTGTTATTTCATAGTTTGATTTCTTCACTATTATTCTACAATGTAAAAAATGTTGAATGAGTAGGTGTGTCCAAACTTTTGACTGGTAGTGTATCAGGAAATACAACTTGTGCAATAGTCTAAATGTCACAATCTAGGATACATTACAGTTTGTTCATTTGCAGTTTACTTGCACTATGGTGCCAGACAGTGTCTGTTGGAAGTGGAAACCACCCCCCCTAATTGCTCGATGGCATGTGTGTGCGTACACTCAAACTAGGGGGAACCACAGTCCATTGGCCACTCAGTTTGTGAAAAAAAGAGTGGCTAATATTTGTCAGAGGATAAGGATTCATTGTGGCATTCTCATTATAACATGTTATCAGATTAACAATGCTCATTATAACATAAATAATTTGGGCAATGAAGTGTAGCGGTCTCCGCCAGGCAGGCAGGTTCTCCCACCACTACCCAAAACCAGGATGAACGCAACATCTGTTCCAACGAGAAGTATGCAATGAATAGACTAAAGCCTAAGTAAACTGTTTAGTGTACAGTGTGCCGAATATGATAGTCTATTAGTGGGCTGGGTAATGTAAATATGGAGAGATTAATTTAAAACGGAGCAAAGTCAACATTTACCCACCTAATTAATCTGGAGCTACTTCAGTATGGGGTTACCTGTCTGTGACAATGTGTCGACTGGAATCTAAGTGGTGAATAGGAAACCATTGCTTGTCTACCTGCCCTGAATCATAAATAATGTACAGTGCAGGATCGGGTCAAAGCGCAAACATGTTTGCCTCTTTTTTTCCCCCCCATCTCAAAATGAGTGAGGGAGAGACTGGAAAATAGGCTTAAAAGTTCCCGGAAGTATGCCATCACTGAACTGGAATTTCTGGTAGCTTAAAACATCTAGCTAGAAGTTATTCTAGGTTAGACCAATGATGGGTTTACACACATCATTCGGTTAGACCCTGCCCAAGAACCTCGTGTTTATTGGACAACAGCAACTATGCCGTTCTGAACTAGCAGTAATAATGACCATTCAACTACAGTAAAATAAACACGATCATTCATTTACAGTAAAATGTATACAGCTGCCATGTCTCCCAATCAGATAATCAAAGACATGGTTACAATTGAGCAGGATTGATCTCTCAAAAAACATCACAAAAGCAAGAATGTGTGGGTGTGTAAAACTATCCCCCCACTGCTCAGTGGAAAAGAATGGACGTCAAAGTATCCTTACTGAAGTAAATTGCCAGCTGCCTAAAGCTGACAGTGCTACGTACTGTACAATGATTGGTCCAATGGCTAGGTAGCAAGCTAACTAGTTAGCCAACTAGCTAGGTAGCTAGCTGTCAAAGTTGACAGGGATGATAATGCAATCTGAAGACATAGCATATGACTGACTATAAGATCCAAGTGTTCACATGCAGCCAGATATATGACAAGGCTCCACGATCATAAACCAGTTTTCAAAGAGGGGAAGCGTTGAACATTATGCTGCGTTGTGTTGGTAGCTAGCTAGCCACCAAACTAGCTAATCTAGTTGGCTACCAAGCTAGCTACCTTGACAGGAGGCCATTGAACGCCATAGCTAGCTCGCTAACAAACAACATTAACTAGTTATCACGGAAGGGTTAACTAGCTAAAACATTACATTGAATAAATAACAACCCTATGGATGCAACGTTAACCAATAAAAAAAATTCAACTCACGCACCAAGAGCCACTTGACATGCTTTACGCAGCTGGCTGTGCTGGCTCCGCTTCACCTCCTTATCCGAGAGGATCTTTTCAAGCGCTCTAGACAGAAACATGCTCTTGGTTTTTGTGCTTTCCGTCTGCTTCTGGTGTTGTTGTTGAGCAAGACGTTGTTGCTGTTGCATCTCTTGATATAACTGCTGCTCTCTCAGGCCGGCATCTCTGACCCTGCGTAGATGCAGGCGAGAGAAATGCTAACGAACCCGGGCTATCGGTGTGTGTCTATCCACCGAGTTTGTTGGGACTGCTACCTCAGCACTGAGTCGCCATGTTGTTTACACGTCACGTCACGTGATTCTAAGCTGCTTTTATTTGACGCTTTATCCCCCTCCACTGGATCGAATGATGCCTTCAGTTTCCCACCAAAACCTTTACATGTCATGCTGGTAAAGGTTTTATACACATTTCTTACAGATATTTCGTTAGTAATAACCCGTTTAATTGATTTGGATTCTTCTGTAAGCAGCAGTGTGGGCCAAAAATATCTGGGGTTATCTAGCTAGGTTTATTTTTATGTCTTGTTTTATAGAAACATCATGCATACTATTTTACAATTTTATGAACCTTCTAATTTTGGGGGTTGAATAACGCCCACTGAAATAAAAGTACTGCCTACTTTATCCACTAGGTGGTAATATATACAGAGAATCAGTCACAGTCACTCCCATCACAGATGAAATGGGAAAGGGGGTTTAGTCACCAGCATTTGCTACTATGTTTCAACTGGTCCCAATTCTGATACATGACAAGTTATAAGATGGGAGCACTTGTATATGATATGATCCTGAGCATTTTCTGTTAATTTTGGTTCTTGAAAGATGATTCACATTATTTACGTGAGAATGCTATTCATTGACTTCAGCTCAGCGTTCAACACCATAGTGCCCTCAAAGCTCATCACTAAGCTAAGGACCCTGGGACTAAACACCTCCCTCTGCAACTGGATCCCGGACTTCCTGACGGGCCGCCCCCAGGTGGTAAGGGTAGGTAACAACACATCTGCCACGCTGATCCTCAACACAGGGGCCCCGCAGGGGTGCGTGCGCAGTCCCCTCCTGTACTCCCTGTTCACCCATGACTGCATGTCCAGGCACGACTCTAACACCATCATTAAGTTTGCCGACGACACAGCAGTGGTAGGCCTGATCACCGACAAGACAGCCTATAGGGAGGTGGTCAGAGACCTGGCCGTGTGGTGCCAGGACAACAACCTCTCCCTCAACGTGATCAAGACAATGGAGATGATTGTGGACTACAGGAAAAAAAAAAGAGGACTGAGCACGCCCCCATTCTCATCGACGGGGCTGTAGTGGAACAGGTTCAGAGCTTCAAGTTCCTTGGTGTCCACATCACCAACAAACTATCATGTGCCAAACACACCAAGACAGTCGTGAAGAGGGCACGACAAAGCCTATTCCCCCTCAGGAGACTGAAAAGATTTGGCATGGGTCCTCAGATCCTCAAAAGGTTCTACAGCTGCACCATCGAGAGCATCCTGACTGGTTGCATCACCGCCTGGTATGGCAACTGCTCGGCCTCCGACCGCAAGGCACAACAGAGGGTAGTGCGTACGGCCCAGTACATCACTGGGTCCAAGCTTCCTGCCATCCAGGACCTCTATACCAGGCGGTGTCAGAGGAAGGCCCTAAACATTGTCAAATACTCCAGCCACCCTAGTCATAGACTGTTCTCTCTGCTACCACACGGCAAGTGGTACCGGAGCGCCAAGTCTAGGTCCAAAAGGCTTCTTAACAGCTTCTACCCCCAAGCCATAAGACTCCTGAACAGCTAATCATGGCTACCCGGACTATTTGCATTGCCCCCCCCCCCCCCCCCCCACCCCCACCCCCCTCTTTTACGCTGCTGCTACTCTGTTTATTATTTATGCATAGTCACTTTAACTCTACCCACATGTACATATTACCTCAATTACCTTGACTAACCGGTGCCCCCCGCACATTGACTCTGTACTGGTTTATCCCTGTATATAGCCTCCCTACTGTTATTTTATTTTACTGCTGCTCTTTAATTTAATTTTTTACTTATCTATTTTTTACTTAACACATTTTATTTCCTTAAAAACTGCATTGTTGGTTAAGGGCTTGTAAGTAAGCATTTCACTGTAATGTCTACACCTGTTGTATTCGGCGCATGTGCCAAATAAAATTTGATTAAAATGCTGGTTTTTGTAATGATAATGTAAAGAAACATAAAACGTATAGTCAATGATTGCTACATAGTTTATTTTTCCAGCTCATGGAATCAACAAATTATACATGTGCATCTATATTCATACATTTCTTTACTACTTTAAAACATTTTCATTAAATGTGATAAAAATGTACATCATATAGTATTGATAAGAAAATACTGAAAATGTTCAGTACAAATCTATACCTTAGGATTTATCTGGCAAGCAAAAATCCTTGCTCATTATCTTTAAAAAAGGAACTGACACAAACCAAAATAATTTCGAAGCCTGTTTAGTGTATTCTCTGACATACAGGGTCTCCCATGAATAAAGGAATTCACAGTATGGAAGAAAAAAAAAAACTGTCATAGTGAGTTATAATCTAAACCCCTATAAACTGCTTGTACAGAAAAACAATTGAATCAAACTACTTTTAATAGGGCAAGAAGATGTACCTACCAGGAATAGATGAGATAATGAACTTCAACCATGAATTAACAGTGGATCAGCTACACAAATGAAATGAATACTTACTTAGCAATGAAAAGTAATATGCTGAAACATGATTAGAAAATAAATAGTTGTGGTTACAATCCCAATGTCCTGTGTGGTTAAAACAAAAATAAATTAACAGATTTCTAAAATTCATCCATTCAAAATGTCACTCGTCATGCTTTGAATGTTACAGAACTGTTTGGAATGAGACAAAGCAATCTCAACTCTTCAACACCCTGTGTACCATAACAGAGAATGGAATAGTACCTCACAGTGTCAATGAGTCAGTATGATAGGGAGGGGGAGTTCAGTTCACATACCCTGCTCTGAGCAGATGTTTGATCACAGAGATGCAGTGTTTATGATTCTCATCAGGTATTTCTGCAGGTAAGACAGACTGCAGTCCAGCTCAGGAGAGGGGTAGAGGGGGTTAGAGCGGGTGGTGGGGAGTAAGGCAACTGTTCCCAGTACATTTTGGTTCCCCTAGCAAAAGCCAAAATCAATATGATGGGGCACATCAATGCCCCATCTGCTCTCAGAGGAGTATGTTAGCTTCTATTACTGTTTACATGTTGAGTACAACTTTAGTGTTAATTCCCAATTATACTTCACAACAGCTCAATGGGAACTAATCACACAGATAATAAAACTACAATCTATTGGAATGAAGATTTTCTGCAGTAGTATCCTTATTAGTTTCATGTTAAGCATTTGTAGTTTGGTGCATAGCCGCGGGAAGTAGTTTGGGGGCGGGGGTGCTGTAATTTGTTTTATTTGCTGGGGGGTGCTGCAGCAACTTCAGCACCCCTACTTCCTATGGTTTGGTGAGGAACTGTCTAGTGTTTTGGGGAAGTCTGTTGGATCTACACTACCGGCATTCTAATCACCTTGCTGGTGTTGACCTTCCTGAACAACCACAGGTACAGACATCAGGTGATAGACATGTGACCAGGAACAAGTGAGAACACACACTCCCTCACCTGATCCAAGTCACACACAATGCGTAGCGGTAGACAAACTCCACCTTACTCAAATACAAGGTGCAAACACAGAGACTGGGTCGGTATATGTGAGAGCATGTGCAAGTCAAAATAGTAACTTCTTCCTGCTGACTGGGTTCTTTAACATTAGTCCCATCCCTCTCTTGGGGCATTAGTGTCCTAGCTCTAAATTATGTAACATCAGAAGCACTGTGCAGTACTCTGAGTCACAGTCCAGTTATCAATGTGCAATATATATCAGTATTACATTCTTTGAAATAGGGAAAAATACTGTAAATGAAGTTAGGGCACTGCTCAAACATGAATGATTCAGGCCACATCGAAGTGAACTTAGAGATGGAAAACTGTAAGAAAGCCAACCCTAACTGTTACATGTACTTCCTCCCTTACAAAACATGGACAGATGAAAAAAAGAGAGAGAACATGAGGAATATACTGAGATGAGTGAAGAGTCATGGTCAGAGAAATCAGAGAATCACATGTACAATCACATTCTGTCACGCTTTATAGACAAAGTGGGGAAATAGCCCTTGTCATGAGGTCAACGATGGATCTTCCTCACCCACACAACGACAGCGACATTCTGGATTATTGACCGATGACAGTAATGTAGAGATCTGGTCCTTAACCATGGGTCCTTATAATTTCCAATATGGTAAGTTGAGGTACACTTATTTTCCACTAAATAAAAAATCATACAGTAAATCATTTGATTGAAATAAAACAGAAAAGCCCCAGCATTAAACCTTCGAGATTTTCGAAAGTCCAGTTGCTTCGCATAATAGCTTCCAGTTTGTTTTTCGTGATTATCAACATTAAAAGCTTGGGGGGAAAACACAGGAATAGTGGTTAACCCTGTTCAGGTCCACACAAAGAGACCCATATTAGTTTTTTCTCCTCAGACTAAAATTAGAGTATTATTGCAGACCACTGCTCTTTGTTGGTTACTATGGTAACACGTAGGATGGAAGCCATTACTTTAGTTCCCACATGCTGTAATCACCTAGGGGAGGGGTTGTTTTCATTTGCAAAGTGACATGCCAAAAGCAGATTGTCAAAATGTGCTCAAGAGATAGTCTCCTCTATCTAACAAGCCAAGGTAGAATAGCTAGGGAGAGGTCAGAGCCTACAGATATGTGCATTCATTTGTTCACCTCGTTCATTAAATCAGTCCTTTCATACTGTTGACAAAATTGAAAAAACAACTGAGAATACCATCTCATTGCTGTCCTCAAGAGGAAGGATACAGAAACAGTCTCCCCCTTCCAAAATAGAAACAAGTGATTTTTGTGGTTTTGAATCAGGAGTTTCCCCTTCCACACAAACACCATGTGTAATTAATGTGTCTGTCTGTCTGTCACACAGTGTAGGGAGGGCTGTGTCGATACTATGGCACGCATGCGTGGGTCTTGGCATGGGTGTTCTTTGTGTATGCATGAGGGTATCTGAATGTATGTGCTTGAGTGTGTAAGACTATGTGTTTGCATATAAGAGAGAGAGTAAAAGTATGCATGTACAGTGAGGGAAAAAGTATTTGATCCTGTGCTGATTTTGTACGTTTGCCCACTGACAAAGAAATGATCAGTCTATAATTTTAATGGTAGGTTTATTTGAACAGTGAGAGACAGAATAACAACAACAAAAATCCAGAAAAACGCATGTCAAAAATATTATAAATTGATTTGCATTTTAATGAGGGAAATAAGTATTTGACCCCCTCTCACTCAGAAAGATATCTGGCTCCCAGGTGTCTTTTATACAGGTAACGAGCTGAGATTAGGAGCACACTCTTAAAGGGAGTGCTCCTAATCTCAGCTTGTTACCTGTATAAAAAGACACCTGTCCACAGAAGCATTCAATCAATCAGATTCCAAACTCTCGACCATGGCCAAGACCAAAGAGCTCTCCAAGGATGTCAGGGACAAGATTGTAGACCTACACAAGGCTGGAATGGGCTACAAGACCATTGCCAAGCAGCTTGGTGAGAAGGTGACAATAGTTGGTGCGATTATTTGCAAATGGAAGAAACACAAAATAACTGTCAATCTCCCTCGGCCTGGGGCTCCATGCAAGATCTCACTTCGTGGAGTTGCAATGATCATGAGAACGGTGAGGAATCAGCCCAGAACTACACGGGAGGATCTTGTCAATGATCTCAAGGCAGCTGGGACCATAGTCACCAAGAAAATAATTGGTAACACACTAGTCAGTGAAGGACTGAAATCCTGCAGCGCTTGCAAGGTCCCCCTGCTCAAGAAAGCACATACACATGCCCGTCTGAAGTTTGCCAATGAACATCTGAATGATTCAGAGCAGTGTGTGGTCAGATGAGACCAAAATCGAGCTCTTTGGCATCAACTCAACTCGTCATTTTTGGAGGAGGAGGAATGCTGCCTATGACACCAAGAACACCATCCCCACCGTCAAACATGGAGGTGGAAACATTATGCTTTGGGAGTGTTTTCCTGCTAAGGGGACAGGACAACTTCACTGCATCAAAGGGACGATGGACGGGGCCATGTACCGTCAAATCTTGGGTGAGAACCTCCTTCCCTCAGCCAGGGCATTGAAAATGTTGTCGTGGATGGGTATTCCAGCATGACATGACCCAAAACACACGGCCAAGGCAACAAAGGAGTGGCTCAAGAAGAAGCACATTAAGGTCCTGGAGTGGCCTAGCCAGTCTCCAGACCTTAATCCCATAGAAAATCTGTGGAGGGAGCTGAAGGTTCGAGTTGCCAAACATCAGCCTCAAAACCTTAATGACTTGGAGAAGATCTGCAAAGAGGAGTGGGACAAAATCCCTCCTGAGATGTGTGCAAACCTGTTGGCCAACTACAAGAAACGTCTGACCTCTGTGATCGCCAACAAGGGTTTTGGCACCAAGTACTAAGTAATGTTTTGCAGAGGGGTCAAATACTTATTTCCCTCATTAAAATGCAAATCAATTTATAACATTTTTGACATGCGTTTTCTGGATTTTTTTGTTGTTATTCTGTCTCTCACTGTTCAAATAAACCTACCATTAAAATTATAGACTGATCATTTCTTTGTCAGTGGGCAAACGTACAAAATCAGCAGGGGATCAAATACTTTTTTCCCCTCACTGTATGAATGTGTGTGTGCCGTAATTATTGTGCAAGTATGAAGGGTGTATGTGTCTACAGCGTGATGACTGTGCCGTCCTCCTCTAAGCTCCTTCCCTCTAGGCCCCTATCGGGCGTGCTGACCGTGCTCAGTGAACCGGTGCTGTTGCTGGAGGCCAGGGCTCCGTTGGCCGTGGTGCGGAGGTTCAGATGGGGCTCGTAGCGGGGCAGGGAGGGCATGCTGCAGCTGGCCAAGGCTGCCCGTGGGATGGGCACGGCCTCCCCGTCTGCCTCTATCACCAGGTCCTCATCATCCTCATCACTCTCCAGCTCCTCTGGATGGAAGTTCTGCATGATGTGTGCCGGGGTCGTCGCTATGGCAGCGCCCGGGGTGAAATAGCCGTAGAAACTGGCGCCGCTGTCGGAAGAGCGACCCGAGCTCCCGGAAGCCACCCCACCCCCTCCGCCACTGCTCCGTATGATGTTGTTGCGCTGGTTGGCTGGCTTCACCGTCACAATGAGGTTGTGGCTGTTGGCGATCATCATGTCAGTCACCTGGTCCAGAGACTTGCCTTGCACCTCGATACCATTGACCTCAAGCACCTCGTCGTTGACGGCCAGCAGGCCTGTGCTCTCAGCCAGGCCCCCAGGCACCATGCGGGAGATGAAGATCCCAGGCACCTTCTCCAGGCCCTGGGGCGTGACCCGGACGCTGGAGCCGTCGCGGATGTAGAAGCCCAGCGGTTTCTCCTGGCCGTGCTTGTAGAGGCGCACCCGGCGGTGTGTCTCAGGGAGGATGTCCACGTCGATGATGGAGGAGACGGGCCTGAAGTCCCTGGGCAGGCTAATGATCACAGGGGGCTTCTTCCGGTTGGCATCAGGCCGCAGCAACACGGCCGCTAGGACCGTCTTCTTAGGACGGGTCAGAGAGTCCGTACCAAACGCAGAGTAGTCTGCTTCCTCTGCAAAGAGAGAGATGGGAAAACATAATATGTATTAGAACCAACCACATCAATATTACATCAGTACAGTTGGGATCGAATCTCATCCCATAAATGCTTATTGACAATAATTATCATGGTGGAACTATAAATCATTACTGACATTCTACTGCAGACTATATTGTAGTTATGCAATAGCGATTGTGTTGCTCTAAGCCTGAGGGTTCCCTTAGCTTAGAGCCACTCCCTCCCTCCTTTCACTAGACTTGTTTCAGTGCTTTCCTCTGCCCACCCTTCCCCTGGTCTTATTCCTCATGTGCAGTAAATGTAGGCATAGACTCCGGTCTCTCTTTCATGAAAGGGCTTTCTGAATTCCTCACAGGATTACTCATGGCGACTGTGCTGCTGTGGGACATACCTGAACTTTCACCTGAGCATGGCTCAGAGCAGAGACAGGCCTCTAGACTAGATCAAAGGTCTGGGAGGACAGAGAGAACCAGGCAATGGCTCTCTAATGGTTAACCACCAGCACACGGATGCTAAACATTAACATCATAAACGTTGTGTGCCCCAGTCATTCCTTTTATCTATCGCTCTCTGTCTTTTTTCTCTCCCGCTGGCTATATATATATATATATCCTAGAATGAAAGGCATGTTCTTACATTTTAGTCATTTTAGCCAGAGCAACTTACAGTTAGTGAGTGCATACATCTTTTAATTTTTTTATACTGTCCCCCTGTGGGAATCGAACCAACAACCCTGGCGTTGCAAACGCCATGCTCTACCAACTGAGCTACATCCCTGCCGGCCATTCCCTCCCCTACCCTGGACGACGCTAGGCCAATTGTGCGCCGCCCCATGGGTCTCCCGGTCACGGCCGGCTACGACAGAGCCTGGATTCGAACCAGGATCTCTAGTGGCATAGCTAGCACTGGAATGCAGTGCCTTAGACCACTGCACCACTCGGGAGGTTCTTGTACCCCGAAGTGTTGTAATGTAGTGTACACTGTGCAGTTTGCTCAGGTGATGTGGATATACTGTATGCACCTAAGCATCATCTGTAATTGCCCAGGGATAGTTGCGTTGTCACTATAGACTGTGTGCGTGTGTGGATCTGGGATAGGGCCCAGACAGGTTGTAGATAAGGATTCATGCACTCAGATTCTGACAGGTATTCTCCCTCCTCCCCTCCCCATACCAACAAGAAAAACAAAGGATCAATTGTACAGAGAAGCGCTATCCCATTTCAATTCCCATGAGACATACGTTCATTGCCTCCTTATCAGGATGAATAAGAACTGTACAACAAAATACAGGTTTACATATTCACAAAAACACTCTGGTATGTTGCGTTAAAATACATACACACACACACAATAATCCAGACTCAATGTTTTTAAAGCATCCAGCTAATACATGAACAAAGGTATGTGGACACCTGCTCGTCGAACATCTCATTCCAAAATCATCAGTATTAATATGGAGTTGGTCCCCCCTTTGCTGCTATAAGAGCCTCCACTCTTCTGGGAAGGCTTTCCACTAGATGTTGGAACATTGCTGCGGGGACTTGCTTCCATTCAGTCACAAGAGCATTAGTGAGGTCGGGCACCGATGTTGGGCCATTAGGCCTGGCTCGCAGTCGCCGTTCCAATTCATCCCAAAGGTGTTTGATGGGGTTGAGGTCAGGGCTCTGTGCAGGCCAGTCAAGTTCTTCCACACTGATCTCGACAAACCATTTCTGTATGGACCTCGCTTTCTGCACGGGGGCATTGTCATGCTGAAACAGGAAAGGGCCCTGCCACAAAGTTGGAAGCACAGAATCGTATAGAACGTCATTTTGTAAAGCCTCCCGAGTGGCGCAGCAGTCCAAGGCACTGCATCGCAGTGCTTGAGGCGTCGCTACAGACCCGGGTTCGATCCCAGATTGTGTCACAACTGGCCGTGACCGGGAATCCCACAGGGCGGCACACAATTGGCCCAGCGTCGTCCGGGATAGGGGAGGGTTTGGCTGGGGGGGCTTTACTTGGCTCATCGCGCTCTAGCGACTCCTTGTGGTGGGCCGGGTGCCTGCAGGCTGACTTCAGTCGTCAGTTGAACAGTGTTTCCTCCGACACGTTGGTGCAGCTGGCTTCCGGGTTAAGCGGGCGGGTGTTATGAATCCCGGTTAGGCATTATTACTCCTCCACCAAAATGTACAGTTGGCACTATGCATTCAGGCAGGTAGCGTTCTCCTGGCATCTGCCAAACCCAGAATCGTCTGTCGGACTGCCAGATTTTTACGCGCTACGTGCTTCAGCACTCCCATTCTGTGAGCTTGTGTGGCCTACCACTTTGCGGCTGAGCTTTTGTTGCTCCTAGACGTTTCCACTTCACAATAACAGCACTTCGAGTTGGCCGGGGCAGCTCTAGCAGGGCAAAAATGTGACAAACTGACTTGTTGGAACGGTGGCATCCTATTACGGTGCCACAATGAAAGTCACTGAGCTCTTCAGTAAGGCCATTCTACTGCCAATGTTTATCTATGGAGATTGCATGGCTGTGTGCTCGATTTTATACACCTGTCAGCAACGGGTGTGGCTGAAATAGCCAAATTCACTAATTTGAAGGGGTGTCCACATACTTTGGTATATATAGTGTATGTGTGATGTTCACACATAGGTATATTTACATCTACACACAGTAGGGCATTTCTAAGGACAGGCACGCACAGGTCTGGCAGACTGGTCCCTACAGTGCAGTCAAGCATACCAGTGAATCTCTAAATATTTCCCCTCTTCCTTCTTTATTTTTTTTACTCCTCTTTCTCGCAGCCCCCCCCCCCCAAATATCAAAGTCTACCAATGAGGTTATAGTCAAGGATAGTGTAGAATAGGAGGCCCCTGTGGGCCACTCATACAGCCTCAGCAAAGACATGCTGTTCTATAAGTCACATAAAACCCCACACACAACAAACCTGTGTTTAAACACAAACACTGCTCCATCCCTTGAGTGTTTCTCTGACTAATGATCCTCTCGCTGTGTGACAACTGATGCCAGTGAAAACGAATATCTCATCACTCATATCTCATTAAAGCAGCAAGAAAGGCTTTCAGTCTAATTAGACCACACACACACACCTAATCGAAGAGTTGACCCCTCCTAAATTGTCTTTCTCCAACCTGCCACCACTGGTTTCCTATGGTCGATAAAGCAGGCGGGTGTAAATAGTCAATACTATGGCGCTAAAGCCACATGGACCCAGAATAATCATCTGTGACTCTCTTGGTGTGTGTCCCTTTGGGGGTCCCCCACTGTCATATGTCCCAGCACATTTCCCTAGGGTCGAGCCGCCGGGTTCACCGTCACACTCAGTGCCTTGAGACAGTTTATGAGTTATCCTCATTATGTGCAATGGTTGGAAGTAAGCAGGCTAATAAACACGCACACAACAATATAAATAACACCTGAAGTGAAGATATGAGTTCACCTTTATGCTCATTAAATACGTGACTCAAACTTCAGGAATGCAATGTAGTGAGCATAGTTCCTTCAGGAAGTACTCATACCCCTTGACTTATTCCACATTTTGTTGTGTTACAGCCTGAATTCAAAATGGATTAAATTGATTTTTTGTGTTCAACCATCTACACACAATACGCCATAATGACAAAGTGAAAACATATTTAGAAATGTTGGCAAATGTACTCAAAATGAAATACAGAAATCTCATTTACGTAAGTACTCACACCCGAGTCAATACTTTGTAGAAACATCTTTGGCAGCGATTACAGCTGTTAGTCTTTCTGGGTAAGTCTCAACAAGCTTAGCACAAGCAACATTTGGACATTCAGAGACTTATCCCGAAGCCACTCCTGCGTTGTCTTGGCAGTGTGCTTAGGATCGTTGTCCTGTTGGAAAGCGAACAGTCACCCCAGTCTGAGGTCCTGAGCACTATGAAGCAGGTTTTCATCAAGGACCTCTCTGTACTTTGCTCCGTTCATCTTTCCCTCGATCCTGAATAGTCACCCAGTCCCTGAAAAACATCTACACAGCATGATGCTGCCACCACCCTGCTTCACCGTAGGGATGGTGCCTGGTTCTCTCTTGGCATTCAGGCCAAAGAGTTCAATATTGATTTCATCAGACCAGAGAATCTTGTTTCTCGTGGTCAGAGTCTTTAGGTGCCTTTTGGTAAACTCCAAGCGAGCTATCATGTGCCTTTTACTGAGGAGTGGCTTCCGTCTAGCCACTCTACCATAAAGGCCTGATTGGTGGAGTGCTGCAGAGATGGTTGTCCTTCTGGAAGGTGCTCCCATCTCCACAGAGGAACTATGGAGCTCTGTCAGAGTGACCATCGGGTTCTTGTCACCTCCCTGACCAAGGCCCTTCTCCTCCGATTGCTCAGTTTGGCCGGGCGGCCAGCTCTAGGAAGAGTCATGGTGGTTCCAAACTTCTTCCATTTAAGAATGATGGAGGCCACTGTGTTCTTGGGGACTTTCAATGCTGCAGACATATTTTGGTACATATTTTGGTTCCAGGGACGCCCTGTTCCATAGGGCGATATGGGCGACGCACTGCCAAACGGGAAAAGGAAGGGATTTTTTTTCTAATCAATTATATCACGGCAACAGTAGTTATCAGTGTTCACGTCTGATCTGCCAGCCACTAAATGTCAAATCAGGCTAAAGTCGTGCTTCAAATGGCCCCGCCCGTTTTTGGGGCGATTTCAGTCAAGTTGAAAATCGCCCAGAAGTCTCTCATAGCCTGTCATGTAAAATCTATTTTTTTCAAATTTCAAAGCTTTCAATACATTCTCTATGGGTGTCTGTGGGCTTGCACTTACGCGCTTTCGTCATACGTGACGTAACCATGAACGTAACTAAGACAATAGCGGCTAGCAGCGTCTCTGTTGCGACCTGCAGTGTGGCGTTATTTTATGTTTTTAATTTGTAGACTTAGTTTACAAACATTCTGCCAACCATGGATTTCCAGTGGTTGGTTTTGGACTGATCTTGTTGATCGTGTACATACCCGCTACGAACGGACTAAATAATGAAAACGCTGCTGGCAGCGGAATCCCAATACAGCTGGGAGACTTGGCTGGATGACAGAGTCCCGGACAGAGAAGTGGAGCCGGCCGGCTTCACCCTGGTCAGAGCGGACCGCGATCCTGGTAAGAGAGCGACTCTGTACCCCGACATTGAACTGCTTTCTGTGTCATTGCGACCTTACTATCTGCCCCGTGAGTTCCCCCAATTGTTTGTTACCGTTGTGTACTGTTGATAATCACAAGTTTACTGGAGAACTGAGACCAAGTAGAGACTTTGGACAGGGTGGATATGGTATAATAAAGGCAGTTTATTCAGAGGTAAAGATATCTGGAATCGCGTGCACGGACTCGTTCGTCAAACTCTTAGGGAGAAGAGAGCCCCGAAAACATTGTGTGCAGACATTTTATACAATAAATGATGTAGGTTGAATCTAGTAGTTCTGATCTTCTGATTGGTCCTGATGAGTTGGGCGAGGTCCCCTCCACTGTTGCATTGGCTCTGAGTCGGGTTCTCTGTCTTCAAATGTTCAGCCTAAAGAGAGGGGATTTTTGTGTGTGTGTGTGTGTGTGTTTAACAGTGATGATGTGTGTGTGTGTGTGTGTGTTATCAGTGATGATGTGTGTGTGTGTGTGTGTGTTATCAGTGATGATGTGTGTGTGTGTGTGTGTGTGTGTGTGTGTGTGTGTGTGTGTGTGTGTGTGTGTGTGTGTGTGTGTGTGTCCTCAGAGCAAGAACTCGTGAGTTGGAAGAACTGAGAGACCTATGGCGTGGGTGTTGTCCTTGGCCACCTGCTGACAAGGCTGACAAGATAGGACTCTTTTGTCCATTGTTATAGGATAGGAACAGCATTGATTGAAAACAAACGCCCAACACAAAATGGGTCATGCACAAGATTTTAGTTAGACCAAGCTATAACATTATATATTTACTACGACAGTACATTCAACCAAAAGCTAATATAACAAAGGCATCAGAGATTATTTATAATCTGTCACAGAAACTGGAATCCATCTCCCCAGATCAGTCAATAAATGCTTCTGGTATTGACTTATATGCTGCCCCTGTCTTCATGTTGTTGCTGGACATATCTTTTTTAAAATGTGTGTAGGTCACCTAAATCATTTGGTTCCCCAGATCTGTGCCTCGACACAATCTTGTCTCGGAGCTCTACGGACAATTCCTTCGACCTCATGGCTTGGTTTTTGCTTTGACATACACTGTTGACTGTGGGACCTTATATAGACAGGTGTGTGCCTTTCCAAATAATGTCCAATCAATTGAATTTACCACAGGTGGACTCCAAATCAAGTTGTATAAACATCTCAAGGACGATCAATGGAAACAGGATGCACCTGAGCTCAATTTCTTGTTTCATAGCAAAGGGTCTGAATACTTATGTAAATAAGGTATTTCTATTTTTAATACATTTGCAAAAATTTATAAAAACCTGTTTTCGCTTTGTCATTATGGGGTATTGTGTAGATTGCTGAGGACATTTTTATTTTATTTTATCCATTTTAGAATAAGGCTGTAACGTAACAATATGTGGAAAAAGTCAAGGGGTCTGAATACTTTCCGAAGGCACTGTAATACTTCATATTCAGGACAAAAAGTTAATTGCTTTGCCACATTCTTTGCATTATTACTTCAGTGCCTTATTCCAAAACATGCATCCTGTTTGCAACATTTTATATTCTGTACGGGCTTCCTTTTCACTGTCATTTGTGGAGTAACTAGAATGTTTTTGATCCATCCTCAATTTTCACCCATCACAGCCATTAAACTCTGTTTTAAAGGCACCATTGGCCTCATGGTGAAATCCCTGAGCGGTTTCCTTCCTCTCCAGCAACTGAGTTAGGAAGGACGGCTGTATCTTTGTAGTGACTGGATGCATTGATCCACCATCCAAAGTGTAATTAATAACTTCACCATGGGAAATTCAATATCTGCTTTTTCTTTTACCCATCTACCAATAGGTGCCCTTCTTTGCGAGGCATTGGAAAACCTCCCTGGTCTTTGTGGTTGAATCTGCGTTTACAATTCACTGCTCGACTGAGGGACTTTACAGATAATTGTATGTGTGGGATTCAGAGATGAGGCAGTCATTCAAAAATCATGTTAAACACTAGTCTTGCACACAAAGCGAGTCCATGCAATTGATGTCACTTAAGCAAATGTTTACTCCTGAACGTATTTAGACTTGCCATAACAAAGGGGTTGAATACTTATTGACTCAAGACATTTCAGCTTTTCATTTTAAATTCATTTGTAAACATTTTGAAAAACATAATTCCACTTTGACATTATGGGGTACTGTGTGTAGGCCAGTGACAAAAAATCTCAATTTAATCAATTTTAAATTCAGGCTGTAACAACAAAATGTGGAAGAAGTCAAGGGATGTGAATACTTTCTGAAGGCACTGTATATGGGAGTTAATAATTAATCAAACCAATCAGTGGAAACTCTGTAGGAAGTAAACACAAACACTCAGGAGTTAGGCGAGGGTTGGGTACACAGCGGAAACAATAGAGTTGTTAAACATCAGACCTGTGTAGGACACAGAGTTGGGGTCAATTCAAATTTCAGTCATCAAATCAGGAAATAATCAGAAATATAAATTAAAATAATTGCCACCCATTTTTAATGACTTCACAAAAAACTCAAAATGACTTCAATTCAAATTGACTCCAACCCTCGCATACTGGATAAAATCCAACAGCTAGACATGTTTCATGGGTCTATACAGGTAAGCTTTTCATACTATGCTATGATTATTATGATTTCCCACACACCCGTTTGAATAGAGTCATTGGAGAGAGAAACAGGCCAAGATTAAAGAGAGAAACAGAGCAGTAGAGGGAGACATGACATTCAAACTCTCTCTCGCACACAAGTGTGTACTGTGAATGGAATGCACTTCCAACCCCCACAGGGTCTGTTTAAAGTAGGGACTCTCCTCTCAGTTCAGGAGTTTCAACTTACTACGGCCTATCATACCCAAACAATAGTCACATAAAACTCCCTCGATAGATCTTTGCGGTCTAGGCCCGTCTCAGGATAGAAGTGCCGATCTAGAATCAGTTTAGCCTTTTAGATCATAATGAAAAATATTATAATGGACAGGAGGGACCTTGTCATAGATCAGCACTCCCACTCTGAGGCCCTTGATAAATACGGTGTTTAATCCTTATAAGGTCACGTCATCAGCTCCTGGCCCTATTCATCATGTATAGTCAGTCAGATATTTTGTCTACACCATATTTCTAAAAAGCTACTGTTACAATATCTATATCTGGTGACGTGATACCTGGAGGAGCCTCCGGACATCCTGTCTGTTGTTAGTCACAGACAGAGCAGAGGGCCATGTCAGTGTAATGTGACACCATGCTCAGGTGACACAATTACCTTCACAGAGCAACAGGACTGTCAATCACCCATGACCGTTAGAGTACTGTGAGTTAATGAAGAAAAACACATTAATCAGTCATCTAAATACATATATTGAATGGAGTTTGTTACTGTACATGTGAACTGAACATTTCCAAAATTACATTACTAGGTGTTGAACTCTAGGGAACAATGTTTTGCATCTGTTCTGTGCTGAATGTTGCTCAATAATAACTGCTCTGGAAACAGTCTCATATGTTGACGACAGGCCCAGATATCCCCAACATGGTGAGTACCATGGTGTTCCAGTCACAGAGCGATAAAACTGGGAGGGAGTGCGTGAGGGGGTGAGTGAGGGAGGGGGTGAGTGCAGGAGGGGATAATGAATGATCATTAAAGAATGGGGAGAAATTATGTTCCTGTAGTGTTTCTATTCTGGGTGCAGTGAACTTTCCTTGCTACCCAGACTCCAAACACTACGCCCACAAACGTTAGTTTCTTCTCCGCAATGAGTCTGGATCCGAGTACCTCCACGATCCTTCACCGAATGCGAACACATTCGGGGGCCGTCTGATTGGTCCAGAGCCAGAACACACGTGGGTAAAGCGGCGGTTTGAATACGTGTCATTGGCTTTGATACTCTGATCGGTTATAGACGATCCAATCGCTGATGACTTTGTTTTGTACAACGCCCCTTGTCACCACAAACAACTTCAATGATGGCAGTCTCAGACTAAAGTATGTAGCGAACGACAGCGCAGCGGAAGAATTCAGTGTGAGTCCTCAGGCTAGCAGTGAACATACCTCCCTGGCACAGCTGAGATAAAAAGAGCCGTATGCTGATAAGAGAAGGGAGAGAAGGAATAGGAGAGAACAGCCGGGGAGAGCATGAGAGAGAGGGGGAGGATAAGGAGAAAAGCAAATCGGAAGAATGAGGGGAAGAGAGCAAGAGGAGTAAGCCAGTCCTTTGGTAAAGGGAAGTGGGGAGCAGAGACTAGTGTGTAGGTGTAACGTTTAACGGTAGATGGGAAAAGAGACGGGACAGATGTAGAAGGGGGGATGGACTAAATAAACACTGACCAAGCTACATTGCTATCATGGTCATACAATAACTAGGCCTTGTGCCGACATGGCCGTAATCGTATCCGTAAATTGACAGTTAATAGTCGGATCGGATGATACTCGTGATCGGGACAAAACGTAAATGTTTTAATATGCCCAAGTAAAATGTATATCTCCCTGAACGTTTATAGCGGAGGGGTGCGTGTCTGAGTGTCCTCAATTTGCAGCGGGCAGACAAGTTTGCCATCTGTCAGAACGCGCGTCGACGGTTCATATTTTTTCCCTACCCCCGCTTCTTGGATATTATGACACATTGATAGCAAGCGTCCTTGCCATTTGATTTTATCTTAGTAGCAGGCTAACAGGAGGCAGTAGCAGTCAATGATCAGACCGAAAAAGAGAAGTGAAAGTGAACGGGTGAATTTATGAAATGAGCGGACAGAGAAATACAGCTTCACTCTATCCAATCAAAGCAGCAAGATCATCGTACAGCCCGCCCTTTCCCTTTACAGACAGGCAAACTAGCCAGTTGAGTTATTTAGACCACGTAGCACCTCACTTGACTTACTGACATGAGAAAGTTGCGTGCTGGCACCCAAAAATTACTTTTATCCGATAACAGATAATAAAAAAAGAAATACTTGGATCGTATCCAGAACATTGCCCACATCAGTTACGATACTCGTTTTGTTCGACTATTCGGCACACCTCTAACAATAACACACCCCTCTAACAATAACACACCCAGCATATGAGCCAAAAGTTCAAGCAATTTAATGCTTTTCAACTGTTTACACTAGGATTATTTTCAGCAGTGGTGGCAGAGTTCTTCCTGGGACATACATCTGTACATCTACATTATATTTGTCAAAATAAAAAATAAAATACTTTTTTTGCATTGGCGGCCACGATTTCGCAGCGCCGGTGCACCGCTGGCGCATTTAGCAGCGGCACACCAGCGACTCAGTCTCTCCCTGCCTCTTGCAGTCTCTCCTTCTCCCTCTGTCCCTTTCATCCACACTGGCTTGGTTCTCTCTGTCCTGCCTCTCTCGGTTGTCTGACTGACTGCTGATGATGCTGGACCATGCCTGTGCTGTATTTCAGTGTGTTGCTGCAGCCTGCTACACACAGCCTCCATGGCGAGAGAGGTGAGGGCAGAGGAGCAGGCACATGGGCTATTAAGTCCCATCCCTAGCCGGGCCATCCTATCACTCATTCTCCTAAACAAAGACTTTGCTGGTGATGCAGCCTGGCTCAGAACATATCTCTCCCTCTCTCTCCCCCTCTCCCTCTCCCTCTCGGGGTTCTGTAAAGACAGGGAGCTCAGCTGTCACTTTGATCTGGGCTCTGAGGGGGAAATGATAGTGTATAGTCAGATATACATTGTATACTGCGTTGTCTGCTTAATTAGGGCTGGGCGATAGAGACAAATACCCGTCACATCATGGATAACAATATGATCATGTAAATTAGCATTTATGAATAAGCCTTCATTATACTGGACACGTTCGGGTGGCACAGGAACAGGCTCCTTTTGAGATATTAGCAGCCAACTGAGTGTAGCCCTGGTAAGGCTGCGGTATGTGGAGAAATACTGTAAAAATTAAGGAATTATGACATCCAAAGATATGCGTATCTCCAACATTCATATCATGATCAGGATAACACCCAGCCCTACAAGGAGATAGCATCAGTTGAGGAAATCTACCTTCTTTTCTCTAAATGCAAGTACAGTACTACACCGCATAAAAGCACTGCCCTTTGACCAACATGGCAAACAATACCACATGTACTTTCCCGCCAATTTAGTCCCTCACCCCTTGCGTCATTTTGTTTCCCTCTCCCTAACTCCCTCCCTCCCACTGTCACCTCCCTCTCCACTGGCCCTCAGTAGTTAAGTACTAGTTCCCTCTCCCCCTCCTCCCGTCATCCCCCTCTCCACTGGCCCTCAGTAGTTAGCACTAGTTCCCTCTCCCCCGCCTCCCTGTCTGTGTCATCCCCCTCTCCACTGGCCCTCAGTAGTTAGCACTAGTTCCCTCTCCTCCCTCCTCCTGTCATCCCCCTCTCCACTGGCCCTCAGTAGTTAGCACTAGTTCCCTCCCCTCTCCCGTCATCCCCCTCTCCACTGGCCCTCAGTAGTTAGCACTAGTTCCCTCTCCCCCTCCTCCCGTCATCCCCCTCTCCACTGGCCCTCAGTAGTTAGTACTAGTTCCCTCTCCCCCTCCTCCCGTCATCCCCCTCTCCACTGGCCCTCAGTAGTTAGTACTAGTTCCCTCTCCCCCTCCTCCCGTCATCCCCCTCTCCACTGGCCCTCAGTAGTTAGCACTAGTTCCCTCTCCCCCTCCTCCCGTCATCCCCCTCTCCACTGGCCCTCAGTAGTTAGTACTAGTTCCCTCTCCCCCTCCTCCCGTCATCCCCCTCTCCACTGGCCCTCAGTAGTCAGGACTAGCTCCCTCCCTCCATAGCGGGGTGGTCCAGCTAACTCCTGTCCCATGGCTCCACTCTAGTGTGCGGTATGCTGTCCTGTTTAATCTACCCAGCAGTGGTGATCAGAGACTAGCCACATTCCACTCAAATGAAGCCCCCTCCTCTTCCAGCTCCCCATCCCCCACCTAAGGCCTCTCTGCCTCCCTCCAAACTGCATTCTTCACTCACTTGTTCACTCCTCTTCCTTTCGCTCGCTCTCATTACTTCTCCATGCTCGGTCTACTCGGTCACCCTTAAACTCAGTTATCATGCTTCATTGATTGCTTTACTGGGTGGGTAGACTGTATCGTGTACGCAAACACTATGCAGTGTTGTTCTCTTTATGAGTCATAGTTAATTGCTTTGCCAGTCATTGCTTGAGTAGCACAGTAATTTCACTCACCCTCATAAAAACCCTTCTGCTTTTCAGAACTGAAACTATGACGGTGATGACCTCATCAGTTGAACAAAACACACCCACCCAGATTCCCTGAATAACTGTGTTCCATCAGTAGATGTATGGAAACCTGGCCAGCGTCATGCTGTGAGGACAGGACAGAAGGTGAAGGGAGGGTGGAGTGTTCTGCTCTGTATGACAGACACAGATAAAAAATGTCATACGAAAATTGAATTCTATTATGACAACCCTGTGTTCCACTTGTCTGACAAACCCATTCCAGTGACAACTGATACCAAGGTTTACCTACTGTATTTGAGAGGGGTGTCCCCTACAGAGGTCTACATTTATTAATGATGATGGTGGAGGTAACCACAACGAGGCCAGGAGGTTCAAACTGTTGTGGTCACTGTGCTCAATTTTAACAAACCTAACGCAATGGTACATTTTAGTGCTGATGATAGCGCTATAGGTCACACTACAAGTTACAGTGCATTCGGAAAGTATTCAGACCCTTTCTCCACATCTTGTTACGTTACAGCCTTATTCTAAAATGGATTAAATTAGATTTTTTACTCAATCTACACACAATACCCCATAATGACAAAGCGAAAACAGGTTTTTAGAAATGTGCGCAAATTTATACAAATAAAATAAATAAATACCTTATTTACATAAGTATTCAGACCTTTTGCTATGAGACTCAAAATTGAGCTCAGGTGCATCCTGTTTCCATTGATCATCCTTGAGATGTTTCTACAACTTGATTGGAGTCCACCTGTGGTAAATTCAATTGATTGGACATGATTTGGAAAGCCACACACAAACACCAGTCTATATAAAAAGGTCCCACAGTTGACAGTGCATGTCAGAGCAAAAACCAAGCCATGAGGTCGAAGGAATTGTCCGTAGAACTCCGAGACAGGATTGTGTCGAGGTACAGATCTTGGGAAGGGTACCCAAAAATGTCTGCAGCATTGAAGGTCCCCAAGAACACAGTGGCTTCCATCATACTTAAATGGAAGAAGTTTGGAACCACCAAGACTCTTCCTAGAGCTGGTTGCCTGGCCAAACTGAGCAATTGGGGGAGAAGTGCCTTGGTCAGGGAGGTGATCAAGAACCCGATGGTCACTCTGACAGAGCTCCAGAGTTCCTCTGTGGAGATGGGAGAACCTTCCAGAAGGACAACCATATCTGCAGCACTCCACCAAATCAGGCCTTTACGGTAGTGACCAGACGGAAGCCACTCCTCAGTAAAAGGCACATGACAGCTCGCTTGGAGTTTGTCAAAAGGCACCTAAAGGACTCAGACCATGAGAAACAAGATTATCTGGTCTGATGAAACCAAGATTGAACTCGTTGGCCTGAATGTCAAGTGTCACGTCTGGAGGAAACCTGGCACCATCCCTACGGTGAAGCATGGTGGTGGCAGCATCATGCTGTGGGGATGTTGTTCAGCGGCAGGGACTGGGAGACTAGTCAGGATCTAGGGAAAGATGCGCTCAGGATCTCAGCCTGGGGCGAAGGTTCACCTTACATTTTTACATTTTAGTCATTTAGCAGACGCTCTTATCCAGAGCGACTTACAGTTAGTGAGTGCATACATTTTCATACTGGCCCCCCGTGGGAAACGAACCCACAACCCTGGCGTTGCAAGCGCCATGCTCTACCAACTGAGCTACAGGGGACCTTCCAACAGAACAACGACCCTAAGCACACAGCCAAGACAACGAGTGGTTTCAGGACAAGCCTCTGAATGTCCTTGAGTAGCCCAGCCAGAGCCCGGACTTGAACCCGATCTAACATCTCTGGAGAGACCTGAAAATAGCTCTGCAGCAACGCTCCCCATCCAACCTGACAGAGCTTGAGAGGGTCTGCAGAGAAGAATGGGAGAAACTCCCCAAATACAGGCTGTAATCACTGCCAAAGGTGCTTCAACAAAGTAGTGAGTAAAGGGTCTGAATACTTATGTAAATGTAATATTTCCAGTTTTTGCTTTGTCATTATGGGATATTGTGCGTAGATTGCTGAGATGTTTTGTTTTTTAAATAAATTTTAGAATAAGGCTGTAACATATCATGTGGAAAAAGTCAAGGGGTCTGAATACTTTCCGAATGCACGGTCTCAGAAATATTTTTACAGCGGGAATTATGGGCGCAAAAGCTGGCGGTGGTGCGGAAGGGCTGGGTTTTGATGAATAAATACGTTGTAGGTGGGACGAGGGCTTGACCATTCACTGGCCAATCAACATGTTCCATGGCTTAATACTGCATGCGGTTGTCTCAAGTTTTGTATGTTATTGACTGTCTTTGCATTGTCATCACCTCTAATATTCTTGTCCTAGTCCGTTTATGAAATAGAATAGGCTATAATAACAAATGATAGCAAAAACGTGATGTATTGTACCGTTTGCTAACTATGTTTGGTGTTGGCAATCAACATTGTTGTAATTGCTTCAACGAGTATAGGCCTATACGCGCCTTTACGCATTGCATTTCTACAGAAATAAAATAATACTAGGCTCCCCTTAAAATTAATTGTAGGCTGTGTGTGAGGCACGTTCGCAATAAGAAAGATACCCTATCCAACATTGATATGGCATTATAGGACTGAATAATTTGAATACGTTTGGGAGGACCTTTGTTAACTGTACAAGAGGCGCTCTTTGGAAATGGGGATGGATAAGCTACAAGCGAAATGGGGTATGCAGGTAGGCCCATGTATTGTGAATAATGTGAAAAGCCTCACAAGTAGACCATTTAGAAACATTTTATGGATAGGCTACTTGGCTAATGCATGGTCAGGATACGTAAAACACCTGATGCATTTCTGTTGAACCAGCTTTCGTTATAGTAGGGTAAGGGTAGCTTACGGAGGGCTTGGTTTTTAATCTAATGAAACGGAAAACAAGCAATTGTTACAGGAAAATAACTTCAATGTTTCTAAATACCAGGGTCACCGGCATCATCTCATCTCTCGTTCCATGACGGGCATGTAGCCTGCATGAAGGGGGTTTTACGCTCATCCAAAATAACAGGAACTGCCTAAAATAATGTACATACACACTACCAGTCAAAAGTTTGGACACAAGGGGTTTTTCTTTATTTTTACATTGTAGAACAATAGTGAAGACATCAAAACTATGAAATAACACATATGGAATCATGTAGTACCCAAAAAAGTGTTAAATAAATCAAAATATATTTTATATTTGAGATTCTTCAAATCGCCACCATTTGCCTTGACAGCTTTGCACACTCTTGGCATTCTCTCAACCAGCTTCATGAGGTACTCACCTGGAATGCATTTCAATTAACAGCTGTGGCTTCTAAAAAGTTAATTTGTGGAATTTCTTTCCTTCTTAATGCGTTTGAGCCAATCAGTTGTGTTGTGACAAGGTAGAGGGGGTATACAGAAGATAACCCTATTTGGTAAAAGATCAAGTCCATATTATGGCAAGAACAGCTCAAATAAGCAAAGACAAATGAAGTCCATCATTACTTTAAGACATGAAGGTCAGTCAATACAGAACATTTCAAGAACCTTGAAGGTTTTTGTGACTGCACTTGAAGAAACTATCAAGCACTATGATGAAACTGGCTCTCATGTGGACCGCCACAGGAATGGAAGACCCAGAGTTACCTCTGCTGCAGAGGATAAGTTCATTAGAGTTACCAGCCTCAGAAATTGCAGCCCAAATAAATGCTTCAGAGTTCAAGTAACAGACACATCTCAACATCAACTGTTCAGAGGGGACTGTGTGAATCAGGCCTTCATGGTCGAATTGCTGCAAAGAAAACCACTACTAAAGGACACCAATAAGAAGAAGAGACCTGCTTGGGCCAAGAAACAAGAGCAATGGACATTAGACTGGTGGAAATGTGTCCTTTGGTCTGGAGTCCAAATTTGAGATTTTTGGTTCAAACCGCTGTGTCTTGTGAGACGCGGTGTGGGTGAACGGATGATCTCTGCATGTGTAGTTCCCACCGTAAAGCATGGAGGAGGTGGTGTTATGGTGTGGGGGTGCTTTGCTGGTGACACCATCTGTGATTTATTTAGAATTCAAGGCACACTTAACCAGCATGGCTACCACAGCATTCTGCAGCGATACGCCATCCCATCTGGTTTGGGTTTAGTGGGACTATCATTTTTTTTTCAACAGGACAATGACCCAACACACCTCCAGGCTGTGTAAGGGCTATTTTACCAAGAAGGAGAGTGATGGAGTGCTGCATCAGATGACCTGGCCTCCACAATCCCCTGACCTCAACCCAATTGAGATGGTTTGGGATGAGTCGGACCGCAGAGAAGGAAAAGCAGCCAACAAGTGCTCAGCATATGTCGGAACTCCTTTAAGACTGTTGGAAAAGCATTCCAAGGTCAAGCTGGTTGAGAGAATGCCAAGAGTGTGCAAAGCTGTCATCAAGGCAAAGGGTGGCTACTTTGAAGAATCTCAAATATATTTTGATTTCTTTAACACTTTTTTGGTTACTGCATAATTCCATGTGTGTTATTTCATAGTTTTGATGTCTTCACTATTATTCTACAATGTAAAAAATAGTACAAATAAAGAAAAACCCTTGAATGAGTAGATGTGTCCAAACATTTGACTGGTACTATAGATAAACAGGGGATGTCAGCTCACTGTTTTGCTGCTCCCAAACTTGATCATATAAAAAAGCTTTGGTGATTAAAGATTTATTTGAAAGCGGTCTCATGAGCCAAACCCTTTTTTGACAGTCTTAGGTACTTGGCGATTGCATTGCAAGTTTACGTTTATTGGGATGAGGCTTGTCCTTGAGGCAGAACTGAGCGATTTCCGCTAGCTGGGCCAGCTACAAAGTCAAAATTGCCTATATTGTAGAAATTCATGAAAACAAATGAGCTTTTTAGTCTTAATTTTAAGGTTTAAAGTTAGGGTTAGGCATTAGGGTTAGCAACGTGGTTAAGGTTAGGTTTAAAATCAGATTTTATGACTGTGGCTGTACCAGCTAGTGACCACTCTGCTAACCTGCGAATGGATTGGCCAGGACCCCCCAAGGCGATGCTTGGTTTTTAAATCAACAACAACAAATAAATCTAAATAAATAAATAAAGTTTCTAAATACAAGGTTCATGGGAACAAAAAGCAGATCTCTCTTGCTCCATGAGTATATGGGCACTGTGCATCACAGCTGGTTTGTAGAGGTGTGAAAGTTTAAACAAAATTGGGATCCTTAATGTTAAGTTACTGCTTTACTGAAGCTGAGACATTGCAAGCCATGAAATTGTGAAATACAGCATTCCATTGCGAAATACTGCTTTTGATTGCCGACAGATAGGCCTAGTGCATGGTTCTGACTTCATCTGCCTAGTGGCAGACCTGCCTATACTGTGCTCCTCCGCTCTCTCTCCGTCCCTCGCTAGCTCACTATGAAAGATGCAAGTGTTTGTGTTCTCAGAAGTATGGCAACTAATCAGTCTCCTCCATTCCAAAAATACTGAATCTTAGGAGTCGATTCCTAGCGGAAGATGTGTTTTCTTTCTACCTAGGCAGGTCAGGCTGTGCACAGGCAGCTCGATATTATTTGATTGACAGTTCTGGTCGCCTAGTGATGGACGTTAGTCCCACTTCAGAAGCGGCATTCATTCACAGACAAGTAAAAACGCCCGTTCAGTGGCGCTTCAAAACTATCTCCAGAGAAGGTTGTGTGTCTGCATTTAAAAAGCAATAGTGTACCCTTACAGACAAACAAACATGCCGCAGTCGAGGCGCTTTCAAGGGTATATGACTGCGGTATATATATATATATATAAAAATAAATAAATAAATAAATAACTTCATTGCCCGGCCCTAGCAGTCATACAAACATAATAGGACCCTTATTCTGCATTGTGAATTGACGTTTTTTTTTTTTTTGCTGTTTAAACGTTATGCAACATTGTCCATTTGTCACGTTCCTACTGGATAGGCTGCGCTTCCGCTGTCAAAATCCATGCCATAACCAACAGCGTTACCACTAATACCTGCTAAATCTCCCGATTTGTGCTGAATTAAAGTTGTCACTTTTGCGCTCGTTTTTAAGGACACACCTCAAATATTTCCACACCTCCCACCTCAGCACAAGCGAGCTGATGTTAGACAGGTCAATTGCAGAACCTTACGCAAAGGGTGGAAAATGCCAGAGCGCCAGTTTTTACATGCCGAAATCAGAAACTAACGTGCGTTTGACACTTGCGCCGCCTTAGCGCCAGCCAAAAATAGAGCCCATTATCTAAATAGTGTTTAAGTGATGAGAACAGAGGAGTACAGCGCTCTTTCTCTGGCTGACCACAATAAACACTTACACTGACCTCTGCAAAAACAGTGTGCCTGTATGACATGGGGAAGGTACGAGAAAAGGCACACTGCTCTCCTGCTGGTCTCATTCAGTAAATAGAAAAATAAAACAATAGTTAGACTCCTATGTCAGAACATACTGCACTGGGAACAAACGCAGCAGCTTCACAAGTGGCCACATGAACTCCAACCAATTTGTCGTGCAGGGGAAAGAAACTGTGTCATTCATAAACATAACCCTTGAACTTCACACATCACAAATGACAGAAAAAAAGTATACAAACTGTAATTGTTTATTGTCTGTGTGTGTGGGTATTTCCCCCAGCAGGCTTTGCAGCTCCCACCAGCCCTAAACAATACCCAGGGCCATTAATACAATGGTGCACAGGCCTCTTCAGGCTACCATGGCAACAAGTAAACAGGCATGGGACTGGTTGCACTGCAGCCATCCAAACATCGTGTAAGATTTAGGGCTGGGATTTGCCAGGGACCTCAAACTACAATATTATTACGATACTTAGGTACTGTTGTTTTCCCCCATCACTAGTAAGAGTCTTTTTTTCAGTGTGTGTATTACTATCCTCATAAGTACCAGAAATCCCCAAAAGGATAGTAAAACATGGGGACATTTCCCAGGTCTCCCACAAGGACAAAGGCTTAGGGGTTAGGTTAAGGGTTACAATTATGGTTAGGATTAAGTTTAGGGAAAATAGGATTTTGAATGGAAATCAATCTTTGGTCCACACAATGATAGTAAAAACATGTGAGTGAAAGAGTGAGAGAGGAGAATCACTAGGTAATTTCGATCATCAATAGCTTGACATACTGAAATCAATCATTTGGACACACACACACACAGGCTAAAGGAGGCAAGCAAACACTGCCCAAGAATGCTTTCATACATTACCATCAACAGAGACATATCATGTCCAAAAACGTTCACAACCCCCACAATCTCCCCACATCTGAAGCCCATAAACGGCATGTGTAGACACACAAAGAACAATTTTTCATTCAGATTATTTGAATACCGCTGCATATTTAATGTGTGTTGCCAACATATTAACTCCACACACATTCCACAGAATCCCCATCAACATGTACAATATTCAACAGCCACACAGCTCATCAAAACAACTATATTCTTAAAATCTGGCTTTAAAAGAGAAGTCTGCTACTTGCTTAAAAGTCTAGTTTACTTCCACAGTGACAAGGTCAGCCATGGCTGGAGGGAAAACATTCTGGCTAAACACATACAGCTCTTTTACAACCCCCATGAGTTCTTGTCAAACAAACTTATAGCCTAGAGAGAATTCCCAGACTGCAACAGAGGGGAGTAAAGACAGTGATAGGCAGCCAAAGAGCACAACCTGCTCTTTACATCCTAACAGACTGAGTCCAGAGACAGAGAGAACGCTGATACAGCCATCGTTATTTGTTATTAAGAACCCTGCCATCATTTAGCCTAGCAGTCCGGAAACCATTAGTAAAAGAAGACAATACATGGACCCACATCCAGACAACTTCATATGGCCATGCAGTAGTGCTGAGTATTAACTGAACATTTTAAACAACAAATTGACCAATGTAGTTAAATTATTTGAATTCCATTTCGTTTTCTGTGAGCTCAATGCGCACATTGCGCAGATCCTCTAGAGATTAATCAGATCAATCCCAAACTGTGCGATGTAGTAGAGAGTTAGTTTCCAACAGGCCAATATTCTACATAGTTTAAAGGCAGAACATGTGGTAATTAACTACAATGGCCATAATCCATTGCGCGCCTACTTGTCCGGTCTGTGGGTTTCTTTTACTCCTGCTATGTTAGGTTAGTGTGCAGCAGACATGGAAAGGGAGTGAAGAGACAGAAGAATGTGTGATCGAGAGGGATGAAGAGTAGTTGCTTCGCGAGGCATCTCTCCCTGAAAATACATGATCTAAGTGATTGATAGTTGGTATTCAGCAGTCATAAAAGTATGCCTTATTTACTTTGAAGAACTACTAAAATAGTGATTTTGTCAGACAGTATAGGCAGCAGCTCTATAGAGATGAGATAATGACTTGGAATCAATGAAAACAATGATTCCAAGTCAAATAAAACAAATACAACTGGAATATTTTATTAAAGTAAAGGAATAAATTATGCAGGCAGTTACTACCATCATGGGGCTTTTATTAATTGTTGTATTCTGTGTTCTTACAGTATTCAATCCACATTTAAATGTAAAACAAATATATATTTTTTTAATAATCTAACTGAAACTACCTCAAAAAACACTAATCGCTCAGCACTACTAGGCAGTCAGAACGAACTGCTTCCTATACTGTTGGGTAAAGGCGGTGGGCAAAGATTAAGAGTGTGTGTGTGTGGTTGAGGGGTGAGGGGCTGCAGCCAAAGATGTTAGTGTCTAGCATGTAATTGAAACACAGGGCCCACACAGCGTGACACAGTGACCCCTGTAATCCCCTCCTGACAAAGAGGCTTAGCATCTATAGGTCATATGGCACAGTGAGACAGCTTAGACTCACCGCCCAGAGCTCCAGTCTCTCTGGTTTGACCAGATTGCACTGAACACTCAATTATGACAAAAAGACTACAAGACTGATGAGTTCAACACCCATACTAAAAACAGCAATTATCCCCTCAGTGAAAAACAGACACACACAACTAGGCCTAATTCATTGCTCAACGATTATCAAAATGTCCAGAATTCTATAGTACCATACTATAGTACCATAGTGAGACAGTAGGCTAAATTAGGGCTGGGAGGTATACCGTATTTTACTACTGTATATACCGTTATTGATGCACGTACCGGTTTGGGTTTTTACTTTATCTTTTAGGCTTGTTAAATGTGATACGCCACTCTGTTTTTATAGTTTACTCTGCTACTTGAGTCGTCTCCCAATCACCAAGCCCACCCAGTCACTCAAGGAGTGCAGTTGTTGCTCGACCCAAGGGGCCAGGGTTCCGGTCTAGAAGCACGGTTGACTGCTCCTATAGTTTTGCTTCGGTACTGCAGTTTAACTGACACCCGGCCAATAAAGAACATTTCCATACACAGCCACATAGAGAAGTCAGATTAGAAAATTCCTAACAAGACAATTTAGTCATCACCGAAGTCAGATTAGAAAATTCCTAACAAGACAATTTAGTCATCACCTTTGCGCACAAATCATCCTTTGAATTATTCCCCCCCAAAAAACTGCCATGTTTTTGGATGACGTGATGTCGTCGCTGCTCGCACTGCTCCCTGTGCGCAATGAGCGCTAGTGCGCATGTTATGTTGGTCCGTATAAACCGGATGCAACCCGGATATAGACGGTCCATGAATCGGTGTATGCGAACGTGAGTAGATTACCTTAAACAGTCGGACATCTTGGACACAGTCTCCAGTTCTTATTATACCTCAGTGGCTCGACCACAAGATAATTTGCTGATCGTTCAGATCGTTTAGAATTGCCAGACGGACTCCTTTTCCTAACTTGATCAATATTAAAATCAGAATAATTTGAGTGCTCTTCTCGACCATTGATGGCCTGATAAATCCTACCCCTGCAAACCTATGAACTTCCCTCCACATCTAAACGTGAAGAGTTTGCGGCATATTTCAGAGATAACCAACATTAGGCTGGGTTTCAGTGAAGCAAGACCTGATGAGAAGTTTGATGATATGTGCCCTAGCCTACCACGCAAAGGCACTATGGATTTATTTTCGCTGGTAGACAAAGACCTGCTCAGGAAAGTGATATCATAACTTAAGCCTTCTACCTGCCTTCTTGATCCTATCCCCTCCACCTACTTCAAAATAGTTTTTAATTGCATATCTGAAGAAGTGCAAGCTATTGTTAATCACTCTCTGTTCTCAGGTACTTTCCCCACTGCACTAAAACATGTTATGGTGAAACCCCTTCTGAAGAAAAGTAATTTAGATTCTTCAGCTCTTAGCAATTTTCAGACAATCTACAACCTTCCATTCAAAATTCTGGAGAAATGAATGTTCAAATAGCTAGAAGATTTAAGTGCCAACTGTGTTTTTGAAAAATTCCACATCTGGTTTTCGTGCCCACCACAGCCTTAGTTAGTGGTAAATGATCTTATAGCCAACACAGATGCCAAACAGCTCTCTGTCCTTGGACTCTTAGATTTAAGTGCTGCATTCGACACTGTTGACCATGATGTCCTTCTGGACAGACTGGAGAGGTGGGTTGGCCTCTCCGGTACAGTTCTAAATTGGTTTAGGACCTATTTAACAGGTTGAGAGTTTATCAACCTTGGTGAACATAACTCAGAGAAAATACGTATCACATGTGGTGTTCCACAACGTTCGACTTTGGGTCCGGTACTGTTTAGTGTATGTACAGTGGGGGAAAAAAGTATTTAGTCAGCCACCAATTGTGCAAGTTCTCCCACTTAAAAAGATGAGAGAGGCCTGTAATATTCATCATAGGTACACGTCAACTATGACAGACAAATTGAGAAAAAAAATCCAGAAAATCCCATTGTAGGATTTTTAATGAATTTATTTGCAAATTATGGTGGAAAATAAGTATTTGGTCACCTACAAACAAGCAAGAATTCTGGCTCTCACAGACCTGTAACTTCTTCTTTAAGAGGCTCCTCTGTCCTCCACTCGTTACCTGTATTAATGGCACCTGTTTGAACTTGTTATCAGTATAAAAGTCACCTGTCCACAACCTCAAACAGTCACACTCCAAACTCCACTATGGCCAAGACCAAAGAGCTGTCAAAGGACACCAGAAACAAAATTGTAGACTTGCACCAGGCTGGGAAGACTGAATCTGCAATAGGTAAGCAGCTTGGTTTGAAGAAATCAACTGTGGGAGCAATTATTAGGAAATGGAAGACATACAAGACCACTGATAATCTCCCTCAATCTGGGGCTCCACGCAAGATCTCACCCCGTGGGGTCAAAATGATCACAAGAACGGTGAGCAAAAATCCCAGAACCACACGGGGGGACCTAGTGAATGACCTGCAGAGAGCTGGGACCAAAGTAACAAAGCCTACCATCAGTAACACACTACGCCGCCAGGGACTCAAATCCTGCAGTGCCAGACGTGTCCCCCTGCTTAAGCCAGTACATGTCCAGGCCCGTCTGAAGTGCATTTGGATGATCCAGAAGAGGATTGGGAGAATGTCATATGGTCAGATGAAACCAAAATATAACTTTTTGGTAAAAACTCAACTCGTCATGTTTGGAGGACAAAGAATGCTGAGTTGCATCCAAAGAACACCATACATACTGTGAAGCATGGGGGTGGAAACATCATGCTTTTGGGCTGTTTTTCTGCAAAGGGACCAGGACGACTGATCCATGTAAAGGAAAGAATGAATGGGGCCATGTATCGTGAGATTTTGAGTGAAAACCTCCTTCCATCAGCAAGGGCATTGAAGATGAAACGTGGCTGGGTCTTTCAGCATGACAATGATCCCAAACACACCGCCCGGGCAACGAAGGAGTGGCTTCGTAAGAAGCATTTCAAGGTCCTGGAGTGGCCTAGCCAGTCTCCAGATCTCAACCCCATAGAAAATCTTTGGAGGGAGTTGAAAGTCTGTGTTGCCCAGCGACAGCCCCAAAACATCACTGCTCTAGAGGAGATCTGCATGGAGGAATGGGCCAAAATACAAGCAACAGTGTGTGAAAACCTTGTGAAGACTTACAGAAAACGTTTGACCTGTGTCATTGCCAACAAAGGGTATATAACAAAGTATTGAGAAACTTTTGTTATTGACCAAATACTTATTTTCCACCATCATTTGCCAATAAATTCATTAAAAATCCTACAATGTGATTTTCTGGATTTTTTTTTCTCATTTTGTCTGTCATAGTTGACGTGTACCTATGATGAAAATTACAGGCCTCTCTCATCTTTTTAAGTGGGAGAACTTGCACAATTGGTGGCTGACTAAATACTTTTTTCCCCCACTGTATGTATGTATGTATATATACACTGCTCAAAAAAATAAAGGGAACACTTAAACAACACAATGTAACTCCAAGTCAATCACACTTCTGTGAAATCAAACTGACCACTTAGGAAGCAACACTGATTGACAATACATTTCACATGCTGTTGTGCAAATGGAATAGACAACAGGTGGAAATTATAGGCAATTAGCAAGACACCCCCAATAAAGGACTGGTTTTGCATGTGGTGACCACAGACCACTTCTCAGTTCCTATGCTTCCTGGCTGATGTTTTGGTCACTTTTGAATGCTGGCGGTGCTTTCACTCTAGTGGTAGCATGAGACGGAGTCTACAACCCACACAAGTGGCTCAGGTAGTGCAGCTCATCCAGGATGGCATATCAATGCGAGCTGTGGCAAGAAGGTTTGCTGTGTCTGTCAGCGTAGTGTCCAGAGCATGGAGGCGCTACCAGGAGACAGGCCAGTACATCAGGAGACGTGGAGGAGGCCGTAGGAGGGCAACAACCCAGCAGCAGGACCGCTACCTCCACCTTTGTGCAAGGAGGAGCAGGAGGAGCACTGCCAGAGCCCTGCAAAATGACCTCCAGCAGGCCACAAATGTGCATGTGTCTGCTCAAACGGTCAGAAACAGACTCCATGAGGGTGGTATGAGGGCCCGACGTCCACAGGTGGGGGTTGTGCTTACAGCCCAACACCGTGCAGGACGTTTGGCATTTGCCAGAGAACACCAAGATTGGCAAATCGCCACTGGCGCCCTGTGCTCTTCACAGATGAAAGCAGGTTCACACTGAGCACGTGACAGACGTGACAGAGTCTGGAGACACCGTGGAGAACGTTCTGCTGCCTGCAACATCCTCCAGCATGACCGGTTTGGCGGTGGGTCAGTCATGGTGTGGGGTGGCATTTCTTTGGGGGGCCGCACAGCCCTCCATGTGCTCGCCAGAGGTAGCCTGACTGCCATTAGGTACCGAGATGAGATCCTCAGACCCCTTGTGAGACCATATGCTGGTGCGGTTGGCCCTGGGTTCCTCCTAATGCAAGACCATGCTAGACCTCATGTGGCTGGAGTGTGTCAGCAGTTCCTGCAAGAGGAAGGCATTGATGCTATGGACTGGCCCGCCCGTTCCCCAGACCTGAATCCAATTGAGCACATCTGGGACATGTCTAGCTCCATCCACCAATGCCACGATGCACCACAGACTGTCCAGGAGTTGGCGGATGCTTTAGTCCAGGTCTGGGAGGAGATCCCTCAGGAGACCATCCCCCACCTCATCAGGAGCATGCCCAGGCGTTGTAGGGAGGTCATACAGGCATGTGGAGGCCACACACACACTACTGAGCCTCATTTTGACTTGTGTTAAGGACATTACATCAAAGTTGGATCAGCCTGTAGTGTGGTTTTCCACTTTAATTTTGAGGGTGACTCCAAATCCAGACCTCCATGGGTTGATAAATTTGATTTCCATTGATACTTTTTGTGTGATTTTGTTGTCAGCACATTCAACTATGTAAAGAAAAAAGTATTTAATAAGATTATTTCATTCATCCAGATCTAGGACGTGTTATTTTAGTGTTCCCTTTATTTTTTTGAGCAGTGTATATATATATATATATATATATATATATATATATATATATATATATATATATATATATATATATATATATATATATATATATATATATATATATATATATATATATATATATATATATATTATATATATAACCCCCAACTTTACATTTCTGTGTCACCAGAGGCTTTTAGCGCCACAGAAATTATTATACTATTAGTGATTTAAATACTTGGATGGCTCACAACTTCCTCCAGCTAAATGAAGACGAGACCGATGTACTTATTGTTGGAGGCAAAGCACAGAGAGAATCTAGCTGCACATTTTAATTCACAGGCAATAAAGATAAAACATTAGGTCAAAAACCTAGGTGTTATTTTAGATTCTGAACTAAATTTTGAATCACACATTAGGAATGTGACCAAAATAGCTTTTTACCACCTGAGGAACGTTGCCAAGGTTTGACCGTTTTTCTCTCAGGCTGATGAGACTCATCCATGCTTTTATAACAAGCAGGCTTGACTACTGTAATGCTCTCTACCCAAGAAAGCCATTGGTCAACTGCAAAACATACAGAATGCTGCAGCACGGGTACTGACCAAGGCCAGACGGCGAGGACACATTACACCGGTTTTAAGGTCTCTGCACCGGCTGCCTGTGAGTTGTAGAAATAAATTTAAAGATTCTTCTATTGATTTTTAAATCAATCCACGATTATGCACCCCAATACATGTCAGACATGCTTTTAAGTTATGTACCCAGTAAGTCCCTCAGGTCCTCTGGCACTGGCCTTTTAACTATCCCAAAGCCTAGGACCAAGAGGCATGGAGAGGCAGCCTTTAGTTATTATGCCACCAGCCTCTGGAATAGCCTGCCAGAGAACTTGAGGGGGGCTGAAACTGTAGACTTATTTAAAAGAGATCTTAAAAACACAGTTTTAGCTTTGCTTTTCCTTAGGGTGCTTCTTAGTTGTTCAGTTTGTGTATCTTATGTTTGTTGTGTAGTAAATATTCCAGCTTTTATTTTCATAGTTTTTTAATGTAAAGCACATTGCTTTGCATTACATGTATGAGATGTGCTGTATAAATAAAGCTTGATTTGATGACAACAATGCTGCTTTCCACTTTGCTTCTTAATATAAATCCACAAGTGTTCTATATTTACACTATTAGTTTGTGTATTTTACAGTCTGCAAACAGCTAGTTTGTCTTAGCAAGTTGTGGCTAAAATAAATAATGTTAGCCGCTAATGCTAATCACAAGTTAGCTAGTTAATAAATGTACTGAGTCAGATCAAATGTAGCTAGCTAATACAGCCTGATACCAGTGCTGGTGTAGGCCTAAATCAGCATACTGTTTGTGCAACAGTATCTTATAAATCAGAGAGGAATAGGCTAAGTATGAATGTGTTAGCTACATGAAGTAAGAGAAAACATTTAATTGGTGTCATCTAGAACAGGTACAGCCTTTGTCAAAATTGACTTTTTGTAGCAGGTTTATGAGAACTTAAGAACCAGGTTAGAATAATTAGGTTAAGTTTAGGAAAAGGGTTAGGGTTAGCTAAAATGCAATAAAAGAAAATCTACTTTTGATGTCAAATTATACAAAAGCAATATCCCATCTAGACATTAACCATTTAATGTAGCCAAAGATTATAGGGTCCCACTCCCCTGGGAAACACTGACCAACACTTTGGTTCCTACCCTGTCAGAATAATGCCTCCATAGAGATCCTATTAGTATTAGAACGCCTCTCTGGCTTTTTCATTCGTTGTTATGTCAAACATATTCAGTGCCCACTATTACATTCTAACTATAGATTTAGAATCTTCATTCTATTTCCATTCTATTTCCATGATTCCAACCGTTCACCCAAGTGTTTTGATCTAAATCGCACTTGCAATATTTGGTAAAAAAATAAGGCCTAGATTTTTTGGCCCATATCGTGCAGCCCTACGTGGCAGTGTGGAAATGATCTCAAATGAGATCCAACTTTTGGTTTGATTGAACAGTATAAAACAAATCAGAATGGAGAAAGCCGACATTGAAATCACTTACAATTTGTGTTGCCACCCTAGGGTCATGCACAACTCATTAAGCAAATGTAGAACTGTTATTTTTCAAAAAACGAAATACCGTCAAAAATATTGTTATTTTGCCCAAATCCAATGCGTCCAATGCGCCCAGGCTTGACAGACCTATTTACAGAACACATGTTTGTCATACTAAAAGGGAGATTTTGGCATGCTAGCTCAGGTAGACTTCCAGTCATTGCGCTAATTCTAGTTATCAATGGCTCCAGAAACTGCACAGAGAGACATACAAATGGTATCCATGAGTTCACCTGACTCTGGGTAAGTAGACAAAAGGGCTTAATTGTCAAAATCTCAAAGTATCCCTTTAAACATTCAAGAGAGGATAGGCTACTAAAATAGCAGAAGGCAATGGCCATACAGAGGGTGGAATAGGACACTTCGCTTGAAACCACAGAGATTGTTTTAGGAGATGGAGGAAAGACTGTGGGATTACACACATAGAATCTCACGTGACTGTTAGATAGCTGATTTAAAAAACAAAAAAAACAACAAGCTAACTCACACGAACAAGGAACACCCGTGTGACTAAGCAAGTAAGCAATTCACTACAATCACCATAGAAGAAGAAGTACCAGTAAAAAGTTACAATAAAAAAAAAGATAAACTTCGAAAAAATAATCCTTCCCTCTGCCCCATGCTGACCTGCCCCCTGGCTCTGTGCGATCCTTCTCTACCCGGTACAGCCAGAAGAGGACTGGCCACCCCTCGGAGCCTGGTTCCTTTCTAGGTTTCTTCCTATGTTCCTGCCTTCTAGGGAGTGTTTCGTAGCCACTGTGCTTCTGCCTCTGCATTGCTTGCTTTTTGGATGTAAAATAAATTTGTTTGATCCTTTCTTACCTTTCCTCTGCAGGAAGAGCCGTAGCAGCGGGCTAGCCACAGAGATGGCCTTGTGGTAGTTGTCATCGTTGTTGATTGGCAACAGGTCGCCTTGGACGTCGGCGTAACCCACCAGCAGGTCCACGTTGGGGATCCGGTGCACGTGCTGCAGGAGTCCATAGAACTCGTCGAACCGACCCGGCTTCGACCGGTCCAGGGAGAACCGACGGAATTCGGCCCCAAACTGAGACACATAGGAATGCGCAAAGACACACAGACAGAGACAGACAGACCGCAGTTAAAGATTGGATAGGAGGAAGGATAATGATCTTGGTGTTTGTAGAAAGAATTAAGCAGCAAACAGTTTTGACAAACCAGAAAAACATTACACAGTGGTTGGAATAAGTATATTGAGTGTTTAATCCTTAAGAGTATATTGACACAGCTGTGTGTGTCAATCTACACTGAACAAAAATATAACGCAACATGTAACAATTTCAAAGATTTTACTGAGTTACAGTTCCTAAGGAAATCTGTCAATTGAAATAAATAAATGAGGCTCTAATCTATGGATTTCAGATGACTAGGAATACAGATATGCATCTGTTGGTCACAGATACCTTTAAAAAAATGTAGGGGCATGGATGAGAAAACCAGTCAGTATCTGGTGTGACCACCATTTGCCTCATGCAGCACAACACATCTCCTTCACATAGAGTTGATCAGGCTGTTGATTGTGGCCTGTGGAACGTTGTCCCACTCTTCAATGGCTGTGCGAAGTTGCTGGATATTGGCGGGAACTGGAACACGATGTCGTACACGTCGATCCAGAACATCCCACACATGCTCAATGGGTGACATATCTGGTGAGTATGCAGGCCATGGAAGAACCGGGACATTTTCAGCTTCCAGGAACTGTGCAAAAATCCTTTGTGACATGGGGCCATGCATTATCATCCTGATACGTGAGGTGATGGATTAAATAGCAAGACAATGGGCCTCAGGATCTCATCACAGTATCTCTGTGCATTCAAATTGCCATCGATAAAACGCAATTGTGTTTGTTGTCCGTACAGTGAGGGAAAAAAGTATGATCCCCTGCTGATTTTGTACGTTTGTCCACTGACAAAGACATGATCAGTCTATAATTTTAATGGTAGGTTTATTTGAACAGTGAGAGACAGAATAACAACAACAAAAATCCAGAAAAATGCATGTCAAAAATGTTATGAATTGTTTTGCATTTTAATGAGGGAAATAAGTATTTGACCCTCTGCAACTTAGTACTGACTTAGTACTTGGTGGCAAAACCCTTGTTGGCAATCACAGAGGTCAGACGTTTCTTGTAGTTGGCCACCAGGTTTGCACACATCTCAGGAGGGATTTTGTTCCACTCCTCTTTGCAGATCTTCTCCAAGTCATTAAGGTTTCGAGGCTGACGTTTGGCAACTCGAACCTTCAGTTCCCTCCACAGATTTTCTATGGGATTAAGGTCTGGAGACTGGCTAGGCCACTCCAGGACCTTAATGTGCTTCTTATTGAGCCACTCCTTTGTTGCCTTGGCCTGTGTGTTTGGGTCATTGTCATGCTGGAATACCCATCCACGACCCATTTTCAATGCCCTGGCTGAGGGAAGGGGGTTCTCACCCAAGATTTGACGGTACATGGCCCCGTCCATCGTCCCTTTGATGCAGTGAAGTTGTCCTGTCCCCTTAGCAGAAAAACACCCCCAAAGCATAATGTTTCCACCTCCATGTTTGACGGTGGGGATGGTGTTCTTGGGGTCATAGGCAGCATTCCTCCTCCTCCAAACACGGCGAGTTGAGTTGATGCCAAAGAGCTCAATTTTGGTCTCATCTGACCACAACACTTTCACCCAGTTCTCCTCTGAATCATTCAGATGTTCATTGGCAAACTTCAGACGGGCATGTATATGTGCTTTCTTGAGCAGGGGGACCTTGCAGGTGCTGCAGGATTTCAGTCCTTCACGGCGTAGTGCGTTACCAATTGTTTTCTTGGTGACTATGGTCCCAGCTGTCATGAGATCATTGACAAGATCCTCCTGTGTAGTTCTGGGCTGATTCCTCACCGTTCTCATGATCATTGCAACTCCACGAGGTGAGACCTTGCATGGAGCACCAGGCCGAGGCAGATTGACAGTTCTTTTGTGTTTCTTCCATTTGCGAATAATCGCACCAACTGTTGTCACCTTCTCACTAAGCTGCTTGGCGATGGTCTTGTAGCCCATTCCAGCCTTGTGTAGGTCTACAATCTTGTCCCTGACATCCTTGGAGAGCTCTTTAGTCTTGGCCATAGTGGAGAGTTTGGAATCTGATTGATTGATTGCTTGCTTCTGTGGACAGGTGTCTTTTATACAGGTAACAAGCTGAGATTAGGAGCACTCCCTTTAAGAGTGTGCTCCTAATCTCAGCTCGTTACCTGTATAAAAGACACCTGGGAGCCAGAAATCTTTCTGATTGAGAGGGGTCAAATACTTATTTCCCTCATTAAAATGCAAATCAATTTATAACATTTTTGAAATGTGTATTTTTTCTGGATTTTGTTGTTGTTATTCTGTCTCTCACTGTTCAAAACCTACCATTAAAATTATAGACTGATCATTTCTTTGTCAGTGGGCAAACGTACAAAATAAGCAGGGGATCAAATACTTTTTCCCCCCCCTCACTGTAGCTTATGCCCGCCCATACCATAACCCCACCGCCACCATGGGGCACTCTGTTCACAATTTTGACATCAGCAAACACAACGCCATCTGCCCGGTACAGTTGAAACCAGGATTCATCCGTGAAGAGCACACATCTCCAGCGTGCCAGTTGCCATAGAAGGTGAGCATTTTCCCTTACGACGACAAACTGCAGTCAGGTCAAGACTCTGGTGAAGACGACAAGCACGCAGATGAGCTTCCCTGAGACGGTTTCTGACAGTTCGTGCAAAAATACCTGTTTCATCAGCTGTCTGTGTGGCTGGTCTCAGACGATCCCGCAGGTGAAGAAGCCCGAATGTGGAGGTCCTGGGCTGGCGTGGTTACATGTGGTCTGCGGATGTGAGGCCGGTTGGACGTACTGCCAAATTCTCTAAAACAACGTTGGAGGCGGTTTATGGTAGAGAAATGAACATTCAATTATCTGGCAAAAGCTCTGGTGGACATTCCTGCTGTCAGCATGCCAATTGCACACTCCCTCAAAACATGAGACATCTGTGGCATTTTGTGTTGTGACAAAACTGCACATTTGGCCTTTTAGAGTGCACCTGTGAAATGATCATGCGGTTTAATTAGCTTCTTGTTATGCCACACCTGTCAGGTGGATGGATTTTCTTGGTAAAGGAGAAATGCTCACTAACAGGGATGTAAACAAATTTGTGCACAAAATTGGAGAGAAAAAAGCTATTTGTGGAACTTTTCTGGAATTCATAAGGAAACATGAGACCAACACTTTACATGTTGAGGTTATATTTTTGTTCAGTATAAGTAACATAAAAGACTCCCCATCAAAATCCGTCAGTTTAATAAGCATGGCTGCATCTCGATCCACCGCATCCGCCTATGTTGGCCTTTCGCATCTGCGGTGGAAGGTGGCCGAGCTACAGCTGTGTTTGTCAGACCATGAGACATCCCGAAAATCGGTGGTTCTCTCTACGACCCCCACAAGTGTCACAGGACTCGTCTGAAGGTAACTTATACAAACAAATGGAAGTACAGTGCTTTCGGAAAGTATTCAGACCACTTCCCTTTTTCCACGTTACAGCCTTATTCTAAAATGGATTCAAATTAATTTTTTCCCTCAAACTACACACAATACCCCATAATTACAAAGAGAAAACAGGTTTTTAGAAATTGTAGCAATTGTATAAAAAAATAAAACAGAAATACCTTATTTACATAAGTATTCAGACCCTTTGCTATGAGACTCAAAATTGAGCTCAGGTGCATCATGTTTCCATTGATCATCCTTGAGATGTTTCTACAACTTGACTGGAGTCCACCTGTGGTAAATTCAATTGATTGGACATGATTTGGAAAGGCACACACACCTGTCTATAAAAAAAACCAAGCCATGAGGTCGAAGGAATTGTCCGTAGAGCTCCGAGACAGGATTGTGTCGTGGCACAGATCTGGGGAAGGGTACCCAAAAATGTCTGCAGCATTGAAGGTCCCCAAGAACACAGTGGCCTCTATCATTCTTAAATGGAAGAAGTTTGGAACCACAGAGACTCTTCCTAGAGCTGGCCACCCGGCAAAACTGAGCCATCGGGGGAGAAGGGCCTTGGTCAGGGAGGTGACCAAGAACCCGATGGTCATTCTGACAGAGCTCTAGAGTTCCTCTTTGGAGATGGGAGAACATTCCAGAAGGACAACCATCTCTGCAGCACTCCACCAATCAGGCCTTTATGGTAGCGGCCAGACGGAAGCCACTCCTCAGTAAAAGGCACATGACAGACCATGAGAAACAAGATTCAAGCGTCACGTCTGGAGAAAACCTGGCACCATCCCTACGTTGAAGCATGGTGGTGGCAGCATCATGATGTGGGGATGTTTTTCGGTGGCAGGGACTGGGAGACTAATCAGGATCGAGGGAAAGATGAACAGAGCAAAGTACAGAGAGATCCTTGATGAAAACCTGCTCCAGAGCGCTCAGGACCTCAGACTGGGGTGAAGGTTCACCTTCCAACAGGACAACGACCCTAAGCACACAGCCAAGACAACGCAGGAGTGGCTTCGGGACAAGTTTCTGAATGTCCTTGAGTACCCCAGCCAGAACCTGGACTTGAACCCGATCAAACATCTCTGGAGAGACCTGAAAATAGCTGTGTAGCGACGCTCCCCATCCAACCTGACAGAGCTTGAGAGGATCTGCAAAGAAGAATGGGAGAAACTCCCCAAATACAGGTGTGCCAAGCTTGTAGCGTCATACCCAAGAAGACTCAAGGCTGTAATCGCTGCCAAAGGTGCTTTAACAAAGTCCTGAGTAAAGGGTCTGAATATTTATGTAAATGTCATATTTCCATTTATTTATTTTTTGCTAAAATTTCTAAAAACCTGTTTTTTTTTAAAAATCAATTTTAGAATAAGGCTGTAATGTAACAAAATGTGGAAAAAGTCAAGGGGTCTGAATACTTTCTGAATGCACTGTATGCAGGTAGTTTTGTGCCAACAAAAATAAAGGGTTAAATATGTGTCCAAAAAAACTAATATTTCCTGAGCTTTGTTATCTCCTAGATATAGGATAGACACTTCAAAACCTTATTCCTTATGATTTATTATTGTTTGCCATTTATGAATGTGTTATTCAATGCGTTTCAATCAGTTATAATAGTAAAGGCCAAATTCAACATTTTATAAAATAAAACTCTACCACATAGTGGTCGTGAGTCAATTGGTTGAGTGTCTAGTAGTCCAGAGCGTCACTCAGTTAGTATAAACACTGATTATGTGTCCTTGGCTTGTATGTGTGAAAATGAGTACAATCTGTGCATCAGTGAAAATGTTCAATATGCAGATGTGGGTGTGCTTGTGCCTGTGTATGTCATAGCAGCCTATAATTACAGAGATAAGGACTCACACACCCATCTCGATCGCTGGCACATCGATAGGAAAAGCACTGATCTGAAATCTACCAAGTCAATCACACTGTGGTCACTGGTTGCAGTAACTCTTGTTGGTGGTACTCTATTAGAGAGGGCAGTTTGCCACAAACATGTTTTGTTTGACATGGTTGGAGTAATGCCTGTTGCCAAAGTGAAACGAAAGACAAGGGTTGGATCCTCCCGTCCCTTTTTTGCATTACGATGGTACACCCAGTGACTAGCAGTGTTGTGGTTACTGCTGCACAGTGCTGGGGACTGGGTTTGTATGGTTGATTAGTACCCCATTGTCTAATCAGGCTGAAGATGACAAACAAATTGTATTCTTCTTTATCTGCACTTGGGAAACTGGGGATCAGTACCATTGTCACCCTTTTCATGAGACTAATGTCTGTAACCTTGACAACATCTCATAACATGTATTGATGAAAAAGTTAGTGTTTTGAATGGATTTAGGGACCCCTGCATTATTATTAGTGACATTCCAGTAGTGACACTGAATATTAATTTGGGGATAATCACAATAATGGAAAATGTAGCTATTTAGAGGTATGGAATATTGAACCCAAACTGCGCAATGACTTATGTTTACTATTAGAAATCATATGCGGAAGGAACCAAGATCACCTGTGCCTTTGGCACCTGCGCACGGGACAATGAACAGCAGAATGACTTGTCAGCGCTCTAGGCCAACAACCTTCATAACCGATTAGCAAACCTAATTAACAACCAGACAGTAGGCGATGCAATCTCAGATTCTTTTAAAGCTTGTTAAGTATGGCTATTTTAGTTATTTTATTGTAACCATAAATATTCACCCAATCAGATCATATAAAATTGTGTAACATATTGTCCAAACTCAACCACAACAATGTGTGGTTCGCTGACAAGTATTCGCTCATTATGTGGGTGGCTGGGTACAGTCACAACATTGCCTAATCTCCAAAGCTTTTGACAGGGTTCCGACCGCGGCGTAATAATAGAATTCGTACAAATAATGTGGTAAAACATCGATCCATGCATTGGATACCAACACATGCCTTCCTCACACCAATCCACATTTTACACTTGTTTGTTCGTTCGCTGGCTAGATAACTGGCTCTAGATAACTGGCTGGCCAACTAGCTAGCAAGCAAACTGGTACAGCTAACTGGCGCAGAAGAGACAATTGAATTACAACATAACTTGCTGACAAGCCACTTAGCAGGCTAATTTAGCCATCATTTGTAAGTAGTAAGCTAGGAGCCTTCAATAACTCATAAAATAGTTACATAGTAGCTGTTTTGTACTGGCAACTAGCTAGCTAATATTGCAAGCAACGCACCTTGCTCTTCACCTCCACGGCGCTCAGAGTTCGGTTGCTCGGCACTCGGTGGTTGTTGTTCATCTTTCGCTAGCAGGACCGCCACAGCAGCACACACTTGCCCTCGCGGGGCTGCCCTCGTCTGTTTCGCACTCCCCTATATCCCAAATGATATCAACACAGGTATTCCAGTTAGCTGTGTGTCCTCATAAGACACTTTAATTCCCTCGTTTGCGTTGTCCTCCTCCGAGAATGCGACAACCGCTGCCAACCAACCTGCTGTAACTTATCTTCTCATACTCGCCACATCGCCAGCTAACCACTTCATCGTCCTGTGTGACGCTTTCACGCACCCAGGAAACTGCGCTCGTTCCCAACAGGCGCGTTCCCGCTTGTAAGAATCAAGTAAAACTTATCTTGATCACTTTTTACCTGTAAAAATGTATTAGCTTATATGACGTAACCAAAAAGTAAATCAATGTTTGTCTCTTGTCCACATAATAAAATAATCTTGTCTAACTGTTTTTCTGTTTGTCTGCATGTCCTAAGTGTCTTTTAAAATGGTCAAGTGTTTTTAGTACAAAGAAAGTAGCCCTAAGAACTACAGGTGCTATATTTCTGTCTATAAAGTAAATCAAAGATAAACATTCACAAATTCACCTTGGCCAAGGTGTTTGCTCCACTCCTTTCCCAAACTCCTTACTGTTCGTATCTTATGAAATTGCGATATCTTGTGGCCATCTGGTGTTAGCGCAGACCATTGTCCTCAAAAGATGCAATCCAGCTATTTCAAATTTACATACAATATGAGCATCGATTATATGAGTCAGAAACATTTATTCTAGTGTCAAAATGTACTAAAATGTGCAAATAGGAAAATGTTGGTCATAAAGTCAGTCTCATCCAAAACTGAGATTTGCGAGATGATAGGAAAAAATGTCATGGAATGAAGGGTACCATAACAGTTTTCATTTGGTTGCGTTTATGGTGCGTTCAAGACAACTGGGAACTTCGGATAAACCGAAGTCAAGTCATGACGTCAGTGATCTTCAGGACGGAAAGTCAGAGCTCTAGAAAGAGGCCAGTGTTCGCGACTTGGAATTCCAAGTTGGATGACATGCAAATAGATTTTTCCAAGTCGGAGCTAGTTTTTTCGAGTTCCCAGTTGTCTTGAACTCAAGGAAGTCGGAGATTTCCGAGTTCCCAGTTGTTTTGAACGCGGCATTATTTCAATTCTGCCCACATGCCCACAGCTGGCAGGCAGCACCCAAGTAATCATCAATTCTGAGCGCAGCTGCACACGACCCAGATCGTAATGCCCATGGTCATTTGGTTTAACATTTGATATCCCTATGGGGCTAGTTAGGGACCATCAGTAGCCTAAATTACCCAATATGCATGGCCCAATATTTTAAAATGTCAATAGTTTCAAATGCCAAATTTCAATTACTTCAATTGTGTACAGATCCATGAGGTGATGGCGGATGAATGGCACGACAATGGGCCTCAGGATCTCCTCACAGTATCTCTGTACATTCAAATTGCCATCGATAAAATGCAACTGTGTTCGTTGTCCATAGCTTATGCCTGCCCATACCATAACCCCACCGCCACCATGGGGCACTCTGTTCACAACGTTGACATCAGCAAACCGCTCACCATATACGCTGTCTGCCATCTGCCCCGTACAGTTGAAACCAGGATTCATCCGTGAATAGCATACTTCTCCAGCGTGCCAGTGGCCATCGAAGGTGAGCATTTGCCCACTTAAGTCAGTTACGACGCCGAACTGCAGTCAGGTCAAGACTCTGGTGAAGACGACAAGCACGCAGATGAGATTCCCTGAGACGTTTCTGACAGTTTGTGCAGAAAATATTTGATTGTGCAAACCCACAGTTTCATCAGCTGTCCGGGTGGCTGGTCTCAGACGATCCCGCAGGTGAAGAAGCCGGATGTGGAGGTCCTGGGCTGGCGTGGTTACATGTGGTCTGCGGTTGTGAGGCCGGTTGGACGTACTGCAAAATTCTCTAAAACGACGTTGGAGGCAGCTTATGGTAGAGAAATGAACATTCAATTCTCTGGCAACAGCTCTGGTGGACATTCCTGCAGTCACCATGCCAATTGCACGCTCCCTCAACTTGAGACATCTGTGGCATTGTGTTGTGTGACAAAACTGCACATTTTAGAGTGGCCTTTTATTGTCCCCAGCAGAAGGTGCACCTGTGTAATGATCATGCTGTTTAAACAGCTGTTTGATGTGCGACACCTGTCAGGTGGATGGGTTATCTTGGGAAAGGAGAAACGCTCAGTAACAGGGATGTGAACAAATTTGTGCACAAAATTTGAGAGAAATATGCTTTTTGTGCATATGGAACATTTCAGGGATCTTTTATTTGTTGCGTTTATATTTTTGTTCAGTGCATTTCACTCATATTGTAATTAATTATAGGTCAAATGTCATAGAAATCTGGAAACACTGGACACTTACTTTAAAGGTTGACTTTGGACAAAAACGTAAAAACTGAATAACTGATCAATGCACCATTATAAATTGGATAGTTTGAGCACTGAATACTGATTGGCTGAAAGCTGTGGTATTTCAGACCGTATACCAATCAGACCGTATCCCACGGGTATGACAAATCATTAATTTTTACTGTTCTAATTATGTTAGTAGCCAGTTTATAATAGCAATAAGGCACCCTTGTGGTATACGGCTAATATACCACGGCTAGTGGCTTTATCCAGGCACTCAGCGTTGCGCATAAGAACAGCCCTTAACCGTGGTATATTGGCCATATACCACACCTCCTCGGGCCTTAATGCTTAAAAAAAAAAATTCTTACCGATCTTCCGTCCTAAAACAAATCCTTTGAAATTACATCAATATATAGTGGAGGAGTAACTGGCTAGCTACAGGTGGCTAGCTTAGCTAACGAACTAGCTAAGTCGGGATGCGCATGACCAGGATGACACATCGATGAACCACACCCCATTTCTGTTTGGAAACTGAGAAAGAGGAGTTGGACCGTTTTTTTTGTGCCCAAAGTCAACCGTTAAGGCTAATTTCCTGCAATTCTACACATGTTACCATTGTTTATGATGCGTTTTTTATTTTTTATTTAAAGAAATTATTGGGGGGACGAATCAACCTGTTCTGAATGTTGTGGGGGACATGTCCCCCCATCCCCTGTGGCATTTTTGCCTTAACATCAAAAATACCTGTGCTGACTGTCCCTAACCTTTGGTGCACTTGTCTCAATGCTTGCAGTGTGCTGTGTCTAACACTAGAGACATTACAGAGACAAGAGCTAGTCTCTAACTCCAGGGGGCGCCAGTCATAGCTCCCTTCCCCTCCCCCTCCCTCCCTCCCGGTCTCCCTTTCTTCCTTCACTCCCTTCCCCGCTCCCCTCCTTCCCCCTTCACTCCCTCCCTCTCTCTCTCTTCTCCCGTTCTCCCCTCCCTCCCTTTTTCTCTTTCGGCTCCCTTTCTCCCCTCCTTCCCCTTCCCCCCTCGCTTCCCTCTCTCTCTCTTCTCCCCTCCCTCCCTTTCTCTCTCTCGGTCTCCTTTTCTCCCTTCCCTCCTCTCCCTGTCTTCATGTCTCCCTCCCTTTCTCACAACCTTCCCCTCCCCCCTCGCCTGCCTGTCTGCCTCCCTTTCTCCCCTCCCCCGCCTCGCTCCCTCCCCCTCTCTCGCTTAGTCTCCCTTCCTCCCCTCTCTCACTCAGCCTCCCTTCCCCCTCAATCTGCTTAGCGCTCTTGCTGCTCACAGCACTGCAGATGAGGCCTCCACGTCCCCCAGTCTGCTAGGCCTCTCTTCCAGCCTCCCCCGCCTCCCTTCAGCCTCCCCCTGCCACTCCCTCCCTCCCTGCTGCTCCTCATACCAGCATTGCAACACTAAACAAGCCAGCAAGGGAGAGGGTGCTCTCGCTCTCTCTCTCTTTAGAGGGGCAATTTCCCTCCATTTTATATCCTTCCTACCAGGAGACAAGGGACTGTCAGCCTATCTATGGTATGGAACATAAGCACAATACCCCCCCACATTTGCAACATACTGATTTACTCACACAAATTATCACTACAACACAATCAAACAAAGGTAGTCAATAGGACTCAGTCATTCTGTTTTTGTTTGGCACCATATCGATACACATAGGAGCAGATGGTGCGCCTCAGCAATGGGTTAGCCTAATACATGCATTCTCTTCTGAGTCCAACTGTTGACTTCTCATCAACCATCTAACCATAAGCATCTCACCCGTGGGTGCATTTAGTCCAGATACCTCATTCTCCAAAGTCACTTTCACAGACTAGCATAGCTCACATAGCCTAGATGTGTATTCTGTTCCAGGTGAAATACAACAATTCACAAAGCATTAGAACCCCATATATTACACACCTAAAACCTTGTGGTTTAGGATTCACTGTAAATACCTGAGATAATAGGATTTGCACCACCAGTGACTGTGTGCTGCTCATGGGTTACATTTGGAAAACCTAACTTGTGGTGCTACTTCTTGAAACAACAGTACATAGTCTCCATAAAGGGGTGTGTCACATGAAAGAGAATTAGACAAAGGAAATGGGAAAAAAGGCAAGAGTAGGAGAACTGTGAGAAGCACAATATAGCACTTTATTGTTCATAAATGCTTAAGTGAAAAATGTAAAACAAAAACACACAAATTGAAGATCACAAATTAAAACACACAGAAAAGTCATTAATAGCAAATGCTCTCTCAGTTTCACAAGCCACAGCAAACATCCATTCTCGGGGGGAAAATAAGTAAAAGATAGGTACATGAAAAGAGACAAAGCAAGTACAGTCTAGACTACAAAGCACTGGGCTACAGAGATCAGTTGAAATGCCCCTTTACTCTAACCAAGTGGGAGGATAAGAACATGAGAAACTGTTTTTTTCAATAGAACCAAAGTTATTACTGCAAAAAAAAAAAGAAGAGTACAATCAATCAATAATCAACAAACAGCGAAAAACTAAAGCAATCGATTATGTTCATTTAAATTTGGATTTATATATAGATATATTATTTAGCAAAAATTGTATGGTTTTCTTAAAAAAATAAACAAAAACATACAGAAAATACCAGCCACCAAAGCGACATTATCGTCTAGCGAACTAATGTAGAACATACGAGGCTAGCTTGTATACAGAAAGAATAGCTCATCTTTTATGAGTACATCTACAGCAACTTCTCTCCAAACATGTCTAAAAGACTGTACAAATATACATGAGCTATTCCTGCATGACTACATGAAACATTTGGGATATTCTAGTTTTACTTAAAACCTAGTAACTCGTAATGACTCAAATGTTTTTGCCACAGTGTAACTTGTGGCCAAATGGACAATAAGTACTTATCTGAATTTTGTAGTAAAGTAAATAGAAGGCAAACCATTTCCTATCGTTTGGTGCATCTTCAGTGTTTTCTTTTTTTCACCCTGGAGGAAAAGTTTAATCTTTGTTCACAAATCTTATGTGACTCCTAACTACTTCTCACTGCAGAGCAGCTTCAATTGGCTTTTGACTTGACCAAACGCCATTGGATGGCTTGTTGTAGAGAAAAGGGAAGAAGCTCTCCTTAATACTCTCCCCTTGTTGTCCCTCATGTCACCATTGACCATTTCCAGCTCTAGAGTTCTGGTGAGGCAGAGTTGTTGGCATGGATCAAATGTTAGTAACTTATCTGTGTGCATGTTATTTGTTTGTATGTGTGTGTCCATTGGTCAGACCTGCTGCTTGCCGAGTTGGGCACTTGTTTTTCCACTTTCTGATTGTCCCAGTTTGGCAATAGCTTCCTTCCCCTTAACCGGTCTCTCCGGTAACGCCGAGGAGCCATATCCATTCTCTACATGACCCTCTTCTTCCTCCTCTTCCTCCTCTGACCCATCCTCCATATCCTCTAGGTCTGAGCTGGAGTGGGCTCCTGTCCCTACCACCTCTCCCTCTCTCCCTGCAGCCAGCCTGTCATTACCCGTGGAATTCAGTTCTACTACTCCCGTTTCATCCTCCTCCTCGTCATCATCTTGCATTTCATCCTTATCGCTGTCTGAGTCAATAGCGATGGGTTCTGAGAGATACTGAGGCCCTCTCTGTTTTAAGGTGCTTCCGATTGTCTTGTTTTGGTCGCTCTTGGCACCACCAACGGTGGTGGCACTGGCCCCACTGTCAGACCCTGCTGGCGTACCCTGCTGGAGTGTAGCACCACCGTTAGCCGCAGCTCTCTCCTCTATGCGCAGGATGGCCTGCTCAGACCGCCCTATGCACGTCCTAGACGTCCGCCTCTCCACTGTCTCTCCACTTTCTTTGCCCTCAGACAAGCACTCAGGGTCAAAGGTCAGTTCGTGGCTGAGCCGACTGACCTCCCACATGTTGAAGCCCAGCAACACCTTGGCCTTCTGGGTCTCACAGTCCCGCGTGCATATCCTCCTGCGGTTGGTGAAGTGGCTGGAGATATCAGACTTCCACAACCACAGACTGGCGGCTAGCTTCTCCACCTCCCTACGCGTTGGGTAGGGCTCACGGTTGAAGTACTGCGTCAGGAAGGCTTTCCGCGCCTCGTACGACTCATCCTCGTGTCCTTTGGGGTCAAGGACCAGGTTGACAGGATCGTCTGGGTTCTCTACAAAAGCCACAGGGCCCTCCTGCTCTCCAGGCAACAGCTTACGCCGCTTTGGGTCGTTAGGGTCACAGTTCTCAAAGCCGGCCCGTTTGAGGGCAGTGCCCTGGGCCTGGGAGACCCTGGGGGAGGGCGCAGGCCTGCTGTCTTGCCCATTCTGGGTCTTGCCCACACCACGGCAGTGCACCAGGTGCAGTGTGATGGTGGAGGCGGTCATGTTGCTTGTGTACACACCCAAGCAGTGAATACATTTGTAGGTTAGTTTTTTCTCCACTGGGTGCACTGTTTGGATGACCTGGTGCCTCTCCCTCAAGTGGTGTGCCAGTGCATCAGAGATGGGGCCCTTGAGGATGGAGAAGCACAGCGGGCACAGAGTCTTGCCCACGTCTTTCTTGTACGGCACAGCCGCCTGAGGTGCACTCTTGGGAGGTGAACCATCTTCAGATTCAGAGGGCATCTTTGGGGGTTGGCTGGGCACGGTCCTCTTGCCAGTCTGTGTGGAAGAGGAGGCACTCTGGGCATGGAAGGCCACGGACTCCTCTGGCGCGTCTCTCATGTTGTAGGTGGTGACAATCAGCTGGACGTTCTTGGGGTTGCCTTGCTGCAAAGTGAGGTCAAAAGTCAGAGGGGAGTCAGTGCGCGGCCCCACCGTCTCGTCCGGGTGGGACTGTCGCATGTGTGCCACAATCTTCTCCACATCGTTGAAGGTGGCGCGGCAGTGTGGGCAGGACAGGCCGTGGATCAGCATGTGGTTGAGGAGTGTGTCGCTGGGCAGGTAGCGGTTGCAGTACAGACACTTGCTGGTAAAGTTGTGTATCTTCATGATGTAGTTGGCCACGGCAGGGACCTTCTCCGCCTTGTGCTCCTTCTCAAAGTGCGAGCTGTACACATTCTCAGGGAAGAGCTCGTTGCAGATGGTGCAGATCTTCCACTTCTGGGTGTAGGACGTGCCCAGGACTGAAGAGCCCCCCTTCCCCTTGGCCGTGACTGAGGCAACCGTAGTTGCAGCTGCCTGGACCCGGGAGTTCAGCTGGGTGGGCTTGAGTGTAGACGAGGTGGAACTCACCACTATGGGGCTCCGCAAGCCACCAGGGAGGTTCTGTTTGGCAGCCTGCGAATGCTGGGGCACAGACACCTGTGCGTTGCCGGGTAGAGTGATTCTCACCTGTTGCCCGCCTATAGAGAAGGACTGAGTGGTCCCGCTCTTTAACCCAAAAGCCCCCTGCTTCAGGTGAGACCCAGGCAGGAGTCCCGTTGAGCTCAGGCCTGACTTTGGGATGACGATCCTGCTGAGCGGCTGGGTGGGAAGGGAGCGGACTCCCCCCACTGTGGTGGTCACCAGCTGACCTTTGGGTCCTACCCCAATGACAGTCTTTTCCCCCGGCTTGGGGGATACCATGATGACAGGCTTGACCCGTGGCACCACCACGTTTGTGTGACCAATCATGGCAGTCACCTGGTAACCAATGCGCTCGTGGTCCTCAATAACATGCTGCACAAGTGCCTCATAGGTGCGTAGCACAAAGAGACAGCGCTTGCAGTGGATGGTGTTGCTGTTGGCGTTAGCATTGACATTGGTATTAGTATTGGTGTTGCTGCTGTCTGTGTTCCCTGTGCCCGTTGTGGCGCCTGCTGCAGCACCGTTAGGTGTGGTCTTTTCCCCAGGCTTAATCAGGTAGGGTGCAGCCACATGCTGAAAGTGTTCTCTGTAGATGTGCTTGCGCACCACGTTGTAAAGCGGGTCCCTGTAGGTGCACTTCTTGCAGTAGTACACCGCCTGCTCGATGCTCTCTCCAGGCCTCTTGCCCAGCTGCATGCCGTCCTTCAGCCCCCCCATTGCCCCCTGCATGCCCCCGGGACCCTGGCGCACCACGTTGTTGGGCATGTGGAACAGCTTGATGTGCGTCTCCAGGGTCTTCTTGTTCCCATTGTAGGTGCAGTAGGGGCAGTTAAGCAGGATGCGGCTCTCAAAGTCCTCGCTGTGGACATTGCGGAAGTGGCTCTTGTACGCCGAGAAGAACTTGGAGGAGAAGGGGCAGCCGGAACAACAGAAAGGCTTTGATCTGTATTCCTGGGAGACAAGGGTAAAATAAGATGACAGCGGTCAGTCAGTTGTTGATGTTTATCAAATGTAAATAAAACATTGTTTATTGAAAATAAGCAGACACAATAACAATACAATTAACAGTGGGTTCCAGTGAGCCACTCACCTGGGCTTTGGTCAGTGAAGGATCCCATATACACACATCATCCCAGGTGGTGTGCTTGATGTAGAACTCATTAGGTACATAGTCTTTGTAGTCCTAAGGGGAGAGAATGACATGATCACAATTAATATATAATCAATAAAAACAAAGTCTGATAGAGGTGATTTGCTAGGAGGGGTTTTAAAGACCACAACCTTTGTGAATGTTATTATTGTTATGGACTGGGCTTATTATAACATCAAACCGACAAAGTGATGGACATCATAAACATGAGAAATTTGAGAACTCCTGTGTTGATGGCTGAAACAATGACTGATTGTTTAATTAGCTATTCATGAATGAGCTATTATTTCTTCATGTTTGAAAAAACAGTGTGATGAAGTGTGGTCAAGGGCATGATGCTCATCCACAGATAATAGAACAGTTCAAACTCTATGTGCTGCTCACCTCAATGCGGTCTTTACAAAACTCCAGGCCGATGTCTCCCAGAACCCGCTTGACATTTCTCCTGGCTTTCCGTAAGCTGCCCAGGTTGTTGACCGGGAGCTGGAACATGCTGGCCACTTGGAGAAGGGAGGGACACAGGTGTGAGTAATAGGTGAGGTCAGGTAGGTCAACATATGTACTAAGCATTGTTGTAGAGAGCAGAGTTCAGCAGACCCAACACAAAAACCTTAGTGTTACCCTGGCTGACAGAAACACACTTCCCCCTACATTAACATAAATCACTGGAGTGACTAGCGCTCCTATGAGGGAAAAAAGCCACAAGAGAACGTGCTGTCTGTCAGTCACCTTTCATCATAAAACCATCGGTGGTTTTCCTCAGCAACATTACTCATCATGTCTATCCATTATGACCCTACCACCATCTTTATGTGACTGTCTGGACTGTTCGGATTGTTATATTACAGTCAACACTAAACAATCAAAACACTGTAGAATGATTCTCTCCTCAGGTCAACGGTCAGAGAGGACAAGATGCTTTAGTGACAAACAGCATGAGACCAAACACTCTTCACCTATCCAGTGATGTCATAGCTCTAGTTGTATGTTCCAGAAGATGCAACTATGGTACAGTGCTGCTGAGCTGAATGCCGTCTGTCTGGCTGGCTGTCTGTCTGTCTGACTCCCATGGCGTGTAGATGGCGCTAGAGGACAGCTCTGCCTCCATTATGTAAGGCCTCCATTGCTCTGCCTGCCCCTTTTTGCAGCCTCTCTGCAATCACGGAATGGCGCCTCCTATTGAGTCAGCAGCAGAGCCCAACATTTACAATATGTCTGCAGTGTATTTTGGGGGGAAGGGGAGGGGAGTGGGGGCTGGGTGGGTAGCTGGCAGAGAATAGCCACTCTCTACAGCTGAGGCGAGAGGAAGAGAGGAAGAGGAGAATAGCAGAAAAGGAGATAGTAGTAGTCTATATTTTACCCATAAACCTTAGGCCTAACTAAAAAAAAATCCCTTTCCCATGTTCTCTATAAGTGAGTTCTGTCCTCAAAGCATCAATGATGACATTCCCTCTGGTCACCATAAGATCCTCCAAACTCACATTGTTTACAAAAATAAAAGTTGATGTTTCAGTCATACCCTCTTTAAGCAAATTGTCACCTATGACCATAAACACCAAAAGGAAGAGAGTTGGCATTTAAGTAGAACACCTATCTAAATGACCAAAAGGTTAAATCAGGATCACCACATTCTTCCTCCTGATTGCCCTCACACAGGGACCATGGGAACAGATGGTTGAATCAATAGAGTACCAGTATAAAACTAACCTCGAAGACCATGTTGACACCTTACATAAGTTGCTGGCAACATTGTATCACTTAGCCATTATGATAATTGTGAGGTGAATAAAGGAGGTGAAACTTAGCTATCTGACGTCAGTTGTTTCCACACAAAATCAAATGTGCGACCTGCAGATCCCCCTTGTCACCTATACACACTCTGTAGGCAAGTTGCTGAATGAGTCTGACTAACGTACCAGTTAGCTGCCAGCTAGATTATAACACCCCGGTTCAGATCTCTTTTAAATAATGGGGGAAAAAATACCATTACATTTGATTATAGGAGGGACCTGATATAGGTAAATGTGTCTATTAGCTAGGGGAGTAATGTTAGATGAGGTTACGAGCTATCGTCTCCCCCCTTCAATTTGGCTAAATTATGGCTTTGATTGAAGTCAATGATGAATATCGTTTATGGCTATCTGGTCGACCAATGAAAGAGGATACAAATATGTATTACTCGATTAGCTACTACGTGTATCATACCTCTTGGTTCTATGCCTTAATAACGTCTGGTTTGGTAATACTGTTACCAGATCGATAGCTGATCGCTTCCTCGCAGTAGCTAGTCACCCACCACAAAGGGAAGCGCACGTAAAACACAGCGAGCAAGCAGCTGCTATCTGAGTACTAGAAAGGAGCCCCGCAGGAGCTCTTCAGTAGGTGCTGATTTTGAGCGCTACTCCGTGCCCAAGTTTAACTGGCCAAAAGTGGTACGATGTTTACCGACAACTTATGATATACGGCATCACAATACTCCACATAATGTTGTTTCATTTGTTATCATCAATACATATCAAGCTAAAGTCTAACATTTTCGCCGACCGAATAGCGGCAACGCATCATCGTAGTTAACCCGCCTAGCTAGTGAGGTTGTATGAAAAGCGGAGTGTGACGAGTTTACCTGGTTTGAAATACGGTGGTCCCGTTGGTGTAAATTATTTCAATTACGAGAAACTGTGAGACAAATCGTTGTGCACTCTCACGTTCCCTCCTATTCCTCCAAATAAGCAGCCGGGACTAACCGCCTTGTCGTCTACTCTCCAAGCGGTCACACCACACCGAGAGGGAGCTCGACTCCTCTCACTATCCGACACAGAGTATCTTCTCGACTGGCGGGGATGAGGTGCCGCTGAAACTCATTTAGCTAGATGAACATCGAAAATGCCCATTGTAGGAAAAGATAAAGTAGCGTTGTCAATATTACGATGTAGTTACCCCTCATCCAAAAATGTGTTAACTATGTGACTGTTTACTGATAATAATGCATTCCCATCTCTTCCCTATAGAGACAATACACCCATCCTAGACTATAAACTGCCCTATCCAAAATGGCGCAATTGAAAGGGCGGAAGTGACATGTGTTTGATTAGCATAAAAAGCTAATTGTGATATCCAAATGAGTCGAGATTTATAAAACTAAATTACTGTGTGGTAATCAAGTCTAACCTCTTACCGCGCAAGACAGGCCTCAGATTTTGGCCTCGGTCGTTCTTCAACGTCTGCCAATTTCTATGCCTGGGGGATTGGGGTAAACAAGCTCGAGCTGCAATTACCAGATTGAACCAACAGGAGGCGCCCTCTAGTTGAGCATGAACGCATGCGTTAAGACTAGCTACAACTGGCGCCCTCCCCTGCAGAGGGTCGGATGTATACTGTACAGTGCCTCAGTACTAACACAGTGCCTTTGCACTTGCCCAATGTCAGAGTGCTATGAGAACAGTAGGTGGCGCTGTTCTATGCTGGCACTTAACTCACCGGGACTACTTTCCTCAGAGACTGGGCAGCTCCCAAGCCTGAGAGCATATTGTTCTCTGCCCATTTTAGCATTGGCCCCTTGGAGAGATTGGGGTGGGGGTGGATGGAGAGACCTCTTTATGTTAATACTGGATTTCAATTGATGGGTGATAGTATGACATGGATAGTATAACATGGCCTCATTGGAGGTTTCTCAGCTTTTTGTGTTTTCCATGTAGAGGTCTTCTCGGGTCCGGACTCGAGGACAATCAGACCCGATCATTTTTTTAAAAGGGGGACTCGAATGGACCCAACGACAACCAGACCTAGACCCGACCCGTACCCAAATGGGTCTGGGTCTGACCAGACCCAATTGCACCCAAGTGACAAAAAGCTGATGTTTATCAGCCAAGTTGCTCTTATGGTTAATGAATAGGTCTTTATATGCTGGCTAGGCCTTCTATAAGTCAATAACTTGACCTTATTAGCGTAAAATAAATATGCTATATGCCAGTGGTCACCAAGTCAAGATAATAATATAATAATATATGCCATTTAGCAGACGCTTTTATCCAAAGTGAGATCACTTTCTGGGTCAAAATGCAAGCCAAGATCTACCGCTCAGATTTGTTTTAAAAACATGGCTTAAAAAAACGTAAGCCTATGAAATATTAACCAATTAAAAACAGTTATGTAGCAATGATGTTTGTGCAGTAAGCTATAGGCCCAATACATTATCACTGCATATTGGCTATGCTTAAATTGCCCTTCCAATGTTGTTCTTCTCAGACCATTTTAAAATTATATTTCTGGACTGATGGCCTGCATCTGATGGTCAGTCTGAGGGAAGGGAGGAGCAGCGGTGAGGCTGCCTCTCACCGACACTGTCCCTTCGCTGTCCCTCCCTCCACTGAGAAAAGTGGACACAGTTTTCCAGCTGATCGCGAAAGCATTATTTCTGCCTCATGCATCAATTCATGGTGTTACTCCTATGACCAGAGAAAGTGAAATATTCCTCTATTAAAAAAGACACAAGCCGCTAATAAGAACAACGTGAGCTTATCGAAACACTTTGCTATACTCATTCATTGCAGCTGCAGTGCTGGTTGTAGCGTGAGTGAAAGTACGGAGAATGCACATTTATTGCTTATAAAACTGTTGAACAAAGTGACAGTGCTGAATAACAACTTAAACATGAACATACTCATAAAAACAGCAGCTCTTTGCTGTATTTGTTGAGTCTCTCTCTAGTCATGGTTTTAAAAGTTTTGAAATCTCACATGATCAACTTTGCTGTGCGTTTGAGGCTTCATTTTACAGTTTATGGAGATCGGTTGGTGACCACTGCTATAGGCTATGCAGAGCCGTGGTCGGGTCCATTCGGGTCGATCACCTGTAGTTACATACATTACCTTCAGAAAGTATTCACAACCCTTTACTTTTTCCACATTTTGTTGTGTTACAGCCTGAATTTAAAATGGATTAAATAGAGATTTTGTGTCACTGGCCTACACACAATACCCCATAATATCAAAGTGGAATTACATTGCCTTCAGAAAGTATTCATACCCCTTGACCATAGCTGCGGGATATACTCCTGAGTGGCGCAGTGGTCTAAGGCACTGCATCGCAGTGCTAACTGTGCCACTAGAGATCCTGGTTCGAATCCAGGCTCTGTCGCAGCCGGCCGCGACCGGGAGACTCATGGGTGGCGCACAATTGGCCCAGCGTCGTCCAGGGTAGGGGAGGGAATGGCCGGCAGGGATGTAGCTCAGTTGATAGAGCATGGCGTTTGCAACGCCAGGGTTGTGGGTTCGCTTCCCACGGGGGGCCAGTATATTTTTTTTTTTTTAAAATAATAATAAATATGTATTCACTAACTGTAAGTCGCTCTGGATAAGAGCGTCTGCTAAATGACGTAAATGTAAATGTAAGTAGTTTGGGGGTGATGTATATTTTTTCCGGGGAGGGGGGGTGCTAAGATTTATTTGTCGACGGCGCTACAGTTGGCTCTCTCGGTCCGCTAATAAAAGACT